ACTAACTTAGTTTTCATCGCTGGGTTTCTTTTGGAAGAACTGAATAATACTTTGTTGTTTATTTGTCTCTATTTTACTATCAAACCTCGCTAAATATAGGCCTACTGTCAAATTACGGGACGTGCGAACTGCGAAGTTCTCAATCAGGTACCGTATTGTGTGTAGGGATTTGTTCAAAAAGAATTTTTTTTTAAACAATTGTTTCAAATCCATTGTTTTGCCTGTTTAATCCCTTTACTTTTTGCAGGCGCTCTCGTAGTATGTGGAGCAAGATGACGGACACCGGAACGTAGTATGTGTACCAGATTAGGGTTAGGGAATAATTTTATTCCATTTTTTCTAGCCAATAGACTTCCGTAGTATTTGTACCTAAAATTATGGCCTAACCCCAAACTGGTACACATACTACGTTCTGGGGTCCGCTATCTTGGTTCACATACTCCGGGAGTTCCGATTTTTTTTGTATTAAATGTGTTGAAGAAAAATGAATGTAAAAACATGCCAAGCGCTTCTTATTTGCAATAAATCCTTCGAAACGCCACAAATATCGACGAAGGCCCATACAAGCCTTCTCAAGCTTTAGTTCAATGCGTCCGCAAACGTGATTGGCGCAGGAAGACGCAAGCGATAAGACGATATTACGTGATACCGATATTACGTGAACGACCCTGCGACGAGAACGACCTTGCAAAAATTGAAATACGACCGAATAAATGAGTTTGTATAACTTTGAAAAACTCTATCACTTTAACCTTAATAACGGTATGCTAGGCATGAATCAACCGAACAGTTTTAACCGTAATAATGCCTTTATTTTATGAGAAAAATGTCAATACAGAAACTCAAAATCCTTATTATGGGGTCATACAAGATTAGTTTTGACATCATTGCACCAAACGTGTCTTACAATAAGCATAGCCTGACTCATCGTTTGAATCAGGTTGCCGTCGATGTAAGTATATTCTTCCTTATCGTACCGCACTTGTTTTGCCGAAGGCTGCCATTAATTAAATAAGTTTCATGATTTTTCTTACTCAAAACGTCTCTCTGGTATCTCGGATAAATATTCCTGTTAAAATCGTATGACTTTGGTATAGATACAAACTTGGCGGTGGGTGTACGCAATAGAAGTGAAAGTCAAAGCAAGAATTTTCACTTACATTTTTGAAAATATAATTCCGGCAGCTTATGCGGCTGCCCGAACGCAACGTTCTGGCGTAGTTTCACGGGGATGCAAGGGGCATTCAATAAAAACAAAAAACAAGCCCTTGTTTTAAAACAGGGTGTTTTTTTAGAATTGCTAAAAAACAAAACCCTAGCTGTGTGCTATCAAACTCCTCTGTTAGGACGTTAGCCGCCATTATGAGGCCATATACTTAACGAACATCCAACCGTTCAGGGTTTGAAATGGGCAGAGGACCTCTCACCAAGTTTGTTGTTAGGCGAATACCGGTACTACGAATCAATGAGAATTAAAAAATCATAAAATGACCTGCCGTCAATACCTTGTCATTTGCAATTTGCTTATAATAAATTAATATTGGAAAAATATTTGGCGGACCGGCAGCAAAGTTGCCGCGGACCGGCACCGGTCCGCGGACCGGCGGTTGAGAACCACTGATCTAGAATAGTTTAGAAAATAACTTAAAATACGGTTGTTTAAAATTATTTTTTGCGTGGAGAAATCATGTCCGCGATAATTTCCTCGTCAACTCTGGGCCAATCCCGTTCCTATCCTCGCGAATAGAAACTGGAAATAACTCTGACCTGTTTTTAGCTATTTATCAGCGAAACTAGCTAAAGTAATTTGGCTATTTTCACTGTCAAATTTTTATAGTGACCTTTTGAATATAACAAGGTAATCATAAAGCAATATATCAATCGAATATTAGTGTATTTTTCAATGTGTAAAATACAAAATACGAAAAAAAACGCATAAAATCCTGCGCACTCATCTCAGTGTATTAGTTTGATAAGAGAAATAAACGTCTATTTATTACCCGGAACTTTAAGTTTACATAGTACCGCAATGAAATAAGCGATAAGAGAAAGCAAAATCTTGAACAAATGACCATAACCCTGCCTTGACCATTGAAATGTTTTCTGCTTTTAGCACCTTAAACGTAAAATATTACTTGATACTCTTCTCCCTTGTAAAAGTTGTACGTGTATAACATGCAGTGGGATATGCATAATGTAATGAAATGAATAGCATTGTGAAATATTGTTACCTGATGATGTAATCGTAATGTAAAACATTCAATCACAAGCGACAATGGCACTTACAAAAGAATGCAAATGTTTGAGGAAAGCGAGTTGATAAAATATCAGAACTGAAGAAGGAATTCAAAAATTAAGAGGTGTTTTATACGTACATTGACGAATGCTCTGCCTAACTAAAGCAGAAATTGAAAAAGACTTCGATTATCTTACTATATACAAAAGACCACCTAGACATTATTAACACTTATATACAAAATTTTCAGTTATCTTTTACCAGGGATGGCGAACCACTGACCCGCGAGTCACAAAATGACCCACCGCGTTTTATTCGTGACCCGCCAAGGCACGAATAAAATAAAATGCTAACATATCAGTGATAAAAATTGATAAAACCGGCCTTAAATTAATCTAACAATAATTGAACTATTATAATGTACCGTCAGTTGGGCAGTCAGTACTGCAATCGCTCATATTCAAATTGTTAATTTCTGGGCCGGTATGGTAATTTTCAAAACCCCTAATCTTGGACGCATGTCTGCACCGCTGTGTATCGTTATTCAGCTATTGACTCTGACATCGTTCATGACGTAACAATGCAACTGATTTGTTCATTTTTCGCAACGTCTTGTCTCTTTCGGAAGTGCATCTGCAGACTGTTTTAGGGGTTATACGAGAACTAGATGCTACTTCGCATTTTATTAGTTTTTCGCCTACAATGCCGTTGAGAAAACAAAATCTTTCAGACTTGAAATAAATACCTAGAAATCTGAAATAACAATGGGGCAGTGTAAAAGTGGTTGAAAGCTGATCGAAAAATATAACACTATCAGAGTGGAATTCCCTCCAAACGTTTTTGGTAATTCATATATATGCGTGTTTCGTACTCTAATTTCATAAAATCGAGTGCCATAAAAAGTCCCTGATAGAAGTGCTGCATAAGTAAAGCCCAAAACTAGACCAACACCAACAGAAGCTTATAAGATTTGTTTCAGGAGTTTCTTATAGAAACAAACATTGATTAAATATATGTGACCCACACTCTTCTGTTGCGCGATAAAAATATAATTTTCGACCCATTCATTGAAAAAGGTTCGCCATCCTTGTTCTATACGATTGATTGGAAGGTTAGATTGAGATACCCGATATTTACTGGGTCTTAGTACATTCTGAAATAATTACAAAGTGCAAATAAAAATCTAGTCTAGGCGTAACCATAGTTTAACTAAACTCTAACGAAGATTACTATAAATTTGATTCTATCCGTATTACCAACCATGACAAAGCTCGACCGGAATGTTAAAAAGTGCGAAAATCGTTAAAATAATACATTTATCGAACAATTACGCTACAAATGCCACCTGCTTGTGGTGCTATTGACGTAGAGGCATGTTGCATCTAAAGTTTCAATAGTCTTATATTGAGAAGTGTTTATTCTTGGTCACAGAGCGCATTTTGCAAAAGAAGCTGCAAAATACTTGTAGCGTCATACCAGTAATCCGAGGTATATCAAATTTTGATTTGCACTTATGCTTTTTCATGTGCTCCACAAAGGCCAATCAGGACATTTGGATGAATTTATGGTTCGGCTTAATCAACCCAATTAGAGGTCGTATGTAGCAAGTAATTGGTTTAAATTCGACTGTACTCAATGAAATTGACTTTCCATCAATTTATTAGCATAAATGCAACTTCCTATTTATATTTTAATAAAATAAAAGCAAGGCTATAATAAAACATGCGTGTCAAATTGAGTCGCATAAGTAAGGAACACTTAAAATTTATCACTCACTTGTATTCGTCAAAGTGGAGCTCATCAAGACACGCGTATAACTTTCTAAAATAAAGCGTAACGAAACACGGGAATAAAAACTTCACCTGCTGTAAAATACCTTTAGTATCAGCGTTTATATTTGTACTCGAATTTGATATTCACCGAATATGGGCCATAGATACAGCTGAGCGATTTATACTCCATATATGACAATTAACCAACCTTTTTACAATGCAACGTACCCTAAGGAATTTGAGTCGTTTTAGTCCGTGTGCGGATTAATGTCTTAATAGATTTATGACAGGCGCTTAAAATATCACTCAAAGACGAAGTAGGGAACTGTAAAATGGAGCCATAAAAATTGGGAGTATATATGTAACGTGCTTCGCAAAGTGTGGCCACAGAGTTACATTGTTGTGCATAAATGAGCAAAAATTGTACGAATAGCAGCAAGTGTGTTTAAATAGCTTATCATCAAAAATTTGAGGGAAGATTATATTATGCTCAGATGAATAGAATTATTTAGTTGAAACTGAATAGCTGATAATTATGAGCATGACTGCTGTTAGGAATTCTGTTTAGATTTTTTTTTGTGTTAATTATTGTAACAGCATTCATAGCGCTTTATTCACAAATGATGATATTTATTCAATCGACAATTATTCCTTATGATGCTAGAAGCGTATCAGAATTTTTTTTAGATGGAAAATCGATTCTCTGCTTTGAGGAGTGTTGTCCAAACCATATAATATGAATATTAAAAGTGGATGAGTAATTTTCAAAAACTTTTAAAAAAAATAGTATTGAAACTTTTCCAACACATATCTTTACATACAAAATGCCCAGTGAATTATTTACCACAGAATTGCTCGCAATCCAATTTGGCACCACAAATTAATTTTTGTTCCGATTTTATCATCTCAGTAAAAGTTATAAACGTCAACGACATAAATTTAATAGAGAGGTAAAGAACAATTCTCAATTTTAATCTAACGACACTATTTTTTGCATCTTTAGTAAAGTAAAAATACATTCGCCTTTCCCCGAGTAGAAGTATGAGGCGATTATTTATCGCAATCTCTCTATGTCTGGCGGTATCGGTATCTGCAGAAGAAAATGGCGGCAAAACTTCGGAAGCTCTTGGAATGCTCCTCGAACGTGCGAAAGGTATTAGGAAGTTTATTGCTTATTCTAGAAATGCTTTTAAAAGATAAATAAACATTCATTGTATAGTTTTATTCGTATGGTTCCATCAGTGGACAATTCAGAAGCCTAATCAAATTGATGTTAGGATAGTGAATTTCTTACTATGAAAACGAATGTGCAGCAAACGCATGCCCACCACCTCATTCAGGGTGTAATAAATCAATCAAATTGTGTTAATCATTTCATCTGGGCGTTTGTGCTCAACATATGTTTGTATCTTTTTTGATTAGCAGTGAGGATCGGTTGTAAAATCAAACCTACCCTTTCACATATTGATCTAAAATCCATTTTCGATGGAGGCAATTCAAATTGTGATTTGCAAATTAACTACAATACTTGAATCCAATAGCCAGAATTCTGTTTCAGTGGACAAGACATTTTTATATTTTGTTCTATTTAGAAATGATGTGCGAAATACCTTCGAAGGAAAGAGAAAAATGTTTTAAGGGAAGAGTAACCAAAAGAAAATGCAACAGATTTTCGTTGTGCTGTTATGATGATAATGATCAAGTAAGAATAATATACCTAGTATCATTGGACGAGGTATGATTGGTAAAATTACCCTGAAATGTTACAACCCAAGATGACATTAAAATATTTGAAAATATTTTGCATAGAAAGATCGCCTCTTATGTGTGTGCGAACAAATGGCGCCCACTCTTACCACGAGATTGATGTATATATTTCAAAACATTCCGCAGAAACAAGAATGCTACAAAGTCAGAGCTTTTCAAGAAGTTCACAATGAAATCGTAGAAGCTCAATTATATGAAGCTTCATATGAAAATGAAAAGGGAACGCAACGCAAAACAACAGATGCTCTATTGTTGATGAGTCTCAGATGCATGTATGATAAAACATATCCAGGATGCCAAGGTAAAACAATACGCTATCGCAGATATAAACTACGTTTTCTTTGAACGAATTTGATAGTATTACATAGGTAACTATATCTGTAACGATATTTTATTTATTAAGGTCATGTTCGTCCGCACACAAATGTAAGCCCAACATTCATTCCCGGAATCCCGGGCTACAGAGTTACAACGCAGCCACCGACACTACCAGTTGTTTCAACAACTTCCTCGCCAAGTGAGTTTTATATATAATTTGGTCGTTTTTCTCAAGATCAGTACGACGAATAGTTTCAAACGCTAAATATTTCCTTCTAAATATAACAATTTTGATACCTATAGAATAGAATAGGAACTAGTGGATGAAATATAGAAAAAAATACATTGATAAAATAGGCCTACAATATACCCAAACTTTGCTTATCACTAGGCAATTCTGTATTTAGCCTGTATGTGACTTCTCTTTTGAAATTTTGAATAGGTTTCATGTTTTACTTTTTTATTACGACAAGTATTTTATTTCATCATTCTTCTGATATTTTGAGTGACCCATTAATTTAATGTTTTCTAGAATGCCATTGGTGGCCATGGGGTGCTTGGAGCAATTGTGAAGGCTATTGTGGAGTCGGAGTCCAAAAAAGAATGCGCAGATGCAGCGGGTGCATACCCGGCGAAGGTCAATGCCTAGGAAACTGCTATAGTTACAAGTAAGTAGCAGCGTTAAAGCGAATTAGAAACCTATCTTAGGTCTTTATCTTTCTCACAATCCAACACTAATTGATTTAAAGCAAATGGTACGCAAAGTTTTCTTGGTGATTTGCATAAGGATGATCATTATTCTGCGCATTATTTTCAATAAAAACTTTTCAATATTCTGTAGACGATGCGCGAATCCAGCAGGACAAGCGTGCGCTTATTGGAGTGGATGGTCTGAATTCAGTGCATGCAGCACAACGTGTGGAGAAGGAACTCGCAAAAAGACAAGATCGTGCTATGGAGGAAAAGTTGGTGAAAAAGGTAACATATTACAGCAGTGGAGTCATTGACGCTTATTTATATAATAATTATTAAAAATGACTGAAAATTTATTAAAGTAATGAATGAGTTATTTTCGTTTCTAAAAGGTTGCCTAGGAGAACCAACAATATCTGAAACATGCAATGTGGGAGATGGACAATATCTCAACTGGGGAGAGTGGTCAACGTGTTCTGTATCGTGTGGTTCTGGATTCAAGACACGAAAACAGGTATGCATAGATTTTGGAGAGCATGATGTTTTAATTTGAGCTATTCAATTGATTATAATTATTCTATACTATTGCAGATCCATACTTGTGACAAAGAACCAAACACTGAAGTGGAAACTTGTAACACCCAAGTTTGTTGTGGAAGACTTCAATGGAGTGCATGGACAGCATGCAGTGCTTCATGTAATAAGGTAAGGTAACTTGAAGTTTAAACTTATTTGGAGTAACATTCTCGTTTTGCTCTAGGGTGGCCCATACAAAAAGGCCACTCAGTGGCTTGCTGCATGTGTGGATTACGCCTGGAAGTACATACATTTTTTAAACATTTATATATGAAAATTTATTCGTTTTCAGGGTTTTCAACTTCGCAAAAGATCCGATGTTTGTCCCGATATTCCAGAAGAAACTGAAACAACAGTTTGTGATGCAGGTGAAAAGATTTTTAAAATTCAAAAACTACGATATTAATGCATCTTGTAAATATTAGGAACTTACATACGATTGAGAATATATTCAGTTGACAGAGTTTGTAAAATTAAGATTATAATAACATTAACACAATGTGATTTATAAATTGATTTGTAACTCTGCTCCTTGTCTTTCTGCCCCCTGTATTCGCACGAATTACATAGCATATTCACCCACTGTTTAAATGTCACCAACATGTGATCTTCCTTAGTAAAATATAAATTTATTAGAGTAAATGCATACATTATTCTATATTAGGCCCCGGTAATTATGGTGACTGGTCTTTGTGGGGGGCATGTTCCTCAACATGTGAGGGTGGACAGCAGATTCGTCGAAGAAAACATTCATGTGGAATACAAGACGAAATTGAATCACGTGAATGTGGAAATACTGGATACTACATGACGTGGTCAGTATAGCTTGAATTTTGATATATTTTTATTATGCCACCGTGGCTCCTGAAAAATTTGTCAGCGACTATCATAAGTTAAATAGGAGCTTGGGCGTTAATCGAATTTTTGTGGAAAATTTCCACTAAGCAACTATTTTTCAGCAAAGAACGAATTTGATAAGAATTCAGCAAAATATTAATGTGACATCGTTGTCTAATCAAAATTTTCCAATATCGCTTTTCACTTTCAAATTAGGAGTGACTGGAGCACATGTTCCCAATCTTGTGTTGGCGGGCTACAAGTTCGAAATCGTCTGCATTCTTGTGGCAAACCCGAAGAATCTGAATCAAGGAAATGTGGAAGACCAGGCGAATACTCACCATGGCAGTCATGGTCCGCTTGTACCAAGTCATGTCCTGGTGGAACCATGTCTCGAGTACGATTTCACACGTGTAGTGATGAAAGTGATGTAAACACAATCAAATGCGGAAAAGATGCCGGATTCAGTAATTGGGGATTTTGGTCCGCATGCAGTTCATCTTGTCCAGGAGGAAGAAAAACAAGATCGCGATATGGAATTTGTAGCAACGAACACGAGGTAGTATACACTTTAGTTTTCAAACATTGAAGACACTATAACTAAACAAAAAAAGCATTCAGCACTGAAGAATCATTTCTCTTTAGGGTTTTCAATTCCAAGCAAATCTTAAACTTGTTAAAAGGCATTTCTAACAAATGTTTATCTTTCACAGACGGAGACTGAATCTTGTGGGGCATCGGGATCGTGGGGTGACTACTCATCTTGGAGTGTCTGTACCAAACATTGCGGTGGAGGAATGACATATCGAACAAGAATTCATTCTTGTCGTAAGTATATTTTACATATTATAGACTATGAAGTATGATTTATATTTAAATACAAGGAGGAAAAGATAACCACACTGACTCATTATCAACAAACACTCAATAGTATAAATAACCACAGACAAATATATATGCAGTAAACATTAGCTGAGTAACATCCCGAAATGAAAGAATAATGTATATTCAAAGTTTGGATTTACACCGTCTAACATTATCTTATCTTATGATTCTAATCTCCAACTTTCGATTACAGCAACTACTTTGCCAGGAAATGGCAGTTCTGGTACTGAAAGAGAAGAAGAAGCTTGTAACACAAAACCATGTTGCTCATACAACGCATGGTCACCGTGGTCTGCATGTTCAGTAACTTGTGAATTCGGAACACAAAAAAGATACAAGACTAATACTTGCCCCGAAGTTCCCAAAGAAGCGGAAACTATGGTAAATATCATTATGCATAAAAATTCAAAACTTGACTGAATCCTCGAAAAGTACTCTTGAATAAAGAAGAAGGTAAAAAAGTGAAAAAAGGCAACGAATCTAGAGGCTATTTTTTAAAATGAACAATATAAGCCCTATGCTATGGAGTATTTTTAAAATTTGATCCTACCCTTTGTATACACGGGATTACTCTGATACGGTGCTGGTTTTGTTATAGTCTATTCATAACTGAGATGTTTGGTCATCTCTTTCATGTATGGTATGATATGTTTCATACAAAACTTAAATCCCTTTCAGTTCTGCAATGCTGGTCCGGGACAATATGGTGAATGGAGCGCCTGGTCAACTTGCTCGTCTTCTTGTCCTGGTGGACAACAGACTCGAGTTCAGAAACATTCCTGTGGGAGAGATGATTCCGTTGAAACAAGATTTTGCGGAGAAGATGCAGGGTATGGATCATGGCAACAGTGGTCAACATGCAGTAAAACATGTGGTGGAGGAGTATTGATTAGACAAAGATTTCATATTTGTGAACGTAAAGACGCAGAAACAGAAACCAGGTTTGTCGGTTGGCTAGTTGTTTTAAAATCACAACTAGCGTCATTTTTACGTATCAGTTGTCTGTAGCAAAGAGGGTTTTGAGATATTGCAATAACATTTCATTTTCCTACTTCATGAAATGATATACTCCATAATTTATATAGAATTTTCGAGGTATACCTGTGCTTTATTGAGAATCATTCAAATATCCATATGCAAAGGTTATTATCAATATGAAGCTAAATAGATGATTGATTGTGTTGCTGAGATGCCTCTCTTCTGCTACGTGTAAACAAAAACTAAATATGTAAAAGAGCACTATCACGTGAAAATTGACAATGTTAATTGTTACCGGATTTCAAATTTGTATTTTTATTCAAGAATTTGTAACGATGAACCAGGATCATACTTACCTTTTGGAGCATGGAGTCGATGTTCAAAAACTTGCCCGGGTGGACAGAAAATTCGATATGCCAAACATACTTGCGGTTTGAAAGACAAGGTCGAAGTTGAAGAATGTGGAGGCCCGGGAGAATTCATGGATTGGAGTCAATGGACTCAATGTAGCAGTACATGTAATGGTGAACAGGTATGGATATAATAAACTTTATTATTGTTATTCGACTCATTCAAGAAATGAAATCGATGTTCCTATACCAATGCCAATTACAGATTGTTACTTCAAATTGAATAAATGTTCATTGTCAAATATATATCATCGTAACGGCCGAACTGTATGCTTTTCATCATGGTATAAAAATATGTTACATATTTCCTTTATAATATATTTGCAGATGCGAACAAGGTTCCATTCATGTAACAAGTCACCTGATATTGAAAGACGTAAATGTGAAAACGGAGGATCGTACAGTCAGTGGACATCATGGGGCCCTTGCTCTAAAACATGTTATGGAGGTAACTAGACAACTCTTATTACTAATTCTAAATTTGAAAACATTCTCTTAAAACGTCCCACAACCTTGAAACTTTATTTCAGGTGAACAAACCAGATCGCGTTATCACTCTTGTGATGAGCCAATGATGAAAGAAACCCAATTTTGTGGCGAACAACCCAGCTATGGACAGTGGAGCTTTTGGTCACCTTGTTCAGTCACATGCGGAGTTGGCAAACAAACAAGACAACGGCCAGGATTTTGTGGAAATGATCAAGATACAGAGGTAAGTGCTTTAACTAAAAACTTCAAAATATAGATATTTTTGACCTCGGAGTTGATTCAAAAATGTATTTTAGAGGCGGGTTGATCAAATTCACACAAAATTCAGAACTTTAGGTTGGGAACAGGTTATATATTTCTAACAATACAATATACTTCGCAGTATATATGTATTTGCACTCTTCAAGAATTGTTCGAATTCATAATAATTTTTCAGGAAAGAGTATGTGGTACTAAAACCTGTTGTGAACTTTTGGAATGGAGTGCATGGTCTGCTTGTAGTACATCGTGCTTCACTGGACAACAAAGTCGAACGCGTGCTACCACTTGCTCAAACGGTGTTCCAATTTCCACTGAACTTAGAGATTGCAATGGCGGAGGTAAGTTTGGGTTCATTACTGAAAATACTAGACTTTCATAAAAAATTGTTCAAAATTGTGAAATAATCCGATGCTAGTAGTTTATAGAGCTCACAATATCTTCTATACATTTTAGATGGGCAGTACATGGAGTGGTCGATGTGGTCACAATGCCCTGTTACATGCGGAGGAGCAGTCCAAACAAGACATCGTTTTCATACTTGCCGAAAAGATTCGGATACTGAAACTAAGCCATGCGCGACAACTGAATGCCCATACTTTACAGAATGGACACCTTGGTCAACGTGCTCAGCATCTTGCTTTCAAGGTAAATTCACGAATATGTCTCAATTTATTTTTTGACCTGGAATGAAATCTAGAAAAAATCTAAATATTTTTAAATAGGTGTTCAAATGAGAAACAGAGAATGTATCAATGGAGTTGCTGGTTATTTTGGATGTGTAGGAGAAGTTGTACAAACAACTGATTGTACAATCAACCCTGGTAGTTGGAGCCAGTGGTCATCTTACACACGATGCTCGGTGAGAAATCTACTAGATAATTAATGGCGGAAATATAATTTTATTTAATAATAGCTCAAAGCAGCCATACCTTATGCAGTTCTGGAGTGGCTATTCATTTATTTCCACAGGCAACGTGAAAAATCTACTAGACAATTAATGGCGGAAAAATAATTTTATTTAATAATAGCTCAAAACAGCCATACCTGATGCAGTTCTGAAATGGCTATTCATTTATTTCCATAGGCAACGTGCGATGGCGGAACACAATATCGAACTAGAAAACACTCATGTGGTCTACCAGATGAAGTTGATTCAATATCCTGCAACACGCACCAAGGTACGTGTTTTGTAGGTTTTTCACTCTGACAATATTGCGTGGTACGCGATAAGTTCGTACTTATTGGACCAGTATTTCATAACAAAACTTGCACTTACCGGTATGTAGCAAAAGAAAATCATCTTAAGTTTAACCAACATCGGGAATCAGTCATTAACGTCGTTTTAAAAACCTGTTGGTAGAGCAAGGTGTTGAAATAACTGATGATATTTAATTCAGGTTCCTGGATGGAATGGGACATGTGGACAACATGCTCAAAAACATGTGGTGGCGGAGTACGTAGTAGAAGTCGTCGTCATACCTGTGGACAACCAGAAGATACTCAAATAGAAGCATGTAACCAATACTCAGGATCTTACAGTGAATGGTCTATGTGGTCAACATGCTCCAAAACTTGCGCTGGGGGCACTCGCACAAAGGTGAGTAAAGTTTCTTTTTATAAAAGATACGATAGCTATCGGTCAGTATACAATATATATAATATATCTAATAGGTATTATATACCTATATTATATCTAATAGGTACAATATATATAAAAGAAAATTAAAATATACAGCAAATGTCTGCTTGACGTTCACTCTAATAAATTAAATAAACGAGAATATCGGTCAGAGACCGAAGACTATCGATCGAAAGTTAGGGGATTCCAAAACAGTGCTCTTACTCCATAGTGATACCTTGTGTCCCATCACTAATTAATTAATAACTCGCTAATTATACTACATAATTCATCCAAAATCAATAAGCTTCTGGTAGGCTACGACATATGATGAATGCACATGCAAAATCTGGTGCAGATTCAATCTCGCTTTCGTGAGATATCGCGTGCATCTAACAGACAAACAGACAGACAGACAAATACCTATCAACATACTTACCGATTAAAATCGATAAGTAATAAAATCCAAATATTGTTATTTGTAGCATCGACATCACTCATGCGGACTAAACCCTCAAGTCGCCTCAGAACCTTGCAATACATATCAAGGAAATTACGTACAATGGAGTCAATGGAGCGAATGTTCCGCTACATGCGGTGGAGGATCAAGATCAAGGAGTAGATCACATACCTGTGGCTTTGAACCCCAATATGAGCAAGAGGTGAAAAAATATCTGGAAGTAATGAATATTGTCATATTAGTTTTAGTTTTCAATGGGCTGGGTGCAAATAAAGTATTGCGAACTAAGTAAATGCAGAGAAAATTAGCTAGCATTTTGTGCGAAAAGTAGAAAAACAAACAATATTAAAAACATTACAAACATTTTTGATAAGGACGAAACGAACTGTTCTTGGTTTTGATTTACAGTAGGACAGCAATGTTTCAGTCATATTAGACAAGAATGATTTAAAATTTAGGAATTCTATAGTGTTTTCTCCAAATTAAATATATATCTAATAATATATCTATAGGACTGTACCCGAGGTCCATGCCCATACTGGACCGGATGGACAACATGGAGTGCTTGCTCCGTCACATGCGGTACGGGATTGCAGATGAGATCACGATTTTGTGAGGAAGGTGTGAAAGGGCAACCAGGTTGCATGGGAGAACCAGTGGACATGAAACCTTGTAATGCAGGAGATGGAATGTGGATGGAATGGAGTCAATTTAGTACATGTAGTGCAACCTGCAACGGTGGTTTCATGACAAGGTATACATTTTGAACTTTATTTAGCATAGTAGTCTACCAGTAGGCTACAGTGTAATTGGTTACCCATGTTGAATACCAATCACAAAATAATAAATATTCTGAACTAGCTTCTGAAACATTCAAATTAAAATAAAAGGGACTTCAACCTTTGATAATTTGTTGGGAGTATTCTTATTATAATACAACTTACAATCTTACAGATATCGTTCTCATACATGTGGCAAGCCTAATGAAGTCGAGACGCTTCCTTGTAATACTGTTGTGGGAACTTATGGTGCGTGGTCACAATGGGGTGCGTGTAGCGCCACATGTGGAGGCGGAAGCCATGTAAGGAGAAGATCACACTCTTGTGGAAAACCCGACGAGGTTCAGGTCGAAGCATGTAATGATAACCCAGGTGAATATTACTTGAAAGTTAAATTATTGAACGTTTAGTCTAATGTGTTTATAAATATTCATTTTTTGAATATTTTACTTGATACGTCACTTTTCATTCGACAGTACTTTTCACAACTTTAACGAACACTCTATATTCTCATTAAGTAATGCGCTGATATTAATTTAAAGCACTTTGAATGTTTTTCCGACAAATTTATGAAAAATATTTGTGATATTTCACGTTTTTCCATATTTTATTAATTTGGTTCATTTCAGGTCATTATACTGAATGGTCCGACTTTACGCCATGTTCCGCAACTTGTAGTGGTGGAACGAAATCACGTAAACGTCATCATACTTGTGGAAGACAGCCGGAAATTGAAACTGTCATCTGCAATACTCAGCCATGCGCCTACTGGGGAGGTTGGAGCAATTATGGACCTTGTAGCGCCACATGCGGCGAAGGAACAAGGGTACAAAATTTATAATTCTATTCTAACAGACTAAAAGTATCAGTTCGTCCATGTGCACCCAGCACCCGTCATTAGGAAAACTCCCTCAAACAATCTGCCAATATTTGAAAATTTGCACATTTGAATGTCGGTTCTTGCACAAGCTATCAATAAACTATAACTTTATAATATTTTTAATTGCGCGTGTTATTTAACCTGTAATGTCAAATGTATTTTGATGCCAAATACTTTTAAGTCCAAATTTTGTTTTATAGACACGATCTCGGCAATGTCACGGAGGTAAACCGGGCAATGGACTCTGCTTTGGAATTGTAGAAGAACCACAAAGTTGCAACGCTGGTGCTTGTTGCGATTGGGACTGGAGTGGCTGGAGTCAATGTTGTTCTAAGACAATATACTCCGGAAAAAGCAATATTCAAATTCGAATGAGAGGAAACCAGTGTGGCCTGGAGTGGGAAGAAAAAACACGAGATTGTCTTCCGGGGATGACATCCCAGTTTGATTGGTAAGTTAAAAAAAAAACGCAATACTCTGGATGGTTCCACGAACGCCGTGAAATTCTTCCCATGCTTTACCTTTAGAAAATTGTTTATGTTGCGTGTTCACCATTTCTATTCAAAACATTCAGTCAGTTTCCATTGAAAATTACCGGCATCCAACTTTAGTTTAGGTTATCACAGGTTTTCAGCGCCGTGTCCTAATCAAACAAATCCATTCTAGAGACAAATTGAGAGAACCTTTTATATGAACATGACCGGGTTTCGAGTCATGACTCAAACGCTAACAGCTTACTTGTGAACTCGCAAACTAAGATTACCGAATTCCAGTGTATCCCCACTTAGCATTGTCAACCACCATAGCTCTTTTGTGTAAAAGATCTAGTGTGCTCAAGTATTTATTAAGAATAATATAATTGTTGGAATTAGTACCATAATGTCTTTGAATTTTCGAAAAACTTATTGTCCTATTTTTTTTTATTAGCTCAAATACAAGGAAAATTTGGTCGAAGACCTTCAGATGAAAATATCCACAATGATGCTACGACTTTCTTTTGTTTTGTTTTGTATACGACCAATGAATTAGTGCATAGATTTAAATTTGTATCAATATGTTAATTGAACTACTTGTTCGGAATAAATATATTTCTTGGTATCCGTCTAGTGCCTGAATATGAATGCATTCAGAAAATGAAAGCAACTGATGTGATGAAATGAAGTCTGGTGGCATAAGCTTCATATATAATCAATCAATATCGAATCATTGAACTCGCAACTCATAACACATGGCGTAATAACAATGAGTTTTCCAGCACAAGCTCACATTAGCATCGGGCAAGCTTGCATAACCCAACGCAAGGCTACGGTGTACCGGCACATAAAACGGGCACATAAATCTGAGAGACCGACTGGACGGGCATTAAATCGCAATCAGAATGCAATCACATGTCTACAGTTTGGTCGGGGCAAAGAATTCATCCGCAAGGCCCATGATAACTATTCAGACTTCCGAAATTGTATTAGGACCGCAGGCACTTACAAGCCGCACTCGCTAAGAAAATAGTAATCTGAGTAAAGTTACGGGCAATCGACTCGAGGCAGAAGCCACAGAGACCGAACTTTTAACCCGCGATTCGATTGACCAACTAAGCATGCGAGCAGACGGGCGAAACTATAGCGGTTTGATGAAGAGGTCAACGCTGATTTAAGAAAATTTCAAAATTGATTGATGTGTTTAGTTGGTTTTAGTTTATTTTTTCTTTTAATCACTCGTACTTTCGATTGGGTCACAGCACGGAGACTTCGGGAATTTAGGAAACTATAACAGCCTGGCCAACCAACAGCTCTGGCCTATCGGTGAACAGTTAAACATAAAGAGAAGTAAATATAACCGTAATAGTGTTTGAAGATTTATTAACACAGAGAAATGAACATAGTTTATAAATGTATAACGAAACAAATAATCCATAAACTCCTCTAGTTCAGATGCAGAAAGATAAATTGCATATCAAATGAGAAATTAATTCAATAAGCCCTGCAGTCGCAATTCGGCAATCCGCATTTGCACAAATCTACGGAAGTGAGGACAGTGGAATTCGGTTCCAAGTTGCAGCAATCTTGTGAAACTTCACAGAGTATGCTATCATCCGACGAGTTACTGCCAAGATTGAATCTGGAATTTCTTATCAATGGCCTTTTTACAGTAAAGGAGGAACGAAGACGCGAGGTTGATTTCTGCCAAGAGTACATAAGCAGGATGTAGAAGACGACGACGAGAGCCACTGGGACCAGTATTGCAACAATAGTAACGTTGTTTCCGTCGACAGCTTCCGGTCTAGTAACGTTACTGCGACGTTCAACTGCAACAAATACGTAACAAAATTAGATACAGACACTTAACACACTAATAACTAAGCACATCGTTTTCACGTGATAAGCCGCCTTACCGGAGGGTATCTCGTCCACTTCGATCTCGTTGACGTAAACGGGAGCTTTCGCCGATGCTTCGGGATACAAAATCATTTTCTCAACACCTTCACTCCCATTGATGATGACTAGAGGTCCAACGAAAACGTAACCATTCTTGTTGATTTCAGCTAAAGATCTGCGCTTTCTACCAGCAATTGGTACACACTTTTGCATTCCGCCGGCGCATGTCTGAATGAGAAACACAAATTTAAGTTTTGAATTCCAGTTTTATCTACATTTCATTATATTTTACTTGCAATTCCGACGGGCTGCACAATTGGAGGTGCAAGTGTATGTATGCAGTTTCGCATCCAAGAGCACGGGGTGTCTGAAAGGAGACACAGGCGCGATGTCCAATTTCATAAGTTGTCGAGAGTCCGGAATTTGCAGGGCATCTGAAGAAAGAAAAATATTTTATTTAAAGCACAGATATCATTGATTCCACGTAATGACGACTTTTCAAAAATAATAGGTACCCGTCAGCTATCAAGCTCAACCCAGCCGAGTTTCCAGGGCTTGCTGTGCAAGATAATCTCATGTCTGCGATGGTCGTCACATAATCCATAAAACCGTTCTGAACGACAAAAAGAAAGTATTAAATCACGACGACTCTCCAAAAACTTTCGTTACGAGATAAAAAAAAACATACCTGTGGTAGTGCTGTAGCGCTCAATTGTATCTTTTCTCCGACTGTGTACACAGCTCCCATATTAACCTGGAATTTCTCAGGGCAATCCGACTGACAAGACGATACCTTGCATAATTCAACCTCTGGTGCAAACTGGCCATATTTTGTAATCAGTTCTGGTTGAGTCACCCTATTCAAAAAGTAAATGTCAAGTCCGTTTGCGTCGCAATTTAAACGTCTCACTTTGTGGACGTCTCCAATGAATCAGCAAAAACTATGAATCATTTTGTTTCCAAATTGACTACTACGAGCATTACAAATTGCGCAGACTTACGGGTGTATACGAATATACCGGATAGTTAACAATTATTTGAAACCTTGGTTATGAAATACGTATTTACTTACGATATATATGTTCGTATTTACTTACAATGGTTTTATGGATGTTACCAATCTGTACTCCCGTTCATATCTGCATTCGAAGTCCAAGATGGGTACTGGCATGCTAAATAGGGTACTTCTCCTATCCATGAAAACACGATTTTTCACAACTAGAGCATCCGACATTCTGCGACGACTCGTACCACAGCTGATAAACGGCAATGGAACATCATAGTGAAACACACCACCAACATTGACCGCTGAAATAAGTAAGCCGAGTTAACACAGTCGTTGTGCCATGGAAGCGCGCATAAATAAACAATCATTGACACGAACCTTCACACTGTCTGCTCCCGGAGTTCGAGGACTGCGCCAGGTAGAAAATGGTGTTTCTCATTCCTTTGTCGAACTCTGCATAGAGAGCCTCTGGAATATCTACCGAAATACTTCGCTGACCGCATCGAATTCTTGGTACCTCTGAAATAATTGTTTAATAACTAACACCGGGATACATCATGTGCTGTAAACTTATGTAAAACTTACGTATGGTACAATTCTTTCCCATGTATCCACCTTCGCTGGCGCAATAGTACCCGTATTCGTGCTGGCATGACTCACGGCAAGTGCAGTCCCCTTTACAAGGATTCGGATTGCAAGGTCCAGTGAATTTTTCTAAGCTATTTTCACAATGAAGACCTTTGTATCCGTTTTGACAAACGCATCTGAAGTTGTTATTTTCAAAAATATTTAGTCAACAGTATGCAGTTGGGCAATGAGATTTAAAACTTTCGGACCTCGTGAAGTATGCGCACCAAGCAGGCGCACAACCTGAACCCTGGTTGCATACCAGGTTCAGGTTATGCGACATCTTGGTGCGCATACTTCGGGAGCACCCAAATTTAAAACCAAACCTACCTATAACTACTTCTGTCTTCAACACAAGTTCCTCGTCCGCTGCAAGTATCTGGTGTGCAATAGGGTGCTGAGCAAACTACACGCGAACTGAAAATTGGTTGATAAAATGTCACTTATGAGTGACTTATTCAAGTCTAACGAAGCACGTAGTAACGTATTTCCCGGCAAATAAGTCTACCCGGTCAATAAGAAGAGGCCCGTTTTCAAGCCCGAAAAATGAGTTTTTTTGCATATAATCTGCCAATAAGTCGGGGTAGTAAAATCGCATTAACATCTGAATCTCAAATTACCATGCAATGTCTTTTGAGCGGTCTCCGCCTTTGCGCATTGGTTAAAATAGTCCATAATGACTTTTCTTGTAGCGTAATATTCAATCCATAACTACGGGAATACAAACTTTCTTTAAATTTTAATCTACTTGTGTTCAACTCGCGATTGCGTCCACCATAAAAGAACATTACCTAATACATAAGGCGACACCAAAAAAACGAAAATTATCATACTCTCCTGCCTAATAAAACGACCCCCACAAAACCAGGCCAAAAATTCCGTTTAGAAAAGAGACTTATTCGCCGGGAAATCCAGTACTTATCTGACCATCTCGTATCTAACAAAGCACGTAGTACTTACTTCACCATCTCGCATCTTTCGCCTGTACTGCATGGACTCGGAGCTACAGAACACCGATCAAATACAGTAGAAATGCCTTTGTTTTTCTGGTCCCATGCCGACCCACTTCGCACACCCACAACCGGACGACCAGGCTTGCTGTTAATACATTTAACTCATTTACCATATCGCAGGGGAATGTTAAACGGGATCAGTGCAAGAATTAAGTATTTAAGAGCCGAATGCTGCGCCGAATGCAAAAGCTTGATTTATGGCAACTTTTTTTTTGTGAAATCATGTATATGGGATCACCAGAAGTAAACAAAGCCAACTCACTTCTCGCATTGATCTCCCACGTAGTCTTTTGTACATTCGCATCTGTAACAAAAAGTGATCTTTTCACAACATAACATCAACAATACACAAATTATATACAGAACAAGTATGACTTACTTGAATTCCCCTTTGTTGGCGGACTCTTTGCAAGCCCCGCCATTCTTACATGGATTCGGTTTGCATGCATAAGACAAGCAGGTAACCTCGTCACTGAAACAACAATTTGCTTTAGTGTCACATTGCTTTACGCTTACCACCATGCGAAAATTATGCAAGATACAAAAGCATACTTTTTGATGACACATCTCTGTTCCAAAGGACACTTGTTCATGCATTCAGAGAGATCGCTTTCCTTCTTTTTTTCATCGGGCCCTTCTTCACCCTTACGAACATCCGCGACAGAGCAATTATTTCCGGAGAAACCTTCGTCACAAAAGCATCTGGAAGAAAAATAGGAATTACAAACTTTCTGAAATCTTATAATGGCGACCAAACAATACGTAGTCCAGCAACTCTAGTAATAATAAATGATATCGTATTTAACAGTAAACAGAGGATAGCCACCCGCTGCTTCCAACACAGTGTCCATTGTTACTGCATCGTTTTTTTCCGCAATCTTTTTTGATGCAGTGATATTCTTTTCTGAAAAATTAAGTTGAGAAATTACCAGACATCTAGGAACAGATATTTTACTGTCTCAATGCTTCCGAACTATGAGCAAAGAGGCAGGTAATTGTAAATGTATGACTCACTCATCCCCAGTCCGGATGTCGATCACGATTTGGCATTCATGATCATCCCCACAACCCGCGTTCATAGATTCAGGACAGCTTTCGAATGGAAAACGCACGTGCGACCTCTGCTGGATTGGGCCATGATGATCGTCATCCATGGACACTGTAGTCGAAGAAATTGCAGTATTGGCCTCGTTGTCGTTGCCCTCTCTGCTTTCGGAAGAATTTACAGTAGTCGTCTCTCTGTCGCGGCCCTCTCTGCTTTCGGAAGCCATCGTAGCAGTCGACTCGTAGTCGCCACCCTCTCTGCTTTCGGAAGGAATTGCAGTAATCGATTCAGGGTCATTAGCATTTCGATTTTCGTAAGATTCGGCAGACGATGTCGTGGCCACATCATTGCCAACCCTAACACCAGCAACCGCAGGGGTAGCAGTGGATGCATCGTCGTCGTGATCGCTGTCTCCGACCCTGGCCTCAGCACTTGGTATCACTGTAACCTCGTCGTTTGCCCCCCGTACGTCAAATGCAGCAGTGGTAGCAGACACCGGGTCTATAATCAAATGAAGGTCACAAATTCAGTGAAAAAGACGTCACTGTAAATTTCAAAACCCGCATCACATCCAGCGAGCACTAAAGTAATATTAGACAGAATTCAAATAATTAGTCTTTTCATACCTTTCTCAGAGTTTCCTAAGGTTGGTGCGGATGAAAGCAGCAGAAAACTGAAAACAGTAAATAAATATTTATCAACTTTGTGAACAGGCAAGTTGAAAAAATGCATCAAGCAACTCACCATATCAAAAAATTAACGAAAGTCGCCATCTTTCCAGGATACAAGAAAACAAAACAAAAATAGTCTATTTAAATAACGAAAACAACCAAAAGGAACTAAGAAGAAAAGCACGGCGTTTATATCTAAAACTAGTACAAAAGTTAAGCACATTTAGACTAAGGACACGGAATCAAAAATATCGAATTTGGGTAACTAATATTTCGCAACTGAGTACGCCAGCTCGCCTCAGAAGTCCGCGATCGAACGAGTGCAAAACCACGAATGAATCTTTTACAATCAGGTTTTGAAGACGAATCTGTGTGGGGCAAACGTAACACGCAGCTGATTACATCATATCCAAATCCCATGTGACTAATAATTGGTAGATTGTGAAGATGGGCCACATAATCACGATTGTTTGAATGGTATTGTTTTGTACTATTGCGCCCTGGCTTGTCTGTTTTGTCTGCTCATAATGACTGATATTTTGTTTATGTTTTGCCAAAAATCTGATTTTTGATTTTCATTCTCAGTGACCATATGCCTGAATACGTTTAAGGTTTTATGTTAGAATTACGCTATTGTAATGTTGATTATCTTGTGTAATAAAGTCTGTAAAGTAAATAACTGTATACTTGTGAGTCACTCTCTGGACTGCCCTGCTCCACGAAACACCTGGTCTCTCATGACCCACCACTAACTCCATCCTTAAATCTGAATTCAAGATCATTAGCCTGTTGTTCGAGGCTTTCTCTTATTCTGGATAACTATGAAATAAAGTAGTTGCCGACTTCTCTGGTGTCGAAATAAATAAATTGTGCCTCTTGCACACGTTTTATTTCCAGAGATGATTTTACTCTTACTCGGTATTTGGAAGTGATGACTGAGCCCCATCTTCCATTCACATTTTAAGATAAATTGAACAAAGGCCGTTCTAATACTGCATCGATGTTTTTCTGAAATTTGGGAATTACCTACTAACTGGACAAGAGTCCGTGGTACGGTGTATGATAGAACTAAGCACTACTTGAAAAATTCTGATTGCTGTTCTGATTCTGATTAAAATCATCGTTATGTTTGCCTGTTGAACTGCTTGGACGTAATACTAAGTTGTGCATGCTGTATGTTGCAATCAACGCTTACATCGTTTCACAAACACTGATAATTCTTTCTAGGTGGTGTGAGATTTATTAGGTTTACTTCTTCTGGAATAAAAATAACAACAAGATCATAACAGTATAGAATAGTACAAATTCATTGCTTCCACAATTTACACAATTCGGCACAAACTTCTGTTGCTTCCATTCAATTGTATTCTTTCTAGTCGATCAAATGTGAACATGTCTAACGTGAATAGCTCCTGTTGTGAATACAGGTCGTCGTAGTAAACCTGTGTGAAATAATTATCATTAAATATCTATATTTCATTAACTCAGGATAACACGATGCGCGTTAGGAATACTCATCAGATGTATATATCTGTCACCATCCCGTTCACGGTAGTAGATCGGACCCGCCATCGTACAAATCTCTCGCGCTACAAACACATACAAATTTCAAATCTAAATTTCAGATTTACGCTTCGTAACAAACAATTAAACATATGTCAAAATGCAATTAAACGATTGTTCTGTTAAAAGCAAATCGACCGATCGCCATTGGTAGTGCAGAGTGGTGATATGATCATTTTATGAATCAAAAAATGTTTCTTATACCCACCCCCACAATAATGAAAAAAGATAAAAGAAGAAGACTCACATTGTGGAAGATAGTCATCACAGCATCGAGGTCTACCTGGACGATTACATGTTGACTCGCATGAGCATCCTCCGATATAATACCTACCACATACGTTCAGACATGTTTGAATAACCGTACTGGCCTCTGTTGTAATACAAATTAAATAAATGAATGTAAAAACAGTATGCAGTATCGATAAATTGAGATAAAGTATTAAAAATATTGTCAAAGCGTGAGTACTAAAACCGGTGAATGCTAGACATTAACAGAACAACATGTCACGAAGCCTAGTTTTGATTAGAAACTAAGATGAAGATTTAGCTTTCGACTACAGCCTCCGACTCCAAGATACGACCCGGACTCCATTACAAAAAAATGGGTTACAGGCTAGTAAAAAAACTAAATATGGTTTCCATTCTAGATCATGCTAGGGAAAAACTACAAAAAAAAAACAAAAAAAATTTTTGCAAAGATAGGCACTTTATTAATTAAAATGGGAATTACCACTCAGAGACCAAAAGCAGCATCATTATTCATTGCTACAACAATCAAAGCTAAACTAATTTATTAATAACTCTGGCAATTTTTAATAAGTTTGTGGTCCACGTGAAAATGTTTCTGTGCCCCAAAAGTGGGCCATGGCCCACTGGTTGAGAACTGGTGCCATAGCAAGGGTGTCAAACTCGTGGGTTTTCGAGGGCCGCATTGCATTTTGGGAATTGAGCCAAGGGCTGCGAACAGTCTTGATATATAGGCTGATATATTTTGATAATGTATACTTAAAGCATATTTTTAGATAGGCGTTGTTTGTGACATATATCGTGACGTAGTTTAACAGCTGAATGAAGTTTTGTTATTTTCTTAAATTTCAAATGCCAATATACATAATAATTTTTTTGCATTTCACTATTATTGCAATTTACTGTATTTATTACAAAAAATCGTAAATTTTCAATATACAACTATTCAAAACATTTTTTAGCAAACTTATGATAAGAAAGGAATAATACATATACTCAAGATGACTTAATCTTAATATATAGACCTAAAATTTACAAAATAAACCTAATGTTTTTTATTGCATTTGTCCTGACGTTTGGCATCTCTTTTGGGCCACCAGCTTACCAATAAAGGCTGAAATGATTTTACAGTACCAACTCCAATTAACGAATTCACATGATCATCGATTATTTGGATGGTTGGAATGTTTGATTAATTTCAGAAATGCGGCCCGCTGGACGCGAGTTTGACACCCCTGCTCCAGATGTAGAACAACTGCACAAGTCCTGCAATATTATCGTATTTTCTCGCAATGATCTCTTAACAGACCTCAAGATTTATTCGAATGTTTTGTGAAAAGATATTTTGATATCAACAGATATTTACTGTAACAGATGTTATTTGTTCCTTTGTTAAAACCTTGATCACACTCACAACTTCCTTTGTTACAATGACTGTTGCGTGGGCAGTATTTTCCATGACATAATTCGGCTGTAAAAATTTAAAAATGAATAAAATGAGAACAATACAGAATTAGTTTAAATAAATAGTACTATTGACAAAAGTAAATCGAGGCACTATTACAGAATTTCAAGTTTAAAAAAGGCATTGCAGTGAAAGAGAGAAAATCGAGGTTGCCGGTAGGTAATGTAGCCTAACTCACGCGAGCATATTCCACCAATTATTGTGTATCCAGTTATACAGACGCAAAGTCCGTTCACGCAAGTTGCGTGAGCTCCGCAATGACCCGAGTATTCGTCGCATCTTGATGGATTACCATCATAAGTTACAGATGGATCTGAAATATATACAGGTTGAATGTTTTTAACAGATTTTCTATATGTGTTATATATATACATAGTTACATACCATATATATATATATACATACCTGTGCAAATATCTCCCTGTCGAATATATCCGTCCATACAGATACAAATTCCACCTGTACATCGTGAATTACTGCCACATACAACACCAGTACAACTGTGACTTGGAACCACAACAGTGACTGTAAATATTAGGATTTTTCATTACGCTCAAGTTATTTTGACATGAAACCCTTTGAGACGCCAGGCATCAATTCCAAGCATTTCGCGGATACGATGTGTTATCCGAAGAAGGGGTTAGGTATATTCAGAACTCCAGACCAAAGTAAGCTGGAGTAGCAGGCAGGATAAAGATATCGTATTAAAAGACCAGTGTACAAAATATTGAGTAGACGATTCCAAGCCGAAAGATTCTGGTTTTCGTATAAATCGTAGAGCTTTGTATAATAGTGACTGAATGTACAAAGCCTTTTTTTGGAAAACGCAGATTTGGAAACAAAAATCTATTCTAATTGATGTGTTTTCTTTATGAATTTTTTGAATAAAATCCTAAAATAGAGAAAATACATTTTAGTTTTCTATCGAACGAATTCAACCGTTAAGTTTGCCAACTGCAACGGATATGTTACCTCTACAAGGTCCATATAAGGGATTACCACTATAACCAGCATTACATTTACAGACTCCACTCACGCACGACGAATGAATCGGACATCTGACATCGTAGCATTCGTCCTGAGCTAAAAGTATAAAAAGAGCATATCTAATATTTGAATAAAATATTAAAATGAAATGTTTTCAGAGCAACGATTTTTTGTGTGAAAAATTGATTTGAAGCTAGCCACTGGAGTGAGCATGCGGAGTGCGAAACAAAATAAGAATTTTTCGTGTGAGATAATGTTTTGGAAATGTTTTAAAATTTTTATTAGCCTAGAGGGGATACAAATTCCGAATCTGGTTTGAAAGGCTCTATTAATTTTATTACAACGATCAAGAGATAAACTAATATTTAATTATTTATAGAAGAGCGTCTGCTCCTATATGGAATGTACGCTTAACCCATGCAGGGCCGCGATGGCCCTTCATTTGGCACATACCGTTGAATGACTTTGTATAAATCCAATCATATTTTACTGTATTTTGTGTTTGGAAAAATGAAAATGACGTTTTATTCTGATCATCAATTCATGGGTGTTAAGTTATATTACAAATCACAATTGAGGATTTGGTAAACTCACGCTGGCAAGGACCATCTGTTGTTAGCTGTACATATCCGAATTTACAGAGACATTTTCCATCTTCACAGATAGAATTCTCTGCACATCGTATCTTATGACACAAATGAGCTGTAAATATGAAGATATAAGGTGTTTCATGTTTCATTACCAATCGCTTCGAGTATTTCATTGGCAGTAATGTTTCTATCAAAGATTATTGCAAATGATTGTGTATTTGAAAAGTTACCTTTACAATCCCCAGATTGCCAATCTTCAAGATATCCTGCTAGGCACTCACACTTTCCTTGTTTGCAAACTGAGAAAGGACCACATGGTATTCCCAAACATGGATCTTCAGCTGGCATGATAAGAGAGGGTGTTAGAGAAAGAGAATCTTATGTTATGCTATTCTATTTCGTTTAAATTATTCTAAATAAGATATGTAACAAAAAGGATACAGTTATCTTTTTATATCTGTCAAATAAGGAAATGTAAAATATTTAAGCTTTTCAAATATTTAGAAAGACGAGAATGGATTCTTGCATATTTAGCTTTCATTTTTGTCTCGTTCACAAAGCAATTTTTGTAGATTCAACACTAATTTTAACTTTTTTCTGTGAAGCCCAGATCGCCATTTCTTTCTCGTCTTTCTCTTACATTTATACACAATATTATGCTGAATATTATACCCATTCTTACCAACGCATTCTACGTTGTTCGAAAAAACGTATCCCTTATTACATAGACACGATATAATGCTGCCAATCACTTTGCATGAACTGTTTATCGGACATGTAATTCCAGCACAACGATCTCTGTCTTTTTCTGCATGACAAAACGAATCGAAAAATTTGATATTATGATTAAAATAAATGATGCTTTCCTCTATACCAGGGGTGGGCAACCTTTTTCGGCTCGCGTGCCAAAATCGGCTAAATTTAACGACAAAATTCTCCCGCGTGCCAAAATTAGAACACATTGCTTTGCTACTTTCAAAGCAAAAATTCACAATAATAAACCTTCTTAACAAGCACAGACGGATTCACTATATTCAGGAATATATCAGTCCAACAAATAGATTTGATTACTTTTCTTATTCTATATCAGTGGGATTACCGCATAACTGAGAACTGAGATTCACAAGCATAATGTAGATGAAAACATGGAGAGCAATACAGTTGCAAAGTTCTTAAGACACGCAACATTTTGGGGAATGGCATCCCAATCACACAATGATTCGTTTTCTGCACTTCTCTCTTGTATTCCCTTTCCCCAATCGCTCATATTTCTTTTGAAATCAATTTATAACAGTAATTTAGCACGTAAGTCTAACCAACATGAGCTGTACAACTTCATAAATCAAGCAGAAATGAAGAAAAGGGTGACACAGACGAAATATATTATGTGAGAATGTAGCCATATGAATGCTGAGCTCTTCTCGACAGCCCACTCATTTGTTATGTCAAAATAATATATTCCTTTGTGCCATGTATATATATGTCATGAAAGGACAAAAAGAGTTTAAATAAATAACGAATTGTTAACAAACGAACACCCAGTTTCATCAGGTAATTCCTGATCAGAGGCCTCGCTCGCGTGCCGAATAAATGTGCTCGCATGCCAAGTTTGGCACGCGTGCCAGGGGTTTCCCACCCCTGCTCTATACGAATAAGGATACAAAATACAAGTTGGGTTCAAATCCGGTAACTGGCACTCATGAATACTCATTAATCTTTCATATGATTATCTTGCAGACATACGTATATTCCTGCCAATCAACAACCTACAATAGGGTAAATCTTCATTTGTATTTAAAATTGCGTGGGATTTGAACTTATATTTGTCAGAAAAAAGGATATATATAGAATGTTTTATTTTATAAGATAGTATTTACATATTTATTTCGGGGGGAAGGAAAGCCGATATGACAGCTCAATCGTATGGCGAACCACGGCCTCTCGTCCGGTTACCATTACCAGTCCCATGCAGTTAATTGTTTTCAGAAGCATGGATTTGGTGGTGGAAAAAGCCGTAACCGACCAGTGTTTACGTAAATCACCCTACGGCGGCGAGGAGTCCAGCAATCCTCTCACACATAACTATCCCCGCATGGGATTGAACCTGCGAACCTACGCAGGGTAATCAGAGGTGCGGTGGCGATCGTATTCCTAACGCTTAACACGATGCGCCACACCGCCGAGCCAAGACTATGCCAACATTGAGTACAATGGTATATTCATATTACTATTTAAAATTTGCTTTTGCAACATAAATATTGTCAAATTATATACTTACTGACACATTCAAATCTTGAATTCATTTCATAACCCAATGTGCATATGCAAGATGGGATTTTGTTTGTAATTTGACATTTTGAGTGAATTGGACATTTTATCAAGCTACATGCGTCAGGTTCTGTAATAAATAAGGTGATGAATGATGAATATTCAGGCCTGTGGAATATATGCTTCCGTTTGTTTACACTTTTTAAGACAATCTTTAACTACTCCATTCAAAATTGAAATTATCTTATTTTGGCTTTGAGAATTTTTCCTCTCCAATGCTTTTATCTCGATCATGGTGAACCAACCAATAAAACCAAACTAAGGAGAGAATAAAACTTAATTTCTCAATTATTTCTAAGTAATGGAAATTATATTTAATTTTTTTCGCTGGAACTTCGGCTTGTGTTTTATTACTTAACAGTTTAAAAAGTAAATAAATAAAAGCCATGATAACTCACTTCGACAAATTTCGTCCACTCCTTTTACGTACTCTCCAATACATTGGCATTTCCCAGCAACACATCGTGAATTCTGATCGCATCTTACGTTAGAACATGAATCAAGTCCTGAAGCGTACAAGAAAAAAGATTAGGACTTTACATACTTAAAAATATTGGCTCTGTTAAATCATATATATACTACTATTTATTAGAGCTCGACCGATATATCGGCCAACCGATATATCGGGCCGATATTGCGTGTTTGCCGATATATCATATCGGCCCAACCGGCCGATATATCTGGCCGATATATATCAGTGTTAGTCGCTTTTCCACGTTCTAAAAAATGAGTATTTTTGCCCGGGAAATATCTGCGGCCGAGCGTTTTCTTTTTTTCGCTTCTCTCATTTTGCCTTTAGTGAATAGAGTTCTCTTCTATATTTCTCTCTCTCTTTTATCTCTTCGTGCGGCGCAAAATCCTCGCCTTCGAATATCTTGCGTTCCAACTAGGCTTGCACGTAATCGACAAAAATCAATTCTGTAATTACGGCAAAATTGATTACGTAATGACCCCGTAATTACGATTATTTTTTCACACATTTAAACCCATCATAACAACCATTTGAATCCACTTCTTTTCCGAACGGGACATCGAAATTGGTTTTCATATTACCGACAGTACTACACGGCGGCGACAGATGTTAAAGACAAATACCAAGGAGTGAATTCAAATAAAATTTATTCTGATTTTTATCTTTTGTGTTGGCTGTGATTTTTCTTTATCATCTTCGCAAATTAACCGTCCCAATTTTATGCGATCAATTTTATCATTACCGATCCTGGTATACCGATATTTATGAAACGATAGTTGGCTTTTTTAAAATCGACTTTCGTATTGAATAAAAATTTCGGGATTCTAAGTTATTAATCAACGACAAGCGCATTCTCTCGTTTGATTATACCTGCGCTTGCCTCGCGACGAAGACTTGTTATTGCTACGTTTTTTACATTATCCGACTTTGCTACCTAGTTAGCATTTTATAATAATTATTGATGCTGAACTATTGACGATATTCCGATTACCAAGCTTCATTTTATATCAAATTATTTCGCGGCCTAAATGTTATAACATTATTTGCGATAAATTTAGATCAAATATTAATTATTTAGCCGGCGATAAATTCTTACCCGTAACTCGTTGTAAATTAATGCTAATAAATTCTATTTTGTTCATTAATGCGCCGTGATTTGTATTAATAAAAGTGATTGAGTCGGGAAAAGAAAGTAGCCTTCTCTCCTTTTGAGGGCCCATAGCGGCGGTAAAATTCGTTTCATGTCTGTTTCACGGAGAGAAAGAAAAATACGCCTTCCGAAATTACAATCAACTATCACACATTCTTATTCATCATTATCAGCGCCGAATAAAAAAGATACCAAATCGTGAAGACAAAAAAGCCTGTCAGTGTTAATTGCGTTACGGTGATAACTCTCATAATAATATCGTTTTGACCGTGAAACCAAACGCTCAGAAGGGGTGGCAACGCGTCATGCCTTCCCCCACCTGCGTAACAAGAGAGAGAAAAATGCAGCGAATACCGTAACTGTAACTTCTTCTTCTTGGTAAACTTTCATTTTTACAATCGACGGAATTGACTGCTTTGAAGGAGTACGTTTCAAACGCGAAAGCGCTCGACCAATAATTACGACTTTACGTAATTTGTAACTCGAAATATTTACGTAATTCCGTAAATTACGTGCAAGCCTACTCCCCACCTACTACTGTATGGATCAAAATGGACTTCCAGAACCTTTTTACTGACTGCCTTTTTCTTTTGTGCTTGGTTTTTTCAAACATTGCCTTCTGTGTGTGTTCTCATTATTTGCTGTGAAACTTTCATCAATGATGCAAGCACTGTGTAGGACTGCTTTATTTTTCAACATAAACTTTTGATTGACTGAAACTGAATTTTTCTTACTAGTATTTACTGCGGGTTCAGGTTGTAGATATCGGTATGTCGATATCGGTTATCGGTCACTAGTTGGCCGATATATCGTTATCGGTATCGGTGCCAAAAAGTGATATCGGTCGAGCTCTACTATTTATATAAAGCAATTATAGATTTAGACGACTTGCAACGACGTTGCAGTCAACTTACTTTCGCATCGTCCATTTTGTGTTCTTCTATATCCAGCGATGCATTCGCAGCTCCCTCGATTTCCTTTGACGACGCAAACACCGCGAAACTTGCAGTCTACTTCATAACATGGATAGTTGACTAAATATAGAATTTGGATGGTAAACCAGTACTTTTTAAAACCGGGTGATTAAGCGGGTCAAACTGTTGGTCCCCGCGTTTAACATTGAATAAGGTTTATATTTTCTTACCTACACATTCTCCCAATCCTTCAGTGTGATATCCATCAATACAGATACAATATGCCACTCCCTCTCGTGATGTACACCTGGCATTCGTAGGACATCGAACAGTAGAGCATGGATCACCACTGAAATCTAGTCCTGTAGATGTGAGAGCACACATAAGAGAGAGAATATACCTTTGCCTCATGAACAGACTTTCTGACACACAAATCAACATGAGCATTTATACGATATACGTTATATTAGCGAATTACTTCGCTTCGAGTGAGCTTTTTCTTATGCGCAGGATACTGCAAGCGTATCTTGCAGGTGTACCCATGCAAAAACAAGTTTGTAATTGAAATCGAAAAATGTTAATAATGACATAAACATGTCGACAATATGCGCCCAAACGTGTAACCTAAAGGCAAAAGTCACTGGTGTTATGACCTCTAATAACATCTTTAATTCACCAGTCACCAGCAGTACCAACGTATGCAAATTAGCCACCTTATTTCAAGAATAATGTGTTACGAGTTTGGATTGGGCATTACAAATATTAAAAATGACTAAAAGATTTCTCACTTTTACAAAATCCGTCAATTCCATAATTATATCCCAAAGTGCATTGGCATACTCCATTGATACAATCTGAGTTCACGGGACAAGTCCTACCAGCACATTTGTCAAATACTACAATGAAAAGTTGAATTAAAGTTAGATTATTGTACGGCATATCAACAATAACGAAAAGTGGCCGCCTACTACAAATATGTGATAAAACTGGTCTATTTCACAAAGATTGTCAACTGATATGGATAAGGGCACAAGGAGATATAGTGTCTATACCAGGGGTGGGCAAGGTTTTCGGACGGGGGGCCAAAAGTTTTGCCCATCTAGACTGGCGGGTCTTATAAGTATGAAGTAAAAGTTACATTTTATGGACAATATTTACAGTGTTACAAACGCAAAAGTGGAAAAGGATAAGCCATGCCAAAACTCAATTTGATCGCAATCCTAACAAATTCCTTGAGCTCTTCTTTTGCTGAAACAACAAAATTTAGTTTTCGTTTGGCTGTGACAGCATCAGCGGGCCAGATTGAATTACCCAACAGGCCGGATTTGGCCCGCGGGCCGTAGTTTGTCCATGTCTGGTCTATACTGTACTTTAAATAGCATGATTGTAAACAACAAAAGCACATTTCTCAAATATATGGACACCAAGCCCAACTACAAGAACAGTATATATTTCATAAATATGAATATTACAGCAAAATTTGGAACGAGATATCGGGACTCTAAAAGTCAATAATAAAATTAATGAAACTTCTTCTATCCATCTAATTACTAAAATTTTAAAATCGATTATTACAGTACTTGGAAGAAAAGCTATTTTTTTTTCACAACAACAAGAACAATCATCCTCACAAGGCTGTCAACAACAATTTATCAAAACAGTCCATTTGCACACTTCGCGTCCAAAAAATACAATCAGCAGTAACGCTATTCTTAATGCACATTCATTGGAGCTATTTAATTTCACTTTATCATCTTGAAAAGTTTTCTTACCAGGATTGCATTTGCCATCAGCAGCCAGAACATATTTATCCCGACATGCACATGTTCCTCGCACACAGAAAGCAGAAGAATGACATCGAACACCATAGCATGGATCACGATCAACTGGAATGTAATGAAAGGTCAAAAGAATGCGACTGGAAGCAATTTTAAACTATTATTTTTTTAATTCCTTTCTGATGTTGTCATTGCAACATGATATGAGGCAATAAATCGTTTTCCATGGCTATTTGATTTATGTATTTTGTATCTCTTAATGCCTACAAACCTTTTTAAGAAAGGGGGCAAGAGACATAATGCTAATTTTGTTTTAGTATTTACAAAGATATTTCAAAACTACGCCGGCTTCTTCTTCTATACCAGTATTGAATGTATTCTACGCTGGGCGTTCCAATAATTTAGAGTTTGTATTGGAAATTGTTTGATAGTAAGATGAGACCTTTTATAATTATACCGAGCCATGACATCTTGTCCTGTTACCAACTATGTCTCTATATTATAATAATAATGAAAAACATGAAAGTAAAGGGATTAATCCTTTCATCGTTACAATGTATTTAAGTCACCAGGTTCATATTTTCAGTTATAAATTACCTAGGCTACAGCTACCATCTGAAGATTGAAAGTTGTTTGGCGGGCATTCGCAGAATCCTTGGAAGCACAATGCAGTAGGGTGGCATTTGACTTTTTCACACGGGTCACGTACCTCTGTGAAAAACAACCAGACATAAATGAAAATCGAGTTTTCAAACGTAAAGATAACAGCAGATTTTTTCACAAAAATGGTTCAAAAACTGTTACTCACTTAATTTACAGCTTCCGTCGCTCATTTTTGAATTAGCGAAAAATATAATACTTCATTAAAATATTTCACAAATGTACAATACGAGAAAACAGGACTCAGATGGAGCCTTCAACAGATTGGTATCGAATTTCTAATTGCAATATCCAAACTAAATGAGATTATGAATGCGATATTAAACATGAGAGCAATGCTCAAATATATGGACACGTTAACTATAGCGAAGCAGTCCTTACCTTTGATGCTACCGGTACCCTCAAAAAATTTTCTAGCTGAGCGTAGCAGGAATTCACAGAGTCAAACCTGACAGCCAGTGTTTCCATGGATAAAATAATACAGCGAAATTTTGGACGGAATATCAAATTTCTTACGAAATTTTGAAATGAATAAACGTAATAGCCTTCTAGAAAAAAATTCCATATTCAACTATACTGAAAATTTCAAAGCAATTGGTTCAGTAAACAAGGAGAAAAGCGACTTTTTAAAAACGTGTCAAAAAAGAAGGATAACAACATAATATATATTGAAACGATCGATATGTCCACTGACGTGTCCAATTACTCATCGTGGTCAATTTTGCAGATTCCACTAAAATGGGACCAAGTCAGGTGTAAAACTTTCTTTTTATTTAGTTGTATATATACCAGTCCATGCCGATTACGGGATCAGTAAACGCGTTATTCGCTTCTAGAGATGGCGAAATCGCGGCTGGATTCGATTATACCATGGACTCTCCGCGAAATCGACTAGAATCGGTTCCGATGCATTGGAATCTATCCTCAAGTACAAAACTTCGATTGCAAACAATGCGTAACGTTTTGTGGCGTTTAAGTCCTTGACTTCACTATATATATATATATAATATGTATTTTTCGTTAAATATTTAGTTTTAAATTATATACTGGGCTGCAGCGCTACCATGCACCTGGATATTGAAAAATTTACATAATGCAGTAGAAATATATTTGGCAATTTCGCAAGAGTCACGTGAACTTAACGAAAAGAAATAGATACCAAGATTCAAGTATAAATGTAAAAATTAGAATTTTAACAACAACTAATAAACTGTTACTCACTTGATTTGCAGCTTCCGTCGCTTCTTTTTGAATGTCCGTCAGGGCACTCACATTTTCCGAAAAAACAAGTTGCACTTGGGTGGCAAGTGATTCTATCACACGGGTCTATGATTTCTTCAGAACAAATTTATAAAATATAAAATAAAATAAATATTTACCAAAAAATATCGATATTATTTTATTGGCTTATAGACTGACTGCGTTATATACGAGAACTGGGGATCGAAATGGAGCCTCCAACAAAATTGATATAAAATTCCTAATTGTATCTTCTATTCAAAATTAGATTAGATTATGAATACCTAATTAGGTTACTAATCATGGTTCAGTTTCAAACATAAAACAGATTTTAAAACTTTTTCTTTAACCCTGGATTAGGTGGTCGGGTCGGGATGGGATTTGGGCCCGAGCTGTGTATCCAGCGATGCAAGCATCAATCACCAAGTTCAACGCTTGTATTACTGGGACACCTTTAAAAAATTAGAATCTTTTGCAATAAGCCCCCGCCAAAAAACACCCCTGCCAATGCTTTAAATAGGAAAATTAGTAAATATCCGGTTAGGATTCGGGTTAGGAATGCAAATCGCGCTAAAAATTCGATTTTTTAAAAATCATTCCTAAATTGTAATTTTAAAACGTGTTTTTTTTTTATTTATTTGAATTTCACATTTTTGCATTGATGGAAAAATTAATATTTTAGCGGTGAGGGAATGAAACAAAGAAGTGAACAGAAAGTCTAGCAACATTATGTGAATTGAAAGTACCGTACCTGGTTGACACTTATTGTCATCATCTAAGAAATAATCTTTGGGACATTCACAAAATCCGTTGACACAAGTAGCCATGTCGTCACATTCGATATCATCACACGGATCACGAAATACTAGAGGTTGAAAATAAGAGTTGTCGAGATTGGAAATACCTTAATTATTATTAAAATAGTGTTTTTTATTGAGAATATATTATCTGAATGTGAAGATATGAAAAAATTAAAAAGTCGACGAGAAAAATAAGTAGAAAATCAGTACGATCATTATTTTAACATTCTCATAAATTCTTTTAGAAGTTCAGATGCCTGAATTCAGTATACATTGTGCATTTTATATTACCTCGTTCGCATCTCCCACTGTCTCCCAAGATGAATTCGCGGGGACATTTACAAACTCCGTCAACGCATCTCGCAATTGAATCACATTTAACATTAGCACATGCGTCTCGAAATAATTCTAAAAAGAAACATTTGACTAGTTTTGTGATAGATGAACATTGAAAATAATTCTATGACAAGAATGAGATATTAAAATCGAGTAAACAAAAAACATAGATGTGAGGACCACTAAAGAAAATGAATGTTAAACAATATTTATTTCGGAGTATTAAGTGCGATCCAAATCATTTGAAACTGTAGGGGTAATTGACCCTCCACATGCACGTTTAACGGAGTAAAATCGCTCCTAACCCCTTCGGAGGTCAATAAGCACATAATATATTGTAAATGTTGCACGATAAAATTGAATCCAAACTGGTATATTGAAATATAAACCTAAACTTTAATACCAATTCGGTTGCAATGCAAATCGGTAATAATGCAAAAAGATGAGATTTGTCGCGATGAATCATAATCAGAGGAAATGGGGCACTAATACAAAGAGATTAAAACCTAAAGCACATTAAAATACATAGTTACATTCTATATCTTCTACAATATCATATATCTATAAGTGGTTAACCAATTAATCAGGTATCTAACCTCGTTCGCATCTGCCACTGTCTCCCAAAAAGAAATCAACTGGACAACGACATTCTCCATCGATACATTGTGCAATTGAATCACATTTTACATCTTCACATGGATCTTGAGATTCTTAAATATATACAAATAAGGCATAAGTGCTCAGTTACTAGAATGCACTATTGTCATTGGGTTGTCTATGTTTGAAAAGACGGGCTGACGTATAAGAAAGACTTCGGTACATTACGCAAACTATACTGTACGAGCAATAACATATTAAATCGCTTCAAATATTACCCTGAACGACACGTTAAAACGAAAATGTTTGGCAGCGATTGTTTCGATAATCTGGATAAAGCCAGTGTATGTATAAATGAAGAGTAACAAATTTTGCGGAACAAAATTTATTAAAATAATTGTACATATGTAATGTGCTTAAAGGCTATTGAAAAAATCTAAATTCTTCAATACTGTTATCAACTTTTAAAAATAAAAATTGAAATTTTTTTATATTTCAATACCTTTCTTCTCGCATTTTCCGTCGAAATTCGTGAAATAGCCATCAGGACATTCACAAATTCCATCTCTACATTTCGCCATTGAATCTTTACACTTTATTTCGTCACAGGGATCTTTGTCAACTAGAAGCATATTTGAAGTAAATAATTATTAGCAAACAAGATTAAATAATTGTAGAGTAGCGACAAGAAAATAATATTTTAAAACAGTTAATGACCTAAAAGATAGTAAGTATATCATATAGTTTGATGATTTCCCATTTTCGAGCTGTATTGTTGCATCGATAAAGTAGTGCTAAATTTTAAATATTCATCACCTTTTTCGCATTCATCATCATCATTCATAAAGTAATCATCTGGACATTTGCAATCACCGTCAACGCATATCGCCATGGAGTCACATTTGATGTCATCACATGGGTCTCGGGATTCGGATTCTGCAGAAGAAATTTGTGATTTATTCACTTATTAAGGCAATTTCAAGGATCGAAAGCAGAAGCTGCATTTACATCTGACACTTGTTATTTGTGTTTTCTTATTAATTCTAAGCAAATGCATAAAAATAATATTGAATAAGGACAGATAAAATGGCCCTAAATTACGGGCGAAATCAGGCAAATACACAAATACACTACAATCATGTAAAATGTGTACTTTACAGTGCCAAATTACCATAATAGATTAAAGTTAATCTTGCAATACAGAAAGCATAATGCAAAAGCGTTTAAGACTGTCATTCAAACTTGGCACGTTATTTTAATAAGTAGAATTTAACGTCAGCTTACTATAACAATTCCCGTCTATCCCTATCATATAATCAGGATCACATAGACATATTCCACCACTACATTTACTATTGGGAGGGCACATTATCATATCGCATGGGTTTCCTGTAAAGAAAAAATGAGAATGTTTCATATATTAATGATTGTAAAATACTATAACGTTATTTTACGAGAACTTCCTAAGTGAAATGTGTATGATCGCCCACTGTGCTTTTTGAGGCCGACAATGTATAACACTTACATTTTTAGATTAACTTACATGTCAAAGAATTTACTTTGAATGAAAACCAGGGCAACTGACTAATGTGAGTTGAAAGCCCTGGACATGAAAAAATTCCTGATTACAAGAACAAGAACGATGTGGAATGAAGGGAAAAAATTCCCAGTATTTCCAACGGCAACAAGTCGGTTGCCGTTATTCGGCAGATATATGTTGAAATATATGTGAAACACAGTACCAACTAATAACATGCAGCCTGCTCTGATTCATTATAAACTTACTAAAACATCCGTCTCTGGTCAATTCAAACCCAGGATCGCATACACAACTTGGTTTTCCGTTTTCAGCAACACATCTTCCATTCTCAGGACAAATGAGTCGTCTGCAAGGGTCTCTCGAGCTCCGTGCAAAATCCTTTTCATCGGCTTTAAATTAGGTTAACAATGGTTGCATTAAGACTTTTTTTCCAATTATTCTAAAATTTTTAAATTATCTTATCCTTAGACGAGTGTGCGATTTATACGTATGCAAGTATGTATTCTATCTATCAGAGTGGCAGCAATAGCTCGCTTGGTCATCAACATTATGTCTCTCCACAAATGATTCTGAAAGTTTCTAACCATTTAATTGGGTTTATGCTATTAGTTAATACGTAAAATAAAAATTATTACTTGTACTAACGCATTCGAACTTAGCGTTAAAGTCATATCCATCATCGCATTTACAAACAGCCAAATCAACTTCAACCACACATTCTGCATTGTCTGGACAGTCCAAGTTGCGACAAGGATCAGATTCGGATTTGTCTTTCTCTTTTCCATCTGTTAAAAAGTCCATGACATGCCCAAATTCATCCAACAACATTGGTTCAATTTTATTGTACTAAATTCATAATAATCTTGTAATTTCGTACTTTGGGTAATATTCTTGCTAGAAAAACACGAATTATATCATTTTCAGGCTCTTACCTTTACTCACACATTCATCATCGTCGTTGAATTCATACCCATCATCACATTGGCAATCCGCAAATCCATTTTCAACGACACATGATGCTTTGTCAGGGCATTCCAGGAAAGAACATGGATCAAGGTGATTATCTTCATCGTCATCGCCATCTTTGTCACCGTCCGACTTTTCTTCGCCTAATAAATCCACACATACTTTCAAGGGGGATAAATGAATGAATAAGTAGGGCATCAACTAAAATTGTGGAAAATTTTGTATGAGCAATTTTTACCGTATATTCTCTCTACCTTCCAATTCCGTTCGTGGTCGTGAAAGATTTTATACCAAAATTGGTAAATACTTTAACAAGCCGGTAGGAGCCAAGTATATAATTATCCTCCGATGCTTGAGACCCACGTTTATTCAGGGTTACTAACGGATAAAGGAAATGCCAGTTCATTTGAGCGCTGTGAGTCTCGTCGGTATTCAGTCAGTCAGTAGTTTATTTTATCACAAACCGAATGTAAACATTGACGAACAAAGTTTTAAAAAATGAAAAATTACATTTCAGTGTGAAGGGAGACGCGATAAACCAGAGAAGGTTATCGAGCAGCGTCACCTTTGAGGCAGTAAGTCTAATATTAAATCATAATGAGAAAGAAGTCAAACATAAAATACTAACAAAAGCCGGACTTGAGACGCTATTAAGCGACCCGGTAACCCGGATAATTAACGAAAGAAAGCAACTCCAGACACGACAGGCCGCGGTCAATAAGCTGTAGCTATAGTTAACACAGTGATTAAAACTCGTTCACGAAAATTCCTAAGCCTTCCTCAGTTCATGGACTATCGATAGATGAACATGCGGACCGACTGATAATAAGGGTCTCCTCGGCGGAGATCTAATTATTGTTGTTTGCATACCTTCTTTGATGCATTGTGGTGGTTCGGGATCCCACGTCCCGCCGCTAATACACGTCACCGATATGCTTCCTTTTATCTTATACCCATTGTCGCATTGATAAAAAATGATTGAACCGACTCCAAACGCAGATTGTTCTTCAAACGAACGCTTTGCATTGCTAACTTTTGGTGGTTCGCCGCAATTTGCAACCAACACCGGTGGATTGCCACCCGTTACAACCTGGGATCCTACTGATGAAGATTCCGAATCTGGTGCTGTTCCTGGAAAACCTTAAAAATATCGATGAAAGCTTGTAGCATATATATTAATAAGTCACACGTCCTATATAAAATTATTTCTTTGATGGCCAGTGACGATATGGCTTATCAAGAAGGTATATGATCAAAGCTAGAAATAGATATATATGTTATGGATATATATATATATATATATAGTAAATCTTGAATTTTTTCAAAGAGAAGTCGTTAGAAAGTCCTCTCTTGATCGTTTATATATTTCATATTTGAACAGTATCGCAAATAAAAGCTTCTCACCGATGCATATTTTTTTCGTACTGATCTCTCTTCTTGAGTGTTTCCCGAATGTTTCGAAGTCAATGACCGGTCCATCCCAAGCAAACAGAAAATATCGGCATTGTGTCAAAGATAAGTCTTGATCGTCCTAAATTTATTATTATTAAGGACTTTATACAGACGTCTCAGATTTAATACAGGTACTGTAGCCTGCAATTTTAATACACATAATTGAAATATTTCAAAGTTCGAAGTCACAAACATAGCTGGTAGCTATTGTGACGTCGACTAATGTAATCAATCGCCAATGGACATGCGACTCGAAGGCCAACCGAATTCCACGAATTTTTCTGTGCTGAACTGAAGAATAGAAAAACTAATATTATGATTTATTGACATCTTTAGTAATTCAATAGCTGTTAATCACATAACAGGACAATCTTTAAAACACGCACTTACCAGAAATTTAGAACCATATTTGCATAATTCCAAATCAATTGCTTAATTCAAAAAAATAAAATTTACATCTGAATCTAGAAGTCGTGTAAACGTGAACTCCAGTACTCCATTTTTCCATGAACTCAAACCAGGATTGTTGGCATCAGAATGCTTATCAATTTGAACGCCTTTTTGACTTTTTTCATCAATCCATACATCCACGACAGTTGCTTTGTTGCCAGAAGAAATATAGCCAATGACGGCGTCGGACTTTTCCTGTTACAAAGGGTCAAGGGTCAAGGATATCGATCCATCATGACAACGAAATAAAACACATATTAAAAATTTGTTACTTGCCATTTTTCTATCTTTCGAAAATCCTATAGCAGCCCAGTGTCCTGGCCTGACTGAGGCTGTGATTGAGAATACTATTACTCCGCTGGCATGGTTATAAAAATAAGTTGCACTGTAGCCAGGGCTAATTGTAAATGTTCTTGTTTCTGCAAAACAACAAGTTATTGATCATAGTCAGTGGACAAGTATTTTAACAAAATTACAGTCACTTCAACTCGGAAGTCGGGTAATTCGAAGACAGTTTTGAAGTGAGTGAAACGAAATTCACGAAATCAAATATTTTAATATATATAGGTATAGATCAGAATTATTTATTATTATCCGATCCATATATCGAAACCATAGTTAGTAAACGAATGACGCTACTATTTGCTGATGTTTGTTTAAGTAAACTCTGATAAAAGCATGAGATATCATATCTAAATATCAACACCAGCCGGTGCCGTGCATCGGATAATTTCTGGGATGATTTATGTTTCAATTTGGTGTTTTAAATAAAAATCCTGAAAATTGTCAGGTTTCTGATAATCAAATAACAAACATTTTTAGCTTGAAGGAGTGGCAATCAGTACTAGCCACAAATTATTTCTCACGTTAATTTGTAAAAAAATTAAAACATCTATTAAAGTAAACCACGTCGATTTGTTTGTCTTATATACCGTTTATTTTATCTTTGAACAAAATTTATAAATAAACAACTAAATTTACATGGCTTCAAAATATTTTGGTTTGATGCAATCTAGTTTCGAACGCAATTATTTAAACATGTCCCTTCGTCATTTAATTACATTTTTGATTGACTGAAAAAGATCCTGGTACGGATAGTTCCGCGATTACTATGGCTTTATATGGCATATTTTATACCAGTTGATTAAACATACCAAGTGGGCTTACTTGATTTATTAGGTATGGTATTTCGGGTATATTTAGCGTGTTTTAGGGCGGAAATTCGCCCACAACATAATTAATTAAAGCTCTGACGTATTACTCAAGTACGACACTAAAACACATTTTCGGACTTATAATTATTAGTTAATGATTGTAAAAATATACTTTACATTAAAGGCTAAGTAAAAAAAACAGTCTTCATTTCCATTTAAATGCGCCAAAATTACCCCACTTTGTTAAGCGCTTGAGAAACACGTAAATGATTTTCATAGTTTTTAATATTTTGGCGCCTATCCATATGATATAGCACATTGCACGTGCCATGAGATTTTCAATGTTTTTGCAATTTTCAAATATTTTACATTTTTTACGCATTCGTGAATATAAAAAAGAATGTTCATTTCATACGCAATGCAAGCGTCAATTACCATCCATTCAAATACTATCAGTATCAGTATACAGCTAGTATGATTTTAATTAAATACATATTATGTTATTGCTAACTCATTGCTTAAACAATTTTGCATTCAGCCTGTACTAGAAAATTACTAGCCTAGTATCAGCATTTGAGCAATGTTATCGGTCAATGGCTTTACGCCGAAACCCAGCCGGCCCTCATACTTAGGACTCAAAATCAATAGAACTCTGTAGAACAAGACCTAATTTCATTGTACCATGAATTCAAGCAAATTTTATGACAATTTGTAGAGCGTAACAGTGATATCCAGCAGGGGAACGGCAACACAGCAGCGTCCGAACAGTTACGGATTGGTGAAAACGGGATTGGGATGACAACACTACCTTCATTCGAATCTTTCCAATTTTAGTTTAATAATTCAAAAATAAAAACTAATATCGAAAACTGTTTTTAATACATAATTTATGACATAAAATTTACCCTATATCTTTGTTATATTAGGAACGGTACCACTACAGCCATAACGTCACACAACCATATATAAGTCATTCAAATCGAGTTACTCGTAGGAATAAAAGTTTAGGTAAAATAGTATAAATTCTAGAATATGTATCTAAAAGAAGACCTGAAACGCACACACAGAAAGGCTTGGATTTCACGTTGAAAAAAACTCAATCGGAATTAAATACTAAAATATACGGTTTATATATGTAATGAATAATAATAAAATATTTCTATAACTAATTAAGAGACTTACCTTCTTGTGCAAAGGCAACAGTGATAAACGTCAGAAGAATCGCAAGATTCATGTTATTTCACGAAATAAATTAAAAGAAGTCTAGTTGTACATAAGCTCTATATATAGTTCACAAAAACAAAAATTTATTTATGACCTAAATATGATGGAATACTAAATGATATATATGAGGCTCATTCGTGGCTTTCTATATTATTACCTATTGAAACAATTTATTTGGAAACATATTCTATCTGAGTTCAGGTTGTGCGCCATCTTGGTGCGCATACTTCAGAAGGTCCGAATAAAATGTGTATTTCTCAAGTTTTTGTTGTTGTTAAATTTAAATACCCATTGGAACATTAACACGAAGATTAAATCTGAGTGCTGGAAATCTGGCGACTAATATTCTTCAAATTTTTTCTAATTGAGCTTAACACATTGAATAATAATATTTCCTGATCAATAACAAAAATATTTCTATTAATCTGACTTATCCATTGAAAACCTAACTCTCGCAAGGTGATTGCTAGCAAGGTAAAAATTTGATTACAACACCGATTTTTATTTGTCAAAAATTTTAACATTCAGACAGGGACATTTGCCTGAAGGGATAATTGGTCCTGCACGTGCCTAGTACAGCAATAAAAAGATATCAACATGCGATACCAAACAAGAAGATTATTTTTGGATTTGCCAAGTGCGGATAATTGTTCATTCAATTAAGTAACTATTTCGGTGTTTAGTTGTCATTTTTTTTTAAATCGTTATCAATATTTTAAGAATGATAATAAAAATCCATAAATTTGACTGTAAAATTCCGTCGATTACACATCCTCGACAGACGGATAAAATTTGCAATTCATCTATATTGTTGAGACTGTGATAACTTTTATTTTTCGAAAATTTAATATATATCCTATATATTATATCTATATATTTGAGCGCAGTCCCAGTTTGGCGTTACTATAAATTTTCAGTGGCGATAATTTCGGCGTCTGATTTTCAACTAGAAATTTTTATAAACATTTGAAAAGCAAATCCATTTGAAACAAGGCTTGCTGACGGCCCTGAATATGCCCATCACACAAAAATCAAAATCGATATCAAAATTTTGGAAATATGTTTCAAGTTTTAATATTTGAAATATTATATATATATATATTACGGATTCATGATACAAAAATCGTGAAAACTCGCATTTTCAATAATAAATTGTATTTCGGACACATATTTGTTTCGGATGTTTGATAATACTAACACTTTATTACACATTATATATGTCTCTGCTCTCAAAAACTTTATAACGAATTTGGCCGATAGCAAAAAAAATAGTCTTATGCCTACAATTGCATCATAACGAATGCATATGTATATATAATATATGATGTATAAAATATTGTAATTGATGGAAACGCTATAATCATGTGCTAGCAAGTTTAAGAGCAAGTGTTCACGGATTTATCTTCAATGAATTTTTCCCTAATCGTTTCGTTGTCTTTCCGAGTGCTCTAAGTGTTTACTTTTTCTTAGTTTTTATTCAACTATGACAGTCAATAAACTACGTGTTCCCGTATTCAATATCCTCAGATATTTATGATCATGTACTCGCAATTGTGAGAACTATTCTGAACAGGTACATATTCACATCCATTATATTTTTACCGAATATGCTTAAATAGCGCATATTACTGTGTGTTTTAAGCGCGATATGGTAAAATATTTAGATCTATTCGTTGAGGGAACGTTTAAAATCGATGCATTGTGCAGAAATGCCTTGTCATCGTTATGAATAGATTTTGCAGATTGATGGAACTGTTTGTGAGGCGAATCGTGTCGAAGTAGACGCCCTTATTCCATTCAATGTTTCGCGGTTTGATATCAGTTAGAAAGATGTCTTGTGTAACAAAATTTGACTATTTGGTGTTAGGAGCCGGTTCTGGGGGTGTTGCAAGTGCTAGAAGGGCTACAGAGTTTGGAATTAAGGCCGGTATCATCGAACATGGAAGGCTTGGGGGAACATGCGTTAACGTTGGTTGTGTGCCGAAGAAGATTATGTTTAGCGCAGCGTCAATAGCTGAAGCTCTTCATGATGCTAAAGACTATGGATTTGAGATCAATGGCACTACTAAATTTACATGGAAAGTGATTAAAGACAAAAGGGATGCTTATATTCAACGATTAAATGGCATTTATGGCAATTTATTATCAAATGCAAAAGTCGAAACTATTTTGGGCCATGGAGTTTTTACTGGAGAAAAAGATCCATATCCAATCATTTCTGTAGCAGGCAAAAAATATACAGCACCTCATATTTTGATTGCAACTGGGGGATATCCAATTATTCCCAGCGAAAAAGAGATTCCTGGTGCACAGGTAAGTTCTGAAGTTACGTCTGTATGTTCTATTTTGAAAATCAGCTTGTATCCGCTTTGGTTTCGAGAACAAAAAGGATCATAAATAAAGGAAAGGATTTACTTATATTATATATGCCGAAGTATTTATTTTGGATGGAGGAAGAAGTGAAATTACTTGCTCAGTTAATATATATCAATATATGCCTAACACAGTAACACCATATCCAGTTGTATTTATTGTTATGAAATGAAACATTTCTGCTAATTAATCACATATGCGGTATAAATTATTTGAATTCGTTCCATGTAATTATCTGTGAAATCCCTGTCTGAATGTGGCAACCCTTTGGAATCTCTTTAAATTTTGAAACCTCACTCCACATGCACAAATAAAAATGATTTACTCTAGCATTCCCCTCCGTAATTTTATTTTTGAATATAATTTCAAACTCTGGAATGTTCCACCTTAATATTTAATCATCTTAAACAGGATAGCGTGAAGGAGGAGTTGACTTTGATGACCCTCTGGTTGTAACACTCTCTCATGTTTATACCAAACTAATTTATTACTCGGTATTATTTTTATTATTATGATGACTGTTATTTTATTTGGGTTGACGAAAAATAAATCTCCCTCTCTATTGTTGCATTATGGTCTCATACCTTGTCTGCGAATCAGTATCGATCTTGTAAAAGTAATCGAGACTTTTATTGTTCAACATTGTGATATTTTTATGTTTGAGTTTGTATATTTTGTTGTTTAATAACTGCATTATTGTATTAGTTTTCCCTGTTTTGAGTTCTTTGAAGCTTTGCAAGCTCAGGTAAATCTGTTATATATTTTTGTGTTTTCGAAGTCTTCGTTGCGCTTTTGTCTTTCAAATAAAATGAAAATGTTGTCAGTCATTTTCATTGCAATTATCAAATGAAATTAATTATAGAAATGCTTGATTTTTAGCATGGTATTACAAGCGATGGATTTTTTGAACTTGAAGATCTTCCAAAGAAAGCGATTGTTGTGGGTGCAGGATATATTGCTGTGGAAATGGCAGGAATATTTAATGCTCTGGGCTGTGAAACACAGCTAATCATTCGAAGGTATAGGATAGGATTTACATACTTATTCATCCTGGGGGAGAGGAAAGGGGTTAGGACGGCTTAATCATATTGCGAAACAAGGCCTCTCGTTCGATTAACAGTCCATGTCGAGTATGGGATTAATTAGCTAATTATTCCATTTCCAGATTCATGAGCTTGTGTATCTTTCAGAAATTGCATAGAGGATGTTCATTATATACCTCTATGCTGCATTTGACTGCAATGCCCTATCCTTAACTAGAGAGTACCTTTGGATTAAAATTGTTTTTCCAGTTGTACAAAAGTAAACCAGAACCTATATTCATTAATATTGAAGTCATTTGGTTATTAGCACCCTCACCATCGATTGTGAAAACATGATCTTGTCAGATACAATTGAACTATATAAGATGATTTAAATTTAATATATAAATATAATAGAATTTTAAAATGAAGTAAATGTAACATTTTCTTGTTATTCCAGGCACCAAGCACTTCGCAACTTTGACTCAACGATTAGTGAAAATGTCACCAAAGAAATGGAAGCTGCTGGTATAACAATTAGAAAGTTCTCTCATGTAAAGAGTCTAGAAAAGATTGATGGGAAAATGAAGGTAATGAAGAAAAATTTTGCTTTGAGAAAAGATTTAGTATTCTAAATCACATTCTTCTGCTACGTGGTTTCTTGTGGTGAAGCGTATTCAAAACTCAATTATACATATATCATACAGGTTACAATCAAATGTGATGATCCTTCTGGTGAATGTATTGAAGAAAATGTTGGATGTCTGCTCTGGGCAATAGGAAGAAAACCTCAAACTGATATTGGTAAGAACAATTTGTTCAGAGTTGGCTCAAAACTTCGTTTTTGTAAATTTATTTGCAATTAAATTGAAGATGCAATTTGCAGCGGCCATTTGTAATAATTTTGTAAGTGTGGTGTCGTGGCGATTTTGTGTTTGACTCACAGGATACACATATCACATTAAAATCTCAGGCCCATCCTGAATTGGATAGGCAATACCAAACCGGAATGATTCCGGGCCTTGCGAAAATAGCAGCTATTTACACATTGTTGGACATCACTGGATAATTGTACTGGGCCTTGTTTGCAGAGACGGTCGAAAAAGCAGCATATAAAAAATTTGTCTCTACTTACAAAATAAAGATCACTGATGATTTTCACAGGTCTTGATAAGATCGGTGTTAAACTGGATGCAGGAAAAAACATTGCAGTTGATGAATTTCAAAATACCTCTTTTCCTGGAGTATATTCTGTTGGTGATGTACAAGGAAAAGCTCTTCTTACACCTGTTGCAATTGCTGCTGGTAGAAAATTAGCACACAGGTAAAGTATAATAGCTATTTTATATTTATGTAAATTGAGATGAATTGAAGTTATCTTGGTGCATTTAACAATAGACCAAGTGAGAAATTGCCAATCATAACTTTAAAATTCAGATTTAAAATTGATCCTTATTTGATGCATGTGCATCATCGCGTACTAGTACATCATGAATACTCCGATAAATTCAGTATAATGTGGAATAAGCTCAAAACTCTGTCCAATTAATAGAATGAGTTTTTATGCATGTATATTTTGAGATATGCATTTACATTATATTCAATCCTAATAAGAGTATAAGATGGATAAAATTAGTAACTCAGATCAAACATCTTTTTTGGATCTCTGCAACAACATGACCCTACTCTGCTTCCAACATAGAGTTTAGCTATATTCAAACTTTTTGTCCCCCCATAGTGCAGTTGAACTTCTTTTATATATAATTGAAGTTTAGGTAAAAATGACATGATTTCTTCAATTTCATAAATGTATTCATTTCTTAATATTTTCAGACTTTTTGATGGTAAGACAGACTGGAAATTGAGCTATGAAAACATTCCGACTGTCGTGTTTAGTCATCCTCCTATTGGCACAGTTGGCATGACAGAGGAAGAGGCAAATAAAACCCATGGTGAAGCAAATATCAAGGTATATCATATATTAAAAGCACTAATTTTACATGAAAAGAATCTTCACCAAAGTACTTTCTTTGAACATGTTCATGGTTAGTAATTATCTTCATAAAAACCTAGAATATACCATTATTTTATTCCAATTATAATGTTATGGAAAGGAATTGGCAATGAATGATTCTTCAATTTTTCCACAAATATTGGATTTTGAACTTCCACAAAAATCAGTTAGTGACTCGAATATCAGTTAGTGACTCGAGTGTTTTGCCTCTTTTAGGCAAACTGGTATCCGAGCCATAAATTACTTATATTTTCTCAAAGTCATACTATTAGGGCAGATTTCAAGTAGCAAAATGAAACAGGCTAGTCACTGAAGTGCTTAAAGCTGTTGGCTGGTAAAAATCCTACTTATTACCGAAACATTTTACTGATTCAGTCTTTTCCATGTGGATTTTCTTTTATTCAGTTTTCTCTACATTCTCAGATCTACAAAACAAACTTTTTGCCAATGTATCACCAGATGACGGAAAGAAAAACAAAATGTTTAATGAAATTAATTTGTTTGCTACCTGATGAAAAAGTAATTGGTTTACATATGCAAGTGAGTAGCAGCCTTTGGGGAGTTGTAGGATGTCTTAATTGTGTGACAAATGTTTTTCGATTATAGACTGTTGAAATTCTATCTTCATGAACCAACTCTGCTATGTTTAGTGGTTACTCCCGTAGTGTGTGTACCAAGTTAGGGCATAATTTTATTCCGATTTTCCTTATTTTAGTTCTATTACGACTACGAGTTCGGGACTGTCTGTGTTAATAACCAAGTAAATATACCCCCTGCCCATAGGTTTCAGTCCCTTCACACAACTTGATGTAGAGTAGGCAAACAAAATTAGTTACCTCCATATTGGTACACATACTTCTCTAGCGCCGTTTAGTGTTCTTTCATATAAAATTTTGTTTTACAGGGTCAGGGTTGTGATGAAATGCTCCAAGGTTTTGGTGTTGCAATAAAAATGGGAGCAACCAAGGCAGATTTCGATAGTTGTGTTGCCATACATCCAACATCATCAGAAGAACTTGTGACCATGCGATGACTAGATGAAGGCAGTGCAAGAAATATCTCACCTACTTCTAAAATGTAACATGCACTTTAGGATCGAAGCGGTTTCTACACAGCATATGATCAATTTTTAGCGCAATGAACGAAAAAATATTTTGCGTACAAAATCAAAATACTATTATCATGTAGCACCTTCGTCATATTCAGCCAAAGTTATCTATTGTCGAATTTTTCTTATTTGCCTAAAACTTGTGTTCTGGAATGATATCCAATCTGAAATTATTTTTTTACATACGACGGATTCAATCAGCAATCTCTGTGGGGTATTTTTACAGGAAATACCATACTAATAAATAACTACAGTAGTTGGTTAGAATAGAATCTGACATCCCTATCGCATTCTCAATGTTTGAAAAGAATTTGAAATTTCAACTGAACAATGCTTGCATTTCGATTTACTATGCCACTTTCAGGTTGTATTGACTAAATTAATTGAACTTATATGGCATAAATTCTTGGATTTTGCAAGTTTGTATGAATTGCTATGTTTTTCAACGAATTGGTGACGGGATGATGTCAGATATGTTATGAGAAATATGTGTGTACTTATTATAGATCATAATTATATTGTTCATTCCGATTATCATATTGTTATTTTATTCCTAAGAACATATACTTATGTAAGTAGTGTTCTAGTGACTTAATATCCGAGCCACCATATAATTTAGGATAGATTCCTAATTCCTTTTTTAAATACATTGTTGTAATCAGAAACTAGTCTCGTTATCTAATTGCATTCACATGCTTTTGCTAGTGGAAGTGCTGTCTTGTTGGGTCCCCTTGAAAACACTGTTGTGCATTTCTCTGTGTCGATGAGTGTACTGGCATGGCAGTATGAAGTACAGGTACCGGTAACGGGAGGCGGACAACTCGACTACACGGACAACTCACCAGAGACAACTCGACTACCTAGAGGCCTGGTGAGTTGTCCGTCTTTTGACATTTTCTACGGTGGTGTTTTAGGTCTATAGAAATGCGTTTTTGATATTTTTAGTGCTCAAGTGTTGAGAAAAACACATAAATATGCTCTAGAAAGCATTTTTATTTGTATAAGTGGCTTATTTTGATCATGTTGTATGAATACAAATACAGTCTACAGACGAAATTGGAGTAACGTTAGCGAGGTTTGACTGTTGACTTACCGTATAGGACTGTGTTCGTTTAATTTTTTTGAACTTTATTGGTATTAAATGTTTTGAATGAGCACCTTTAAATATATTAAAACCTTTATACTTCACAGTAACACTTAAATATTTATGAATGTGAGCTCAGTAGTCTATGGTTGCAGTAGTCTGCAGTCGCCCGACAGGCCGTCAACTCACCAGTCGAGCAAACGCTCTGCGAGGTGACGTCATCGATGCTCGAGGTAAAGACAACTCGACTACCGAGCAACGAGAGGCAGACAACTCACCAGTCGAGCAATCGCTCTGCGATATCGATGCTCGAGGAGAAGACCTTGCTTTGCAAAACAAGAGATGCTAACTCAAGAGTTGCATAGCATTTACTTAGTGCCGACTGATATTAGTTGTAAGCCAACTCACCACAGCAAGGTTTCAGTCATAGAGTTGGAATTTCTTTTTGCAGAAGAAAACCAGAAACAGATAGGCACTGTCGCTGCGCCTGGCAAAGAAACTGGGCCGAAGAATGGATAGAAGATGTTTACTTTTTGTTACGATTAATGAATTTAATATGATATTTGAATACTAAACGTTATGGGGGAATTTAATGGATGGAAGGTTTTGTTTTCCTTTTCGTTACGAATAATGAATTTTATTTGAATACTAAACGTTATGGGAAATTTGCTGCGTTACATACTTACTCTTTGCAATACTGCGGCCCGTAGATCCTTGAACACCTTCGAAGAAGAGAGTCCACAGATAACTCTCTTTCCTTGTTCTGTTCCCAGACACGTTGCACCCTCTCGTTGGCTTCCGCATACCTGCCGTTGACACGCCCCACAACGTCCGCCTCTATCCCTATACTTACCTCGTACATTGTTGAGATTAAACTGTAAAAAGGCATATTTTTCCGAGTTATACTGTTAAAATGGCGGTGCCAACCTTCCAGATGATTGTTGGTTCTTATTTCTACGTCGAATACTGACCAATCATTGGGAGTCCAGACACTGTTGTATAGCCATGTGTTTTGAAAATATTCGGCGAAGATCTTGAGTTTGCATCTTTCCGTTCAGTGATTTGAATCTGGACGTAATAAACATAGCTGGTATATAGCACAGCGCCATGGCATGCTTGATCAGGTCTCTTGTTCCAGCGTCCCTACAACAAAAACATGTTAATACAAAAGAAGTGAAAGATGTACAAAGACATATATAAATATGGTTAACCGCTCACTTGTCGTATAGGCGAGCCAAATTATTGTGACGCACATTCTTCATGATGGCCTGAGTGAAGTGATATCCATGCACGGAGATTAGATAAGGTACCAGATCGGTGATAATGAAGCCGCGCGCCGAGATTACTGCTCGGTTATCGCCGAGTTTAAAGCCTCATTATCGCCGGCCTGCCCCCCTACTCCAAAAATGTGACGACAACGTTACCATGAAGCAGGAGGGACTCATATGTGACGTCTGTCGAAATTGGTTTCATCGCAAGTGTTTAAATAATTCAGATGTGGCAATGACAAGGGAACAGTAGAGCCTATTGAAAAAACAGGACGTAACGTTTGAGTGGAAGCACCCGGACTGCTACCAGGCCCATGACACCCATCATAACTCCAACCCGATTGTTGTATCCCAGCAGATGGAACCTAGCCGTCGGCTGGTAGACTACTCAGGTGGTGAGTTGGCTTATAAATAATATCAGTCGGCATTAAGTAAATGCATGCTATGCAACTCTTGAGTCTGCGTTTTGCAAAGCAAGGTCTTCTCCTCGAGCATCGATATCGCAGAGCGATTGCTCGGCTGGTGAGTTGCCTGCCCCTCGTTGCTCGGTAGTCGAGTTGTCTTCACCTCGAGCATCGATGACGTCACGTCGTAGAGCGTTTGCTCGACTGGTGAGTTGACGGCCTGTCGGGCGACTGCAGTAGGCGAGTTCACCCTACTGCAATCATAGACTACTGAGCTCACATTCATAAATATTTAAGTGTTACTGTGAAGTATAAAGGTTTTAATATATTCAAAGGTGCTCATTCAAAACATTTAATACCAATAAAGTTCAAAAAATCAAACGAACACAGTCCTATAAGTCAACAGTCTAACTTCGCTAACGTTACTCCAATTTCGTCTATAGACTGTATTTGTATTCATACAACATGATCAAAAAAGCCACCTACACAAATAAAAATGCTTTCTAGAGCATATTTATTTATTTTTCTCAACATTTGAGCACTAAAAATATCAAAAACGCATTTCTATAGACCTAAAACACCACCGTAGAAAATGCCAAAAGACGGACAACTCACCAGGCCTCTAGGTAGTCGAGTTGTCTCTGGTGAGTTGTCCGTGTAGTCGAGTTGTCCGTCAGCCCCGGTAACATGGGATGATTCTTGCATTGATGTTCTAGGTCAGGGTGGTCCAAGTTTGGGGCCACGGACTTATTTTTGCATCGGTCGCGGGCCACTATAGTGCCAGGTATATTTAAACAGTGCAATACGAACAAACACTTTTATCGTGCAAACACATTAATCAGAATTTATCAAGCTAAAACAACCAAAAAGCTTACTAATACCGCAAAAGTCTTTCTATATCTACATTTAGATAAAAATTTCAAACTCTTCATGACGGAAAAGTGCTTCCGCAAATGTAAGTGCTTTCGAAATTGCTCACAAGGATCTAGAATGCCGTTTTAAATCATATTCTTTTGTCACCGACACAACTTGCCGACATATCAAGCAAGCATTGTGGTATTTTCCCTCTCACATCCACTCAAAAATCGGTTTGAATTCGCCAGATTTCTTCTCAAACTCATGTTTACAAAATAACTAACAAATAGCTGCAGCATGACTACTCTAAAATACTGCAGCACTCTGTGGTCTTAAAATGAGTGGTATAATGAGTTTTGATAATATTGACTGCCACTTATGATTATTTTCAAGATGTCTCTGTTAGAAAAATTCCAAGATCCACGATAAAGTCTCAAATTTATTTTGGTACAATAAACAAATTGCTTGAACATACTTTACATTTACTATTTTATATATCATCATAGTCAGGCCGCAGCCAGGAGTAGCAAAGGGCCAAAGGGGGTTCAAAAATATTTATTTGTCGTCTCCAAATTTCCACGAAACGACTTCTGAAACAGTCGCCGTGATTACACCATTCTAAAGGACCGACTTTTTTATCGGGTAATATTTTTCCAGTTGCGCCTTACATTCACAATCAGTACGAGACAGTGGCGTAGCATGCACCCCCGCGGTCGCGGGGGGGGGGGGGGAGGCACAGCGCAAAGGGGCCCCCGCAAAAACTAAAAGCTGCATTGCAAAACCAGTAATGCACATCTTATAATGTTGATGTTAGTTCTGCTCAAATCGTTTTGTTACGTAACAATGCCAGGGATTCGTCGATTTTCGAAGTCGTGTGGTTTGATTGTACCGGCACAATTGTGAAGGCTGTCAGAGTGATGTCGGAAGCAAAACCTTTCAGTGGCGCACAGAAACGCAGAAAAAGGGCAGAGGAGGGAGAACGTATGAAAAAATTAAAGTAACCAAGATAAACGAAATTTAAACTGAAATTGAAACAAATAGCTTGGGAATACCGAACGTAACTGAGGAAGAAATAGGGTAGCATCGGTGGTATCGGTAGAAAACTCCGGAAAACCAAATACTGTTCAATCTCCAAACGTGATGGCGCCGGCGCGAATGACTTTCTTCCGAAACGTACACGACAACAACAGCTAAGCTACTGATTTTTGAAGCAAATTGAAATGGTTGCATAATTTGGTTTTCGAAACTGAAATTAATAAAAAATTATCGTAGGAGCACGATGTCGCAGGAAAGGCTCACTGGACTGGCGCTGCTGAGTATTGAATCTGAACGCTCGACCCGACTTGATATGACGAAGATGGTGAATAAGTTTGCTAACGCGAAAGCGCAAATTTTAGGTCACCATTGCTTTTTTATAGCGACATGTTATGCATTGACGAAATAAGAAAAAAACGTTGTTTTAGCTTTTAGGGTTATTTCTACGAAATATTTTTGCGGGGGGTTCACGAGAGTCTTGCTACGCTACTGATACAAAATGTCTTACTTTAATAATTTAATTGCTTCCAATGTACTCTGCGGTGCACCTACTTACGTCAAAATATGGGGCGTTACTATAAAATATCATGACAATCCACGGCCATAAGAGGGAGTGGGAGTGGACACGTGGGGTCATGGTACATGTGGAACACGTTGTACAAATGGGACACGTGGGTCAAGTGGGACACTACATTTTGGAGACACCGCACTGACTCCGCTCTATCACAACGCTGCCACTATGCGATTATTTGATAACACGTTGGAAAAACACCTAGGTATGCGATATAGTATCAAAGACCACAATTTATTTTAGTACAATAAAAATTAATTGAATATGCGTTACATTAATTATCTTATCATATAGGCAGTATATGTAGCGCATAATTGACTGTGTTCGAATTCAGTGCCCATGGTATAGTTCCCAGAGACAATTTACCAAAATGCGTGCCATATTTTGCGATTCACAAAGTCTATAAAAGTGTTTTTAATCTGGCGCCTCATAGAAAAATTACGGTAATGGTATTTTCCGTTCTATTTGATGTCTTCGATAATGCCGAACAAAAAAAAGTTTGCAGAGAGAAATTGAGCGAGAATAAATACTGATGTATACGGTAGGTATTTACTGCCTAACGTTGCGGCTCATACTGAATTCGATCGGCGAATATAACAAAATGCAATCGTACGCCTTCCAGACCTTTTCACAATCCGCACAAATTGATCATAAGCCACGCATATCACGCTTAATCGCATATCACGCATGGATTTAATATATGATGCTACACATAGGTTCGCACTTGTGGCTAATTATTTAATTGTCCGAATACATCACATAAATTCGATTAATCTTAAGATATTTGAGACTTTAATTCCGTGCGGCTCAGCCATAAGAAAAGCATTGTTCACTTTCACACGCCCCAGAAATAGAGTATGATTTTACAGAAGGTAACTCGAACGTGCAACGTCTGTGGCGATTACAATGAGCGAAGTCATCGATAGCGCCATGCAGTTTTGGGATAGGATTTACATATTTATCCCGGTGGAGAGGAAAGTCGATAAGACGGCTTAACCATATGGCGAACCACGGCCTCTCGTCCGGTTACCGGTCCATGTCGTTTATGGGATTAGTTTTGGTTTGGGATTTGTTTGGAAGCATGGACTTGATGGTGGAGGAAGCCGTAACCGACCAGCGGTTACCGGGGTCTGGTATAGTTTAGTACCACATCCACTTCTAGTTGGCCTGGCTCAACAATTTTTGCATATGTCAATCCTAACCCCCACCTGACTACGTCACCGAAAAATTACGTCATTCCGACGTCACAGTGGCGTAATAAGGCTCACCGACGTATGCGGATGGTCTTCCAAAACGCGCAGACGATAACCCGAAATCGAGCGAGCTATTTCTCTCGTTTTCTCGTCGCAACGATCACGATAGGAGAGAGATCGCCGGCTTTAGCAAGTTCTTATCGGCGGCGCAGATGCCATTTCGGGCGATCGTAATTATACTTTGGCAATCCCTATGACGTGATGGTGACGTCGTAGTGACGTAATTTTTGGATGGCATAGTCAGGTGAGGGTTAGGAATAACATATGCAAAAATCGTTATGCTACGCCCACTGCAAGTACTTGTGGTACTAAACTATACTAGACCCCGGTTACCGGTACATGAACCACCTTACTACGCGAGGAGTCCAGCAATCTTCTCGCCCATAACTGCCCCACATGGGATTCGAACCTGCGAACTCACGCAGGGTAATCAGAGATGCGGTGGCGAGCGTATTCTTATTGCTGTAACGCTTAGCACGATGAGCCACACTGCCGGTTTTGTTTGAGATCTGTTTTTTGGTGCTCTAATTTAATTTTTTTTTATTTGATTCTGTGTATCCTATGATCAGTACCGGTACTCTACCGTACTGCAGTACCGGTACTAGATTCAGAGATTAGGATATATTTCAGTTGCTGATTTCCGAATCATTACTATTAACAATGGTGAATGCATGGTACATGGATGGTAGCAGTGATGATCAACGATTTCTTCATCAGAAAAATCCAAATGAAGATGTTAGTCTGGATACACTGAAAAGTTTTGGAGTTGAATACTTTTTTGTGAGTTATTTGTAATGAAATAATGATTCAGGTACAAAAGCTGTGTCTGGTATCGTTTAGTACTGCAATTACTTCTAGTGGGCGTGGCACAACAATTTTTAATATGTCATTCCTGACCCCCACCTGACTAAGTCATTCGAAAATTACGTCACAATGACGTAATACAGTAATAAGGCTTGTTGAAATCTTCCAATGGTGTTCAATGTTACAATGTTATACGCTTTCTCGTCGTAGGATCATTATGCAGAGTTCAAAATGAACATGAACTCACGACCATAATTGAATATGAATATACAACGGCGGACAAACAGCGTTTCCTACCAATATAGTGAAGTGTTTCAGTATAATACCACACGTTTTTTAAAAAGCGTTTTACCTTTACGCTCAGAACAATGTCCAGACAAGCATAAACTGCAGAGGAACAGCGTTTCCTATTGATTAGGTAGAGGGTGACGTGGTGTTATACAGCAATTCCACAAATGTCAGGGAGTGATATTTCACACATTTGGGCAATTTTACTTTATCAAGGTCTTCATGGTTTGATGTTGTTAGACTGTTAATTGGTAGCAGTAATACCTGAATACTGATGTATTCACCATAATTCAATTTTCACTTTCAAGTTTAACCAATCAGATATTTTTCAATCAATGATATGAAACAAGTGATGACGTTCATAGAGACGCGCGTTCAGGCCGACGCCGTCGAGCTTTTTTGTGGCAGAAATTAAATCGGAATGCTTGGATAGAATATCATACTATAACAGTATAAATAGGAATTGTGCCATAAATGCAAAATCTCAGAGAGCTTCATCTACCATGCCTGGAACATGTAACTTATCATTTTCGTAAATATTGTTGTGTAATGCAAAATTGGTTTACAAAAAACCATTCCATCGCTATATTTTTCGAATCTTATTGCAGTGACTTAACTAAGAATGAGCAATTCGGAATACCGAATCTTGAGGATGCGTTAATATAAGTCGGTTTAAGCATCTTCGCACTACGCCACGATTTTTGTATTTCGGTTATATTTAATAATTGCAGACAAGCATTTTCTCTCGCATCAAAATCTCTCTTGTTTGGTTATACTCGAGTTTGTCCATCAAACCATCAATTATTCCATTGATAAAGGGACAGGTATTTCGAGCCTTGGGTGTACCTTTTTATGCGATTATGAAAACTTTAAGGTAAGTCCCATACTTTCTGCAGTTTAATATTTCAATCAGCCAAGATTTAATCTTGCCAAATTTACGGAATGGATGTATATGTTTTTGCTCAGACCAAAGTCCGAGCAAGCATAAACGGTTCAAAATTGGTAATTTCCATTCCCTTCTGAAACAGACGTTTCGATCACGCGCTCGTTGAAAGAGCTGTCTTTTTCAGCGTATAATGACTTTTCTGCAGCATAAAATAATCAATTCATGACAACGTTACCACAAGTACTTTTATTCGCACAATAGAGTTGATTAAAGTATAAGAGGCACGGAAACGAGATATAATTTAATTCATACATACCGCACTGTCCACACACCTTCCTCTTAAAGCGTAGATCAACAGGCAAAACTTTGTCCACGAACAACTGTGTGATAGGACAATATCGCTTTCGTGGCTGCCAAAGAACAATAATCAAATGATTTTTTAAGCGTAAAAAAGATGGTCAGCCACATTGGCCCCCTGTTTCTTCAATTGCTTTTTTCGATCGTTGACATTGAACCGTAAAATCTACATTAAGTGCTTTCAAATTTAAAAATTCTTTTTTAAACTCGTTAGAAAACCTTCACTTTCATCTCGTTGATTTTTGGATTGCGAAGTCAAATGAAGATTTAAAATGAAATATTCAAAAATGGATAGGCTGTGACCACTAAAGTACATGTGGTACTAAACTATGCACATCACCGTACGTGTCTGATCACCACATCGGACCTAATATTTCTGGTTTGTGTGTCTTTATATTTCAGTCAGCACTATTGCGTGATTGTGACCACGTAGTGGCGTAATTTTCTGATAATGAAGTCAAATGGAGATCTAGAGTAAAATATACAAAAATGGATAGGCTACGGCCACAAAAAGTACAAGTGGTACTAAACTATATCTATCGCCGTACATGTCAGATCGTGATTTATGGCTTAAAACCGCTTGGATTCTGCAAGCCAGTTTTCCGGCTTGCGCTTCCTATATCTTAAGAACCACAATGAGTGGAAGCTGGTCTTTGGGGCTATTTATGTCGTGAATATTGATCATATATTTTACAATAGCCTTAGAAAAATTAACTGATTAAAGTTAGTATGAAATTATTAAGTGAAAGCAAATTTCAAATACTAAAAAACTTCGATTTCCTAAATAAAAAATATCCTAATGTATGGTTGCTATGATTTAGAAGTACCGTAGGTAATTGCGGCGTGTACTTCAGTAGACCACAGAATTGTGTAATACAGAACAGTTATTGCTAACCATCCACTAATTTACCTGTATGAAAAACTTTTTCTCTACAGTTTGATGTGGAGGGTCATGAAGAAAATCCTGAATATGAGAAATTGCGTAAAGATAGAGGTTACAGTTATCAAGACGTGATTGCAGTCAGCCCGACAACACTTCCAAACTATGAGCAAAAGGTAGGCAAGTGTGTGTCACATAGATTTATAACATTTAAATTCTGTGGGATTTGCAAAACTTCCAAGTCGAGTCTCACTGACGGTTAGTTGATGACGAGTCTTTTTTTTTGTCTCTAATCACTTTGAATCTTTTATGTGTGGTGACTCGATAAACAATCTGATTTGACACTGCAGTAATGTACTTGTTCTTTATACTTCGTTAGGCTAGCCGTACTTCTGAACTACTCATTGCATTGGGGTTTGCCATATTTTGAGCTGTTATCAAACACTTTAATGGCACTGCATAAATATTTTTCATATTAAAAAGTTTTTGAAGTTTTGCTTTCGCCGTAAAATGCGTCTCTGGTGTCAAACTGATATTTCAATAGCACTCGTTTCTTACAAACCATCTTACTAAAAATATATGGAAAGCGGAAACTTCTAGAATTTTCAACTTTTTGCTACTAATACTGCTGTAGTAATTTAGTATGACCTATGTATTTCAGATTAAATCATTTTTTGAAGAACATCTTCACGTTGATGAAGAAATTCGTTATTGCATGGATGGATCTGGATATTTTGATGTTAGAGATCCCCAGGACAGGTAATGACTATTTAGTCATTTTAGTTCCTGAGAGCAGAATTTTTATAGAAAATATGTTATTCAATTTTTGACGGTGATGAATTATAAAAATTGTCACATGGTATAAATTAACAAAAAGTAATATTTTTATACATATCGCAATATGGTCAGTAGATAATAACTTTTTGGACATGCTTCAGTGGGACAGCAAAAAACTTTTATCCCAAGCTTTTACTCCAATTTTATGATGTAGAACTAAACTCATATTATGATATTGCTGTTTACCGAGAGATCGATTCAGAATATTTAAATGGATATAATTTGCAGAGAAGGATATTTTGAGAACCTTCTGGCCTCTGAATAATATTCACTGTAGATATGATGACCATAAAACTGTTGAGTCTTGAGTTCAGCATGTTTTTATTAATTTCGAGACTTGATTTGTTTTTTCTGATTCTCTGGAGTTATAGCTGAAATTTGAGATTTTTTATGGTAATATCATGAAGTTTTTCTGACAATTACTTAATAGAATTGAAGTTGGCTAAGCATTCTCAATAGATATTTGAAAGGGGGTTGTATACACCAAAGTTTTTGTTAATATTTCAAGAGTTTTGGAGTTAATATTTTGGGATTTCGCATTCCAGGTTACTATACTTGAGGAATATGTAAAATGGACGGTATATAATATGATTCTTTTATTATCTGAACATCAACATGGATAGACTTTGTTCCATATATACCAATGGTTCATGAGATTACTCTTAATTTAAGCTTCCAAATGGTGCAAATATCATTTTGATATGCATATATATGTAATACATATTGTTACAACTCATACATAGGTGGATAAGAATAGAGTTGGTCAAAGGAGATATGATTGTTTTGCCTGCTGGAATTTATCATCGATTTACTCTGGACACGAAGGTACCTTCAAGATGATATTTATGGCATCATTATTAATGCTTCACTATGTCACTGTTGTGCTCTCTCTCATGTAGTACTGCATGCTTCGGAGTGCTATGATTTATGTTGTTTATGTTATGTTCTTAATATACTCAAAGCATCCTGAACAGTTGTTGAACATTTTTATCTAATCACCAACCCTATGGCAAACCACTGCCGCTCGTTTGGTTATCAGTCCAGGTCGGGTTGGAGAAAAGTAGGCGAGTTATTTGTTTTTGGAAGCATGGACTTGGTGTAGAGCAGTTACGTGACCACCAACCAACAGTTACGTGAACCACCTTCCGGCAGCGAGGAGTCTAGCAATCCTCTTACACATAATTATTTCTCCCAGGATACGAACCTGCGATCCCACTCAGGGTAATCAAAGTTGTGGTGGTGAGCATATCCCTAACGCTTAGCACGATATGCCACACTTCCGAGCCATTGCACATATCTATTCACTATTTAATTATGTTTATTGGGTAAAATATGGTTAGCAATAGCATGATGGTCAGATTTACCTGGTGAATTTCTTACTGGTCTGCCAGATCACTGTTCACCACTTCACTCTATATTTTTAGAACTACATAAAAGCCAAGAGATTGTTTGTTGGAGAACCAATTTGGACCCCACACAACAGACCATGTGACAAAATGCCAGCCAGACAACAATATGTCAAAAACTTCATAACTTGTCAGTCCTAATGTTTTATTTTTAGCAGAGTAATGGTGGCAATTATACATTGTACATAGTATGTGAAATCATAACGATCATTGATAATTCTGGGATTGATCAGTGGGTATCAAGGTTGAATCGTTTTCTCTTTATAATGCTTATATTATTCACAATCTGTAGATTCGTTAATCAAATTTACACTTTTGCCAAATAAGTTTTTCTTTTAAATATGCATGGAAACAATACTCATGTCAAATCATTCAACTACTAATAAATGGTACTTTATCTTGTGCGAGTTTACCTATGTTTTATTACATGGGTGTGAAACATTTTTTGTCTTTGGGCGTATAGCCAACTTCAGACATGTAATAAAAGATCAGGGTAAAACTGTGAATTTAATGCAGCGACAAAAGCAAAAAAAACTGCCTTTTCTAAACAAAAACTATCAAATTAGGATTTTATGCTTGATGTCAAGTGACAAAAGCCACACTAAATGGCTTGGTAGGCCCGGCCGTGTGTCGCCTGTTGCACACCCCTGTTCTATTATGTTCATTTTCATAGCTTTTCTTACTAATATTTGCATACCTCCAAAAACTTTCATCGTGATCATAGCAGTAATCAGTAATCAGTACCGGTAGTTTATTTTTTCACCACACATGAAATACACTAAATGCATACGGAATGTAAAAGGAAGCAAAAACGGATAATTCGAGGTGAAAGGAGTCGCGAAAACCAAAATTGGTTATCGAGCAGCGACACCTGAGCTAAAGTCTAATAAATGAATCATAAAACAATGAAAAAAGTCAAACAATGAATAAAAGAATATAAAGAAGTGAAAAATCGAGACGACCTGAATCCAAGAGACGCTCGAAACACAGAAAAGCAAAACCAAAAACGACTCCAAGCACATATGTGCGAGTAACTATGGGAACGGCAGCAGGAATGCAGTACAGTGCGATGACAGGATACCGAACCGATATCGCAGCATTATGGAAGTGATAGTTATTTAAACAGATTTCAAATATATCCCGGTAGGGATATTATGCCGATAACACGGCGTAATCATAGTTATAAATGTTGCCAATAGCAATTTAAATATATACTATTGATTGGGTTTTTATGCTTTGTGCCGGTTAATTCGTATGCGTAGAGTGAAGATAACTATCATGAATGATTCAAAAGTCTTGCTGCAAGTGAACACATATATCCTTTTTATGTAGTTAAATAATGCATGTCCAAGGAAGTCTGACCTTGGTCAGACAAAACGATATATTTGCGTTTAGTGTGCAGCAAGACTCTTGAATCACTCAATTTATTCAAAAATACCTGATAATTGTTCAACCAGCATATGTGCAATACACAATTATGCTATATTTTTTACTAATTACATGGGTCTTATTTTCCGTAATGCCCTCCATTTACTTTTTAATTTGTCGCAAAGGTGTAATTGATAAATGCAAAGTTAATATTTAGTTGTATAGAATTATGCGCTTAATACAATACTTGGCCATGCAAAATTTGTTCTATTATAGAAAAGTCACAAAAACCTTGGATGAAACTAATGGACACCTAGTTGCAGTCGCCAAATTTAAGATTTGGTACAAAGCGATTGGCCCCGCATGTACCGACCGTTTCAATTCGAGCAGAGATCATGATAGTTATTGTGAGATTGTTGCTGTGCGACTCGACTTCCCACGCTCCGACTCCAATTCTGCGATCTCTCATCAGGTAGCCGACGACTGGGCGGGTGGCGCATCGTGCTAATCTTTAGGAATACGCTTTCCATCGCACCTCTGATTACGGTACCTTGCGTAGGTTCGAATTCCGTGGGCTATAGTTATGTACGAGAGAATTGCTGGAGTCCTCAACGCCGAGTGGTTCCCATAACCGCTGGTCGCTTACGACTTCCTCAACCATCTCAAGACCATGCGTGTCAAACAAATAGTCGACTAATCGATACCATACCCGACATGGACTGGTAACCGGGCGAAGCCATGTAGCCCACGCCACATGATTGAGCCGTCCTATCGGCTTCCTTCTCCCGGGATTAAAATCATACATTATCCTAATGAGTATAATTGCGGGGGAGATACAAACGGAGATGATTGATCAACTCTTCATCACCGTAGCTTGATTCACTTACCTGATCAACTATCCCTCGACACAAGATTGTAGCCAGCCCAAAATTTAGGTGGGGGTCAATTTTTTTATATTGACTTACGCTTACTCGTGCCATTTACTCCGAACCAGACTAGATAAAAGCATCCACTGATATCTGACAATATCTTGAAGAATCTCTCTACTAACTGCAAGCTACACAAGCACCCATTTTCATCTATCTCGGTTGGTTAATTTGGAGAAAGGATTGATGGCAGTAAGCAAAAAAACGTAAGCATTTGGATATTTTTTACAAAGCCCCCGCCACTAATTAAAAAAATTTTAAAATCATTCCGAACTCGAACTACAGCGGTTCTCAAATGGGGGCGTTGCTAAGTGCGCCTTGGAAATTAACTGAATTGTGTTAATTAAATATATTTGAGCGGTGGCGAGGGTATTTTTTGGTGGGGGATTGGCACAGAAGATCCAATTTAGAAAATATATACGCCTATGACCTGACATGCACTATTCTAGCTTTTGTGGTGCTGTGGTTCATCGTTTTACCTTTACTCTCCCTGTGTCATAAAAATCCCGTTCAATGTTTACATCGATGTCAACGTGGACTGAAGGTAAATCGTATTCCACTGTAATTTTTTCAGTTCCCAACAGTTGCCTAGAATTAGGCTTACCATAAATCTGAAACAAAAAACCGGGACGGTGCGATTTGGCAAACATTCGGTCGATTGCAAGTCTTTGTAATATTGAAACGTCTACCATGTCATTAAGGGTATATACGGCTGTAAATCTCTACTGATCATTGAATTAGGAAAAACACAAAAAAATAGTTTGTAGTATTTATTTAGACCAAAAGTATTGTCCGCAGATGGAACCCTTCTCAAAAATTCATGTTCTGATTTTTTCATAAAACTGATAACAAGAGACATCACCATTAAATTTGCAGGTCACGAGTGCTTTTATATATTCTTCTGGCATTCTGAACCTGCTTTCGGATCAAAAAATTTTAACAATGGAGAAAATCCGTTCAACAGATGCCGATGTTCCGGCAAACGAAATCTACGAGTTTCTGCAAATTCGAAATGCTAATATTTCTGTTAGAAAAAACGTTAAACATCTCTGTCCACTTAATTTCAACCGGCAAAGTAAGCCAACTTGCATTTGAACCATGCTCAGATAAATATCTCTTCATCGGTATTTGTCAAAAAGTGCATCGCTATTCAAAATCTGACTAGCCAACCAAACATATATATATATCATTTATCAATTTTGAAGACCAAACACTTCAGTCCAGTTCATTTCACCCTTCAAATTTGTTTATATGTTTGGCCTGACAGCTTTGTAGGCTTCATCATGCAGCTACGATAGACATTTCTCGTAAAAATCGCAAACATTCTTTTTAAATAGAGTTACGTCGATTTCGTCAGAGCGTTCCAAGGATTTCAGAAGTACAAGTGATTGCGACGGAATAAACAGACTTTTTCCTTCAAATTTAGCTTCACTTCTGACATCTACGGCAGGGATCGGCAACCTTTTGTCGATCGCGGGCCAAAATTAAGGGTTGCGAGTCATTGGCGGGTCGCACATATTTTCAGAAAGCTGAAACCGAACGGATGATACATTTTATAATAAAAATCAAGCAGTAATACATCTCTCGAAGAGAATATAGATTTATTTCTTCATTGCATCTCAAAAAATTCCATTTGAATATTTTCAGCGCCATTGAACCATTTGCACTTAACATCAACTTTTCTGCGTTTCGTTGCCATTTGTCTAATTATAATTAAATTATAGGCACATTAAACGAGTAATTGTGAATTATATACTTGTAAGGTTATAATATAATTTAGTTAAAAAATATAATCGTCAAAACGGCTGTTTTGTTACTATAATTCAGTGAAGCGTCACGAGCCGGATTATAATACTCTGCGGGCCGGATCCGGCCCGGGGGCCGTAGGTTGCCCACCTATTACTATAATCTTTTTCCAAAATTAAAATAATTTTGATGAAGTAGGTGAGCTGGCAAAGGACAAATTTCAAGTGAAGTTCGTACGTTGGAACATTTAGGCATAAGAGTAGGACATCCTTCTTGAGAATTTGAATAACTTATCAAGCTTTCAAACATTTCCGTAATCCTTTGCAAAGCAGGTAATAAAATGAGAAACCGAGTGTTGCCATGCTGTAATAGCCGTTGATATTCAATATCAACAAAATCGCAGAATGGTTTCTGCTCTGTTACTCGGACAGTGTGAATGTAAAAATAATCATACATTCTGACAACAACACAAACAGGCAAAGTATCTACGGCATGTTGGAAAGGGCATCGCAGTGCAGTGTTGAACTACATGAGCCGCACAATCTGTACCGGTTATATTTCTTTTAGTTTGAAATGAAAAGAATTATTTGTTTTTCGTCTTTTTACGCCTCCAAAGTTGGTGTTGCAGTTATCCGCACAGAATCCAACAACTTTTCCGAGAACAGAGAGCAAGTATTCAGTAAAAGTTTTGGCGGTTTCCCTGGTAAAGATTTGAATTCTAATAGTTTTATCTTCACACCAACATCAGGTAAAAATAACGAACCACAACTGGAATAATCTTTAAATTTTTTCTGTTTGATGCATCGAAGGTTACTGAGACGAAACTGGTTTAAAGTAAATCATCATTAGGTTCAGAGGAGAACAGCGGAGCAATGCAATTAAAAATCACCGACTCTCATTTATTTCTGGCTAAACGTGCAAAATCAGCGAATCCGCTTATCAGACAGCGGACATCAGAAATTCTAACTGTGTATTTACAAGTTAACGCAAATTTAGGCTAAAGAAAAATTAAAATTAATTTAGAGGTGCAGTCAATACTTTGGCCATGAATAGCAGTGTGATGGTAAAACATATACCGATTGTGACATAACAATAGAGCAATTTCTCTCTCTCTGAACTAGCGAAGTGTGTCGCAAAACAGTGGTAAATGGGCTGCCACCGTTAAAAAAATTGTAATAATAATGAATATGAATTTTTTACCCACGACAGTCGTGCTGACAAACCGGGACATTTGAGTCAACCGGCCGGGACAGCTCGTCAAAACCGGGACTGTCCCGGCTAAACCGGGACGTATGGTAAGCCTACCTAGAATTGATGCTCGCGTTTTTCTCGGACTTATGGGAGTTGGTGCAACCATTTGAGAAAGTCAATTGAATTCAGAAAACGCACTGTCGATCAAACTTATATTAGGTAGTACAACCTTGAATAAATGAATGAATAAAAAAAATTCGCTCGGTTGGTTTGTGCATCTTTAGACGAAATATAAATGTATAACATCTGTAACGATAAAAGTCTTAACATCATTTTGTTGCGATTGATAATATTTGTCCCGTGAGAGAATATACTCCACTGGTACAATTTTATTTTTCTTGATTGGAATATTGCTATTGCATTCTGGTCGCTGTCTTTATAAATGTACTCTGTTAGACCGATATCAAGTATGAACGAATGAGAGCTCTTCACTGTTGACGGGCAAATAAATTTTTATGACAAACGATTTCTCATAAGGATTGACTATTTGGTAGCTCTTAACATTTTAGTGATCGTTTGCTCAGAGGCGAGTGACTGTGCGTAACCTTGTTGTGAACAAAACATAAAAACTCATCAATTATTGGGCGATCTTTAGTCTCTTTTTAGACAGCATGTCTTAACGTCAAGCCAATTTTAAACCTGGCCATGAAATTGCTATAACCGGAGGGCATGAGAAAGCAATTAGTATCGAAAACTATTAGAATCACATTTTTTTAGTAATAAAACTATTTTTATTGTCGATTAAATTCTTTTTTCTACTATTTGCTGATTTACGGATACTTTAAATTTAAAATCATCCGACTCGATTAATGACTGTTTTTATAGTTGTCACCGTAAAAAATTCCCGGGAAACAGACGATTCAAGTATGGTGCAAGCATCCGCACAGTGGAGAGAAACGATGTGATTTGAAGGGGGTGGCAAAACTGCGCTGTCATCAGGGCGGGGAAATTTATAACGACTCCGAGCTGGGAACACTTTTACCCCATCTGCGGTTCATAAAACTCGCCTTCAGCAAAACCAATTTTTCACAGCAAAAACTTTGGCAGAAGGTTAAAGAACGATTAGTACACTTTTTGTAGACAATTTTGCCTTTTTTTTATCCTTATTGAAATTCCGAAAAAATCAGAATTTCGAAGTGTATGAAAATATTGGGCTTTAAACACCTCAATGACCGAAGCATGCAAACTCCAACTATAAATGGTTGTCTGGTGACCAATTAATTTGGACTCCCTGAGACAAATTCGAGAAGAATTTTTACTAATTGATATTTGGCAGCTAGATGCCGGCGGTACCAATGTTTCAAAATGCTTTTCTATTCATCCCAAATTATGTACGGCTGATTTTTGCTGGTTGGGAAAAAATAAACTTGGATCAGGCCCTAATTATATAACTATACTTGCTATGTTTAGATTCCTTTGTTTACCATTAGGTGACCAGTAAACTTTGGTGACAATGCAAGCTTCCCAATCAACACAAAATTCAAGCACAGGATTGCACAAATTTTAATATAAAGATGAAATGAAAGTAAAACAAACACAAACAGGTATTACAACATGGGGATTTGAATTATCAAACTGTAAGAAAGTGAAATGTTTGGTAATCAATTTATTTTGAGACAGAATTATGGTATTCAACCCCCCTCTTCTCAATCTTTGCTTGACACTCAAAAAACCTATTTTGTCTAGTCATTCTACAGAAATCCATTCTCAGATTCACAAAACGTTAGAGCAAAAATGACTAAATACTCCATCACAGTTTTACAATTTTCCAATCTGGATTATTTCATCAATGAAGGTTGAATTGTTTGTGCATCCCCAAAGAGTTAGGAACATGCTCATCAAAGATAGAATTATGGTTTGCAACAATACCATGCCAGAACAATCATTTTTTAGAAGTACTTTATACCTCACAATAAATATGTCAGAAGATAATATACATGTATTATGAAAATGAGAGGCAAAACAAAAAGAATCTATACAGAGGGATAATCTCAACAGCAGTGGACATGAAAAAAATAAAGATAACAAAATTATAAATTAAAAATCAGCCTCGTCACCAACTTCGAGGTAAATATCATAGGCTTCTCTGTTACAAGTTCCCTCAGGTGTGAAGACATATTTATGAAAAGTACCATCAAGGCAGACTGCAACAACAGAATTGGAACTAGCAAAAGTACAGATGCATGCACATTCGGCAGGAACAGTAAAGTTCGCAAGACTCCATTGTGAATCCGTATACCGATTTGACATACCAACTTTACCTGCTTTAGCAAAGGCTGATCGGCGATTCAAAGCAGTATCCTTAAGTGCAAATATATGAACAGTGCCTTTGTCACTAGACACACATAAAAACGAAGAATCGCTGCTAAAATTCATACAATATAATGTAGCTTGATCAGTTCCCCTTCGCAGTTCTACCAGCTGATGTCTGGTTTGGACATCGAAGAGTCTAATCAAAGTTCCTTTGTCTGATGCCGTTGCAACCAATGTGCCTTGATGATTCAGAGCAATGCATGCCAATTCACCCTTATGTGCATTTATATTAACTGGGGAAGTCGAGTCACCAGTGTCAGCTGCAGATAAGTCCATTAGCTGAATTGTGCCAACTTTATGACCTAAAGTAGCAATGAGTTGTTTCTCAGAACTTGTGCAAAGCTCACACAGTCCTAAGGGATTGACTTTGGTACTTATCTCCGATATCTTTTTAGAATCATTCGGAAATGTGAATACGTAGACTTTTCTTGCTAATACAGCAATAAGCTTATCTCGTCTCATTCGTACATTCAAAACATCATCATCAAAAGTATATTCCAACACAAATCCTTTTCGTTTATCATCCCAAATAACAATAGTATTCGAAGCAAGTTTAGGGCGTCTTCCACCACCAATAAGCGCAATCAAGTTAGTTCTGTGCAGCATCACCACCTGTTAAAATTAAACAGAACGTCATGTTTTTTTCGGATATGCTGCATATAAAATGACTATCAAAAAGCATATTGATAGACAATTTGAAAAACCTTCTTATGTTATTTTAAGTATTGGATTGGAATTGCATCAGACAATGTTTAACTTGTTGCATATATAAGGTAGTTCAGTCTAGGAAGAAAATTAATATGAATATGGTAATCCATTGCAAGCTACAACTGTAAATTGTAGCCGCAGCAAAACACTACTTTTCATCATACAAACAATATGATTATATTTTGACATTACTATTTATATTCTAAGTCACATCAGCATACAGTAAACACTTGATTTACATTTAACTTCCTTACCTTCGCTACACTTCCAACAATATCGGAATCAAGTCGACATTTTTCTGTCAGTGGCTCCACATTATAAAGTCTTATACCTGTTTCCATAGCGCAACTAAAGCAGCTTCTATCTTGATTGAATTTCACACCATTCACCGCCATTTCCATACTTGACTTGATTAAATAAAATTAATAGGCTATGTATTTCCTAATCAAGTTATAAAAATCCAGAAATCTGAAATATACCAATTCAACAAATGGAATATAAGCAATTTTGAAATTGAATGCTGATAGACAACCTAGCCTGAATATTTACATATTTATCCCTCTATTACCTGATTACAGTACGGTACCGTATTCAGGTACTGTACTAATACAGCCAGACAGTCTACTGGTCTATTACATTATTGCCGTATTGTGACAACAGGCAGACAGGACATATCCGCACACAGACTGTAGTACTGTACGGTACAGTGTACGATATATGGCATCTGGCTAAGGCTAACTACAGAACTATCATCAAAGACTAATCTACATGCAAGACTTTCAACTCATGGGCCCTGTACGTTATGATAATACCGAAATGAAGATTTTTGACGCCCGAGATAAGATAATTCTGTAAGTTAACTACATATATCTGTATATCGTAATACATCAGTCACTAATGCCGAACGAAACCACCCGTCTTTGTTTTGTAATTTAATGACCTACTGGGTGAAGAAGAGTTTACAAAGCGTTTGTTTTGGTACGATGAAGTGGTTGGAGACAAAATACGGAAATGAAGATCTGATACTCATGATGGAAAAAATAGGCAGCTAATAAGTTTGTGAAATCATATCACATAGTTATGTTAACATGTGTATATACTGAAATATGAACCAACCCAAAGTTTCGCAGAATTGAACATGAAAGCTAGAAGCTGTAACCGATTATCTGTACCGGATTACCGGACGCAAGGCCGTGATTCGTCACAGGATTAAGCCGTCTTATCGGCTCTCCTCCTCCCCGGGATAAATATGTAAACCCTATCATTTTAAGTGCATCGCAGTTATACCGTCACGCTGGCTAATCCGCTGCGAACCAGAATGCAATTTCAACGCTCAGTCGTAGGAGCGGAACTTGAATGAAGCCGCTATTTTATCGGGCATTTCACACTACGAACAAGGCTTTAGGGAGGATCAAACAATCTGTTAATCGCGACAGATCTTGAAAGGGGCAATAAAGAATTGAAAATTGAATTTTGTAGTCATGCGATATAAACTCAGATATGTAACATATTATGTTCGTTGTATAAATTCGTATTCCATCTATCGCACACAGAAATCATTGCACATAACATTATACTGCAACTACCTCGCTATTTTTTGCATTAATCGATACCATGTTTAGTATTCGTTTGCAATTTATAAGTATCATAACTCACAGAGGCCATTGGCGTGATATTTTTGGTAGCCGATTGAACAATAACAAAAACATGTAGTCCCAGTGTTTATTAAGAAGATTTAAAAACGGTTTATGAACTTTGTTATCTCCCTTCATGTCAATTTTATTACCCATTTTAATTGCTTAGCTGGCGGCTTGAGACTTAATATCCCCTCCCATATCCTTTCAGTACCTAAATCCTAAAAACTGAGATGTTTATGTAAAACCTAACGATTTATGTAATATTTGCTCCGAGTCATGATCGTCAACTTTAAAGCGATAAACAGACAATGCGACGCGTTAGAAGAACAAAGAGCAACTAAGGATTGAATAATTCTTGTGATAGCTATTGTGACAAGCGTCATCTTAGTTTATTTGTGGATTCTGACTGCACTCACTAGGGTCATGACATTAGGGTCAAAACACTAAATGTCGCATTCCACGATCTTCAAAATGATATCATGCTTAGGGCGTACTTGTAGTAACATGATAAGTCGCACGATTTGTTCTATTAAAATCAATACACATTGCCCGATCTTGGTATAATGTTTTCATTGTGTGTCCGTGGAGTTTATTTTTATATGAGTAGCACTGTAGACAAATTCAGTTCGCTGCACTGCTCGGTCAGAATAGTCACATGATTTATATTGCCGATATTTGCTGCTTTTTCCATTTTAACTAATCATTATATTCAATATTATTTTATTTTTTTAAAAATTGGTGTAATAATAATAAATACATATACCGCTTATTTAAAATTTGTACATATATATTGTATATTTGATAACTCACTCAATAAAATGTTTCGATATAAATGTATACTGGTGTAAATTTTTCTCATGTTGACTATATAATTAAAAAAATATATCAATGTTTTCAGGTATTCAAAATTCTCGAAAATATGTGCAAAACACGATAATCGTGATATCAGACTTATTCTATCTGTACTCTTCAACTTTGACGTAAACGTTTACTCCTAGTTATATAACGATGTAACTGAACAAATCAGCATTCTTTGATTTTTCTCAACTTGTACGTTATGTTCGAAATTCTAGCTGGCATTTTGATGCCAGGCATTCAACTAGCGTTTTCCTAGCTAGTTTGTATGAATAACTACCTCATAATACGAGCTTTATATCTTTACCTGCTCTCTTATAGTTTTGCAAGGTATCCAACTATCAACACTTCTATGACGAGCATATAAAACAAATGGTGACAACGCTTAAAATCACAAGAAACTAAGTTGATCTGGCGATTAGTCAATACTGAAACTATTGCTATATTTGATAATAGTAATTGAGCCAAATTCGGAATTATACCCCAAAAGGTACTTTGGGCCCGACAGAAATATTTAACGAGCATGGACCCATTACGACCGCTCCTTTGATACACTGTTTATCTATAATTTGTGTTGGATAAACAATACATAATATGGCAGCGCGACAGAACTTACCAACTGTGTTCGACAATTATTTCGCATGTTTACGACAAAGGTAGAATAACGGTGCGATATTTTAGCTTTTGATGTACGCGGACGAATAAATTAATAATTTCAGTTACAATGGAAAAGCATTCCCATTCTCATACAAATTGAATATATTTACTCATCTAAGTCATCTTGATTGATGCCATGGCGTATTTCGTCATATAATTTCAAAATGCAAATTTGACATTATTTAAGTATCGGTATATATGTCCGCAATAAGTTAAGAATATATATATATATATATATATTGTCATACAGTCATTAGCAAAGTTTCGTTTTGAAAATTGCCCACACACCACGTAATAGATGTTTTATATGAGAAGAATGTATAATAATACTTATTTGTCTCATCGAATCTTTTTCTTACTGCTTTTCAGAGCGGGTTATTTCTTTAATTACAGGTGGATTTATTTTTATTACGCAGTTTCAGTTTTACGTCAATCGTTTTGCGTACCAAGTTCGTTCACAGAAAATACCATGTTTCTCATGGTACGGTATAAGTGGATATAAGCTGACGAACGCGGTGATTAGAATTTAATGTCAAAGGTCAAAATCTTATTAGTTCGTTAAAGACTTATCCGTTCACTCATTGGTTCACTTGACAGTGATGCATACGATTCAAATTCACATCGATTTAAAACCACCAAATTTCGGGTAATAGGTTCTTTTGTTTCAGAATAACTACAGAATGAAGGCTCTATACCCAGAAAAACTCGGTGTTTATATATTTTTAGACTGCTAGACAGGGACATTTGAATAAAAAATCGCGGGGAATAATTGGGAAACATTAATTTTAAGAGGTGGAAGTAAATATCACAAGGTAGTCATTTAATCTGGTATTGGAGTTTCACCAGTAGTTTTACGCCTATGGTGTATCTGCAAATTCGTATACGACCTACTAACTAATAATGCTTATTAACTTTACATTCGTTTGGTTAATTTTACGTGGAATTGAAAAAAATAATATTATAAGTTTTCGGAGATGCAGCCAAACTTATTTTATACAATTTTTGTTACTGATTTCCAGCGAGCGATTATTCACTCTCTGCTTGATTCGCCGTTGTGAATTACTTCAACTAGTAAGCGTTGGTATGCTTTTAAACAAATCTACTCAAAGGTATTTACAACCAGTCATAAAGATTGCATAATTTGCGAATGATTACAGAATATAATATATTTTAGAGACCAATAATTGGTAATAAAAATGGAAAAATATCTATTAAATGGGGTAATCAAAATAAATGTTGCGCCCTAGGGGGCAAAAAATGGATCAAAATATATGATTGATCAACATGTCATAAATCATCTCTTACATTATTTTTGTCATTAGGTTGTTAAGATTTATATACAGCTAGTTCAAGTATAAGTAAAACAATACATCCAAGCTATGCTGTAAATTATATACAGCATGAATTGTAAACATGTATAACGCAGCCAGGTACATGCCTGTGTAATTCAAAAATAAATTAACAACGGGAGGTTTTGAACATTACTGAAGGGTGGTTTACCTGTTCAATAGTTAAGTCGGGGTTTACAAAAAAAATTAGCCGCTTGTGCGTAAAACGGGCTATATATTATCTATCATAGCCAAGTTATCGGCAACACATAAGCCAATGATTTGGATATTTATTGGTCGATCCTAAACCACCCATTATTCGTTAAATAATTAATTCTTTCGTATTTATTATCATTGTATTCTGATGTCAAATCTTCGTGACTTCCCATGAAAACGAACCATGGAAGATTTTATCATTATTTTGACTTGATGTGGTGTATTTAAGAAAAGGCACTTTTAGATGCAATAAACACATTGTTTATCTGCTTTTATATACACAATGTAAATTGAAAAAGAAAAATATGAAACGAATTCTATCTGAAATAACATTTCCATGAATATCTGTCAGCCATTTGTGCAGTAGTTACTTGTAGACTCCCTCCCAGAAACAGTTTTGTACACCTCACCCTTGATATGTATTTAACCTACTTTTGGAATATTCATCAAGGCATGCACACATATGCCGTAGCCAATGATGGCTTAGAGACCATGTCCCCTCCAAAATTTCAATTTTTTGAATTGCAATTTCGCGGCATTTGCAGCGAGTCATAAATTCCTACGTATTTTTTAACACCATTTTGGTCAATTCTTGGAGGGATTCACTGAAAACCCGTCGCGTCCTGGCGTACTAACAATAATCCTTCCTCTAAAGTCTAAATGAACCAACCGAAATAGAGGAAAATGTGCGCGTATATAGCTTGGATAACTTCGACAGCGAAGTGAATCTGTAAGAAGATTCTTTAAGTTATTGCTAGGCTGCTTTCATCTTTCCTTGTTCGGAGCAAAAGGCACGAGTAAGCATCGTATTGCGTCAACATACAACAAAAAAAAATTTGGCTCTCGCAAAGTTTTGGGCTGGCTACGTTCTTGACATCCGTGTTTTAGGCCAGTATGGTTTTGTGTATGAATCAGGCGTCGAACATTAATATTTGCAATCTTATTCATATCATTACGAGATGAATAAACAAACATACATACTTCGAGGAACTCGCCTACTGTTGGTTAAAAATAAACAGTCATATCAACTGGAATTTTGTGTTAAACTCAATATAATTACCATACGATTGCCCGTGTGCAAAAGTCGTAACTCGTCGTGCGAATTCCCATCGACTATGGTCTGTAACCAATTCTTTCAACTACAAATATAGCTAAAACAAAGTTTCTAAGTTATACTTTATTTACGTTTGTCTGTGTAGAAATGCAGTGCATGAAAATGATAGTGCAGATTTGTTAGTAGATTATTCTAGACCCATTTTGTACAAGTGATAATTAGCTTCGTTTATTAGTATAATAGAGAATCGTTGGCGTTCGGTAATCGTTTCGAAATGGCCATTATTATTCTAGACCCATTTTGTACAAGTGATAATTAGCTTCGTTTATGAGTATAATAAAGAATTATAGAGAATCGTTTCGAAATGGCCATTAGCCCACGGCCGTGCGGATGGACACAGGAAATCTTTATCAACGCCAATTAGACAATATCTTATGTTAAATCAATAAACAATAGTCCAATAGAAAACGTAACTCACGAGATTAACTGTGACTAAAATAATATGTTGCTATTTCAAGAATAATTTCATCATGGGTAATTAGACGAATGAACAGTTATAATTTCCTCTTTTGCCACTATTTATCGTTTGATAGGCAGTATGATCATTCCACCAGAGGATATATCTGCATATGCTGGGTAAAAGAGTATTTTAGAAACTATTCTTTTGTTACTATATACACTATCTGTTTTTATTTGGAACTTACGGTATGGAGCAATAAATGGCGGTATGGAGCAATAAATGGCGATGAAATGATAATATATATCGTATTGGTTAGGAATGAATGAACGAATTTTTTAATTAGACATTCCTCTAAAAATCTCTACAGCTTACAATAAGTCATATCATATTTTTTGATTTGTTTATTTTTTATATCGAACCAATTTTCAGCAATTCAATTTTAATTTTGATTGCATTACTAGACCAAGTTGACTTGAAGGCACGTCCAAGTTATCCAAAACTTAATATTGAATGAAATTAGGAAACTGGTAGAACAAAGCTGGCTTGGCATCCAGATGCAATGAAGACAGTTTGTGGTTTCACATCGTATTTGCCTGTGGTCGCATCTTTGACAATGGTCAAAGCGAGAGTTGGAGAATATTCAGTGTTGCATCTGTAATATGAAAGATATTTAATCTTAAAATAAATATGAGGTTGATTAAAAATGTGCGGTTTGTATGTCTCTTACTGTATTTACTATTGTAAGCAAAAATCCTAGAAAATAAGGCTTGAAATTGAGAATAAAATTGTATAAAAAAGACGAAATAAAAACTTTGAGATTGGAATATATTCCTTGATATCTTATAATCTGGGTGATGCAAAGGTGGTCTAACGGTCAAATTGTTCGACATAACTGTGTTGTCATAGCAAATTACCTATATCTGGTTCAAATCCCATGCACCTCACCTGGGGTGTAATAAATTGAGTAGGCATTTGACTTGATAGTCTTCGCCATTAGAACAATACAAAATTTGAATATTTATCAAATTAAAACTTACGCAATAGGAACGCCAGTTGGTGTTGTGGAGCATTCTGTGGTGGTAAACCATTGTCGATGACAGTCAAAACTGAATAGTTCAACTTCCTACAAACAAATTAGGTTAATCACAGACACGTCATATAGAATTTAGAAATTTAAATGTTTTCAGGAGTATATTACAAATATGTGAGATGCCTATCCATTTCTTTCAGTAATCTATTGAGTATTCGGTTTATATTTAATACAGTTTGGATGATAAGATCTCTGTACGACAAACTGATATTAAATCTACTAATTACCATTGTCATTGCAGAATCTGTGAATGCTTTATTGATACTGGAATATGTTGAAGTTTTGGCGCAAATCGAAGAACCAGCGCCTGGAGATGTACAAATAAAATGTTATTATTGCACTTCGAAAAGGTATTGAGATGCCCAATTCTTAATCAAATAACTATAATTATTTTATCACTGATAAATATAATGATATGTATTTGATATATTGTTTTGCAGTAGTTGAAATTAATAGCAAAATTATTTTTTATAATTCAAATACTATTCTGATGTGGCCAATGATTCTACCGTCTGAAATTAGTACCATGGGATTGGCGATGCTGGACACGTGAATACGACAGTTGGTAAGTCAAGAATAATATAATTTCTATTACAGTAAGGAAATTCACATTGCAATATACATTACTATTCGTATAGTTATCCAGTTACTTACCGCTAACTGTGGTAGCAGTAAAAGTAGTTGCAGCCCTCGTAGAGGCCGCTGCAGTGACCAATTCGAGTGGTACTTTAAAGAAACCCCTTTATGAGAATAAAAGAGAAAAATATTTTATAGAGGGCTATAAACATGCATGATATTTGGATTATTATGAACAGATATGATAGCGTGGGGACTGGGGAGTCGTGAGCAGATCCCCCCATTTTGAGACTCTTTCAGTGATATTGATGAATCTGGGGAGTTGTGAGCAGATCCCCCCATTTTGAGACTCTTTCAGTGATATTGATGAATCTGGGGAGTCGTGAGCAGATCCCCCCATTTTGAGACTCTTTCAGTGATATTGATGAATCTGGGGAGTTGTGAGCAGATCCCCCCATTTTGAGACTCTTTCAGTGATATTGATGAATCTGGGGAGTTGTGAGCAGATCCCCCCATTTTGAGACTCTTTCAGTGATATTGATGAATCTGGGGAGTCGTGAGCAGATCCCCCCATTTTGAGACTCTTTAAGTGATATTGATGAATCTGGGGAGTCGTCAGCAGATCCCCCCATTTTGAGACTCTTTCAGTGATATTGATGAATCTGGGGAGTCGTGAGCAGATCCCCCCATTTTGAGACTCTTTAAGTGATATTGATGAATATATTCCATAGCTGCAGAACAGACTTGATTATGATTGAATATTTTTCAGAACTTAGATTAAAAACAAGCGAATAGTAAAAGTTTGGAAACGAGCTAATCAATAGGAATCAATCTTTTTTTCAAATCTGAAAAATGAAGACGATTGCAATCACAAAATTTTTTCTGGGACATTTGCGATGTGTCAAATGAACAAAATCACAAGTTGCTGCAATGGATGAGAACTCGGGCAGGTCATTCTACAAAGAGTGTATAACGATTTGTCCTGTAAGCTCAAATTCAATGTTGTATCATTTTCAAAAAATAGATAAAAAGATCTATATCAAACGAGCTGATTCCTGAATACCTATACTTTTTGGTGGCCTCAAAAACTTACATATAAGCATTGTAGGTGCTTTGAGCCGTGCTTTCAAAATCTTGTTCGAACTGGCAAGATAGGGGATGACTTGAAGAATCACAAACGGTAATTGTGTCTTCGGTAAACAAGCACAACTTGGTTTCTAAAAAAAAATAACACTAGCTAAGGATCCATTGAAGATTCCATAAATAAATAGTTATTGTGCATAGTGAGGGAGCAAAAACAGTTTCAAAATTGGCGAAGGGTAGAATTTAACGACAGAGGTTAGTACCACTAGGCTAAAGACTATTGTCATCTTTGCCTATACTCTGTCTCAAGTTGATAGTCTTGAGTTTGATCCTTAAAAAGTCTATACCTCAATTCTACCATGATGTTACAAATTGTTTGGGCCAGCGGTTCTTAAAGACTGTGTATTTGAATCAATAAATTCTCAATGTCGTTTACTTTCTTTTACGTAGTACCTGCCTCTATTGTTATGCATCTCCTTCGTAACAATGAAGTTAGACACTACTTGTCACAATATAGCAAACTGCAGTTTATTTATCTTCTGAATGGAGTTTAGCGAACATGATTGATTTTGTATCAAGCAGAGAAAAGAGGAAGAGTTAACCTTTGGCCTTTATTCATTGGGTCTACATGTTTACAAACTTTAAAAGACATAAAGTACACATTAACGATCAGAAAGACAGCATTTTTTTCGTGTAGGTGCGCTGTATTTAGCATCAGTGTCTCCAACCAGTTTCAAAGCAAATTGAGGATCACAGAGGTAATACAGCTATTCTAAGTAAACTCACCCATACATACTGCTCCGTCTCCTAAGAATCCACTATCACATGTACAACTATAGGAACCAGGCGTATCTTCACATGTGGCGTGTAGTCCACAAAGCGTGCTATCTACACTTGTACATTGTGTTGTATCTGTTAAATAAAAGTGCACTTTCATAAATAGGAGTGTCTAGAAATTCATCACAGAACACAAAGTTAGTCAAACTGGTGCAACGTATGGCCTCGAATACTGGGATGTACACAACACACAACAGTAGCGTAATAACAATTGCCAGCGAACGATAGTATCGTGTTAAATGTGACTCCGATTCGAATAGTCTCATCAAAATATTGTTTAATTGTGCACTCAATTATTATAAATCAAAAACATAGAAAAAATGTTGAGAATATATTTATATATACATAATTTCCTACGAACCTGTGCTCGAACATACATGTTATAAAGATAAAACATCTAACTCGGAATATAATAACTTCTCAAATATCAGGCATATCAAGACTCGAAAATTTTCAAGGTATGATGAATAGTTTCAAAAACATAGCGTTTATCCATTGAGAATATATTTATATACATAATTTCCTAAGAACCTGTGCTCGAACATACATGGTATAAAGATAAAACATCTAACTCGGAATATAATAAATTTTTAAATATCAGACATATCAAGACTCGAAAAATTTCAAGGTATGATGAATAGTTTCAAAAACATAACGTTCATCCGTACCGTTACACGTTTGACCATCTCCTGTGTATCCACTCTTGCAAGCACAAGCGAAAGAGCCTTCATTATTTGTGCAAATTGCATCTGCGTGACATCCACCATTGTTTGTTGAACATTCGTTAACATCTGGAGTAAACATGACATAGTGATGGGGGTATGACATACAAATGGGGGTAATGAACGAAGCTGATTTACCAAACAGATTTTAACGCCATAAATACTGTCTAAAATTGTTCAGATCGTTTTTGACCACTGGCTATTATTTTGTCAAAAAATATTCCGGTAGATACATATTTAATCTGAAATATCACATACATTTTAGTAATTCATAACTGAAGCTGGTATTTTTGAATGGATGGAGAAAATACACAAACCCTGGCAGGAGTTGGTTTCTGTAGCGTCTTCATAACCATTTATACATGTGCAGCTGTAGGTTCCATCATAAGAACATGTCGAGAAAAAGTCGCATCGAAGAACAGGAACCGTGGTCTTGACAATCTCACTGGGATCTTCTCCGTATCTTGCTGTAAAAGCAGTTTGATCGGCCGCTGCGTCGTGTCCAGTGTTTGCTTTGAAAGATGTCAAAATCTGTCACAAAACAAGAAAATTGACCAATATATTCAGCAGTAAACTAGGCAAGAAATACAAGGAAGAAAGTTACAAATTTCTTTTGTTTGTATAATCTAGCTATCGCGTACCTCCAATAGTAAAAACGCAATTCAGAAATACTGCAACAATATCCCAAAATTTGGAATTTGGGATCAGCTCACTGTGTAGAGGAAGATAGTAATTTCGCTTGAGAGGAAAACCAAAGACAAGACTTAATTATATGAAGAATCAAGACCTCTCATCCGGATACTATTCCATGTCAGGTACGGGATAGCCGGATGTATGAACTTGATGGTCCACTCACACTTAATTATCCTCCGAAATGATTCGATTCTGTGAGCCCATGAATATTAATCAGAGGTGCAATGGCAAGCGAATTTTTGATTCTTAGACCCATTCGCCATCCGCTGAGCGATTGTTTAAAAAGACCTGTTTTAGAAGCAACTCTTTATTTAAAAAGTCATATATATAGAACTCACTTCTTCATTTTCTGTTGCTTGCTCTCCACTAGGATTGGTTAATAAATAATCAATGGCGGTACGAACTCTCGCAAATGCGGGACAGGAACTCACATCTGAATTCAAAGATATTAGTTTTAATGTAACATTTTGAACTTTGATAATAATAATAAATAAAATATATACAGGGAGTCCTCGACTTACGATGTTGCTCCGTTCTTGAGAAGCGGTGTAACCCGAATTTCAGTTCAAGTCAGAACATTATACTGTACAGTACATAAATTACTCTATACAAATCGTACTGTATTGCAAAGTATGGTACAGTAATAAAATGTACAAATAATGCAAAAAGTACGATGTAAATGACGAAAAGCAATGAGCTCAAAGCACTGATTTTCTCGATCACAATGATCCAGTTTAAGGGCTTAGATATTACAGTACAGTATTATCTTTTATATTTTTATGGAGTGCGTTCGTAAACTCGAAACAGCGTTATGGAGTGCGCGTTCGTAACCTCGAAACAGCGTAAGTCGTAACCGTCGTAACCCGAGGACTCCCTGTATTTATCTCGTGACCATTCATATAATCATCATGAACGGCAATATTTAATAGTTTGGAAATATATTAAGCACTCACGGAAGCATGTGTTTGGATCATTTCCTGCTATAAATTCTGCTTCACATGTACAAATGAATGCGCCATCTTCAGCGTTGCTGCACGTAGAATAGAAATCGCATCGCAGAAGGCTGATAACCGATACAATATCGGAATCGATGGTAGCACCATCATGTTCAAGATTGTAAGAATCCGCTGAGACACCGACAGGCTTGCCTGTAGCTGCGGCATATTCTTGCAATATCTTGAATAAAAAATTTCATTGCACATTTTGTGGATGTATATCGGCAATAAAGTAAGGAGGACAATCTTTGTACAAACGTACATGTTTTTTGCATGATTTTTATGCCTAAATATGCTTTTTTAGGAACTACAATATTGAAGTGATTTTTTCTGAAGCGTTTATGATTGACTGTTCCATATCCTTACAGCAGTAATTGCAAATATAGAAGTATTTTAAGAAAGGTATAAGGTTCAAACGCCATTTTCACCATGTACTGCAATGAATAGTCTAAAAAATTCATTTCATAGAAATAAAGAAATAAACAATAAACCAGAAAAATGAGTTATGTACCTTTCTTGCTGCAGTTTTCTCTTCATCTGTTGCCGTTGAACTTCCAACCGTTTTGATTGCGCCTTTAACCTTGGCAAACGCATCACATGTTGTAACATCTATTAATGAATATTCGACAAATATATATATATGCTAAGTATGTACATGCAAAATAATCACTTATACGCCTTGCTTCTCAACTGCGCTATTAGGGTATCACAAAAGGTGTAAAGCGTTTTCACTGCAATATATATTTCGGTCTGTAGGAGATGTAACAGCATAAAGAAGGGATGGCAATATTAGTGTTGTTTATCCTTTATATTAGGATTAGGGCTGTTTTCACCATGGAATAGATGCACTGGTTCACTGCCAATGTGGGAATAGCCTATTCCAGCAACATGGACTGGTTGGGTTCAGTTAAGTTTTGAACTCAATACAATGCCGACTTCTTCAGTTTGCCAGTCTGCTTTCCGGTAATGGGATTAGTGTTGTTGCAATTTAGCCAAACTAGCTACTCCCATACCGACGTGAGCTATAGGCTAGGCTTGGTTGACAAATTGCATGCCACTGTATGTTATTTTAAATGGATAAACCTAATTTGGCCATTTATGCCCATAATAATTTTCAGAAGATGGCCACGTAATACACATCTGTAAATGTACATGCATGTGATTCATTGTATTTTATAAAATTACCCACAAAAGATGAATATTAACTAAAGCCGCTATATAGTGACAACAATAGGCTCCCACTAAATTTTGATCGAGGTCTTCCAAAACTAATTCATTCAGTCTATGTGATAGTTATCCTATTGTACAGTATTGCATTGTTGAGTTAAAGCATTGATTAACTGACTGCGTAGCCTACTACTTTAGTGTTTTTAATCTGGCCGCGTACCACCGACAAAACCTCTCGTAGGGTGGGAAATGTTCCACAAGAATCGTGCTATGGAAGTATTTTATATTATGGCACCACATCCATTTTTAGACGTTTAAAAACGTTCTGTATTAATTGGGTTCAAGATTGCAATAGAATTAACGTAGTTTACACTCAGAGCTGAAGGGATATAAATTATAATCATCGCCAACATTTAATTACCGCAAAACTCGAACAAATATATTTTGCCTAACCTAGTCTACAAAATGGAATACCTCAACACTTAAAGATTATGTCGATCAGCCAACACACAAACGGGAACATCGGTCGGAGATCGAAGATTTATCGATCGAAAGTTAGGGGATCCCCCATTCATTCACTCTGACTCTATAGTGACACCGCATGTCCCATCACTAATTAATTAATAACTCGCTAATTATACGACATAATTCATCCAAAACCAATAGGCTTCCCGTCCGAGCAATGATGAATGCACATGCAATTTGGAGCAGATTCAACCTCTTGTGAGATATCGCGTGCATCTAACATACAGTAAGACAAACAGACAAATACCTATCAACATACTTACCGATCTTAAGATCGATAAGTAACAAGTAGCAATAGTAACATTCGTATGATGTATCAAGGCACTATCTGGGTATCTCGTCACGCATAGACCACCGCCGCTGAACGCATCCTTTGTTGCCGATTTCACAATGCATTGTGGGCGTACAACATAAAACGGGCAAAAACATCCCCGTCTCCTCCCGTTTAGGTGGGAAGTAGCGAGCGATCTAAAGACAGATCTGGTAGTCTATAAACCTGTTCAGGGAATACATACAATACGAGTACAGTATAGAAGTTGAAGAGAAAGCGCCACAACCATATTTTGGTCAACTCAAATGTTAATTGTTCCTAATAATTACAAAGCTGCTCGCGTACCACTAGTACGCGTACACGTACCACTAGTACACGTACCACAGGTTGGAACTACTGAGTTAAAGTGGATGGTTACAAAAGAGACCAGTAGTGTAACTTGTGTTATAAACGCTAACGTAATTACTTGCTTCTAATAGCGAATGTTTTTTGCTTGAAACAAGGTCGTTGCTCAAATTCATTTTCTATTTGATATTTTCATACATCTTTTCATGCGAAAAAGTTGATGACGTATTTCCTGCCCTCGCTCAAGTATTGCTTGCACTAGTTTTATCGTTTTAGTTTGAGTCATCATTTGTATCACCATTGCGTGCTTATTTGACCTCTGAAGGAGTTAGCGGGATTCATTTCGCTTAGTATTGTAGGGCGTATAAAGAACAATCCGGATGGGGAACGAAAAGTTCCCTGTACTTGCCTTCACACAACCCCTCATGTCCTTCTCCAAAGTATCCTTCATTGCAAGTGCAAGTATGCCCTCCTTCAATATTATCACAACGGGCATTCGTGTCGCAATCATGTCCATCACCCTCTCCTACACACTCATCATGATCTAATATAAAATATTATTTACAATATAACTAGTATTGATAATAATGTATGAGGGTACATTTCAACATGGGTGACTATTTATTACTATAAATACATAAATGCATGGAAAGATTCATATAATTAAAATTTATTTTGATTCAAGCAAATATTCTCTCACAGTAATATGATAACGTCCAAATATGTAATAATTTCCAAACAAAAAAAACATTTGTGTACGGATTGTAGCCAGACCACGTTTCCAGCATTTTTCCTAGATAGCTAAGCTAACTAGGAGAAAATATATTATTTTTTTTAAATTTTGTGCTCAATGCGTATCAGACCTAAAAATACTTTTTTTTGAACAATCCTGTAATTTTATACACTTTTCTCTGTTTACGGCCTTGCATATTTTTTTGTTATCATCCATCATTAATGACTATCTCGAGTTTAAATTGCTTTCAATTCAGTTCTCTATATATATGTAATATGCACCTGAGCATGTAGTGCCGTTTCCAAAGAACCCATCCTTGCATGTACAAGTATAAGAGCCCTCCGTATTTGCACAATCAGCGTTTGCATGACAATCGTTTTCTACTCCTTCTGCACATTCATCGACATCTATAAAAATATGGTTCTTACATTATTTTCCATTTTGCCTAACGCAACCCGAAATTATGGGTAGCTCTTAATTTGCAAGGAAATGCTCGATACTCTTATATCTAGATTGTCTCCTGGCTTAATCAAATAATTACATAAATTTGTTTTTAGGTCGTCTCTCCGAACATGTGGACCTGCGGAATCACTTTAAAATAAATGACAACTTCGACTTTTCAGTATGTTACTGTGTTTCTCTTCGTTTTTAATTCAATGTTTTAGCCAATCAGAAACAATCAAATTGTCTAAAAACTCAGCGCTGGCGATGTAGATCAGAGATGTCAGGTGTTCGAATTTTTTCAGCTTATTGATCATTTCGGCTCAGGCCCTTCGTTAGACGATATGGTATCAAAATTGTTTCGTGAAACCTAATTAAAACAATCATGAATGCGTGTACTAGTGCACTACATATTAACATAATAACAATTAACGAAACACTATTGCAAGTGGGCCCGGACCAAATATAACTGAAGATTTGGTATTGTTTTCTACTGTACCTGTGCAGCTATTCGCATCGGTCCCATCTTGGTATCCAGTTATACACGTGCATGTATAGGCCACATCATCGTAAAAACATGTAGAAAAGAAGTCACATCGTAGTAAATTCAAAACATCTTCGACATCACCATCTATTGTATCGTATCTTGCTCGGTACGCAGATTGCGTAACACCAATTGGTCGCCCAGAAGCATCTTCGTAATTTTGTAAAGTCTGAATATGTGATAAGAAAAGATAAATCACAGCCTTGTAGCCGATACGTTCAATTTTAAAACAGGGCATGATAGATACACCCAATCTCAATTTTGAAAACTACAGCCGACGAGAAGTTAAAATTACTACAAGCTGAAATAAACCTGTTACTCAATTCTGCCAAATCAATGACATAAAGTATGGTTGGAACTTGAAACAATATTTTTTTCGCTGGTTTCAGTCCAGTGGCCAGAATTGACAAGTAAGCCATGCAATCATGCCTTCTTCAGTCATCGAGGCACAGAAATATATTTGGTTATTTTGTTAAAAATGAAAATTATGAGTACAGTTATTTGTTCCGTGCCGCCTGGCAGAAAACGTTTCTAATCTATATATTTTTTTTCAATATAGCCAAATGCAATGTGGTAAACGTTAAACAACAAATCAGTTGATAAAATATGCCTGTGATGTTCTCGGAAACATTTCAAAAAAGGGAAAAACTAATATATATAATAACTGAGAATGCCGTTATGGTACAATCAAGACAAACACAAGTATTGAACAATCAAAAGGTTCGAACTAAACGGTTTTACTTGAAAATTAGTTAATTAATTAGTTAATAACTTCAATAAAAATAGCACTCACCAATCTTGCCGCTGTTTTATCTTCTTCACTTGCCGACACAGATCGAATAGTCTCGATCGCACTTTTGAGTGCCTCGAACGTGTCACATGTCAAAACATCTGAAATTTAACGATGTTTTTGCATTACGAGAATAAATTATATAAACACAACTTGCATTTAACGACGCTCCCAAAGTATGTGCATCAAAATGGGGCACACCGTGAACCCTAACCTGGTACACATACTATGTTCAGGATGTGCGCTTTCTTGGTGCACATACTTCTGGAGCTCCCATTTAACTTAACTAACTTTAAATAGGTATTAATTGTTGCTCATTTTTGCCATTTCCATATTTCAAAATAATAGAGCGCAGCCGTAGAACTCTCTTAGGCCAATTTTATTTTCTGTAATTTTTTGTATGAAAATTGACAATCAATAAAAGTGGAAATGAAATAGAAAAAATACCCGAATTTCGGGCGTTATCTACTGAATGAAAAAACATGACTCATCAATTCTTTAATTACTTTATTTAACACTTATGTTCATGTATGATTTCAGAATTTCAATAAAAATCGGTAATCTGGGATGCTTTAAACAACAGTCATTTTCTCTCTAGTCTAAAATATATCTCAAATTACATGGGTTCTGTTTTTGAGTCACTTCGTTACCTCAAAATTTCACAATATTATCATTGGATTACAACATCAACAAATACAGCAGTTGTACGAATTTGATTAGATCTATTTAATTTCAATTTTTGAAAAAGTCAGAATACGAACAAAATATAAATCATGATTTTAAAATAAATTAACACTATCAAAATATATTTAAAATTGTATACACTATTTATCATATTTCGAATTTCGATAACTTGCACAGGACAACTTCTTGAACAAGACAAAGCTTTCGAAGGTACCAGCTGGTGTCACCCAGTTCAGTCTATTACTCTCGTCTATAATAATATACATTTCACCTTCATTTAGTTTAAATCTTACTTGTGCAATCGCCAGTTTGTCCACTCCCCATATATTGGTTATTGCAAGCACATTCGTGGGATCCTTCAGTATTTGTGCATGATGCGTGAGTATCGCAAGTGTCTGTTTCCTGGTCGCACTCATTAATATCTATATATATATTTGAAGACTTTATAGTAGCTCAAAACTTGAAAATATTTTATAAAAATAAAGTTTCCATAATTTCCCGGAAAAGATCAATAATAAATTTATTTGGAAGAAAACTCGCAAACCTTCACAAGTCATGCCATTTCCATCATATCCTGGCTTGCAGGCGCACGCAAAACTGCCCTGATTATTTGTGCATGTAGCCTTTACTTCATCAGCACAATTATCAGTTTCCGATGTACATTCGTCTTCGTCTGGGAAATATTTAGAAATATCCTTGTGACAAACCAAAATTTGTTTATATATTTTATACAATGCAAATGGAGTTGCATCTGTGATATTATGTTGTTTAAAAATCTACAGGAGAAGTTTTTGTACAGATTGATTATCAATAATTACCTTGAAAAAATTACATACCGTATAATAATATTTGCTTCTTGTTTTGTTATACTGAGGCCATATAGTATTATAAGCGAACGTCTTCGTTAGGCTTAGGCCCGGACAAAACTTCAATCCCACAGCAGGCACTTGTTTATTTAGTGTTCTAAATTTGGTTCTAATTTGGAATAACAAAATCAATTCAACCTTACTGTAAACCGTGTCAAATAACAAAAAAGGCGTCGTCAAGCAAATTCTACAAAAATTAAGAAAGTTAGCTTAGACGGAAATCGCACAGACTCCATATCATGAAGTGTCTAATTTATACTTTACTAGGGATATGGTATATATATAAGTTCTGCTCACCCACACACTGATTTGGGTTTGTGTCATGATCAACATAGCCGGCTTCACAGGTGCAACTGTATGATATCATCCCATCATTATCTTCCTCAGTACAGGAAGAAAAATAATCACATCTTCCTTGTTCGATGAGAGTAGCAATTGCAGAATCGGGTTCAGTTCCATCCGAATGATATTTCGCTTTGTAAGAAGCACTGGATACTCCGGGAGCTTTACCATCGGCAGCACTGTACTCATTGACAAACTGTTCGCAAAATAAAAACATTAATGTCGTATGCCCTAAGAAACAGTTGTTAGTAGCACAACGATTTAGTGTTATTTCGATTGAAATTTCGTCTTGTATATTATGATACTGCTATCAGTACACTATATTTTAAATTGAACAATATGAATTGAATAACATGGATTTAATTTTAGAAATTAATTGAATAGGTCTAAGGTTCCTGGCTGAATAGGGTCAATTTTTCTATGTTAACGGTTAAAGTATTTTCACTGAAATTCTCAGCCCTGGTTTTAAAATATGCTTCACTATTTGATAAAAACATTGAAAATGATTGACTTTATAAAATATTGTGCCTATATGTTAATTTATTGGATCCATCTCATTCCTATCTATTTGTTTCATATTTTGTAATTGGTGGATAATATATCTCACTTTTTACTTCTTCTTATATAATACAAAACAGTGGTGCTGAAATAAATGTATGGACACAAAATCCAAACGACCGAATGCGAGTATGCAATCTGTCACATTATACTACCAGTACCAGCATTCACGATGTCATAAAAACATGTTCCCATAATTAAAAATTATACAGCGCATTTTAGATAAAATATCAGATTTCACAGAAAATTTAGGAACAAATTAAAATAATAGCCGTTTAGCAAAAAATACAATCTTTATTAAGCACTGAAAATTTTAAAGCAATTGGTCAATTAGTGAATGAGAGAAGCGATTTTTCCACAACACCAAAAAGAAAATACCAACAAGGTCAACAACAACAACATTCTAATAGCAAAATGATCCATTGCTCGACTTCATGTCCAATGACAGAATTAAAATATATATGCATAATTTAAAGCATAATTTGAATGTATGAAAAAAAAGTGTTTATAGCATACATCTAAGTCGTCTTGGCTAGTGCTGCCACTTCTATAGTTATCAATTGTTTGTTTCCATAAATCAAAAGTAGAACACGACAATACATCTGTAAAATATATAAAGATAAATTAGAAAAAGTTTGGAAATCATGATTGAGTACAAAAAAATGCGATACACCAGATATTAAAAAAAAATTGGAGTAAAACAAATGCATTGTGCTCAAAAAAATTAAATTATTCTTACCCAGGCAATCATTATCATATCCAGTTCCATAATAACCAGATTTACAAGAACAAGTAAAACTTCCAGCGTTGTTACTACATTTTCCATTAGTTACGTCGCAATTATTATTCCCACCCTCTGCACATTCATCAATATCTGAATAAAGAATTATAAATAGAGTATTTTTCAAATGATGAACAATATAATTACATCAACATTTTTCCATGATCTAACATTTCCAAGTAACGCAGATAGGGTGAATACCAACTTGTGATAAAAAGACAAGAGAGCTACGCCCAAATATATGGACACGTCTGTTCGCAGTACAGTTCGGTTTACCGTACCGTCAGATCACAGTCTACAAATATATTCACACCAAGCGAAGCAGTACAGTAGGACACAAAATGGCGTCCGATGTCCGCAGAAAGTTTAATGACGTCATAGCAAACAAAAACAAATCTCACAGAGCTAACAGAAATATTTAAAATGAATAAAAGTAATAGCCTTCTAGAGAACAATTTCATCTTTAACCAGTAAAAATTTCGAAGCAATCGGTCCAGTAATGAAAGAGAAAAGCGGTTTTTTAGATTTTCCACCAGATGTCCAAAAAGTGTCAAAGAACAACAACAACAAGACCAACATAATATTGAAACGATCGTTATGTCCACTATGTGTCCAATAATAAAAATGATATTTTCAAAAAGGTAAAGGCTGCAGGTTCTTAAACAGTGAATATTGGGTGCTCTCGTAGTGTGTATACCAGGTTAGGTTTGGGACATAATTTTTTTCCGATTTTCCCTATTTTAGTTCGATTACGAGTTCGGGGACTGTCTGTGTTGGCCAAGTGATTATACTCCCTGTCCATAGGCTTCCGTCCCTTTACAAAACTTGATGGGAAGTGGAAGAACAAAATTAGTTACCTCCATATTGGTACACTTCTGGAGCGCCAAATATTGTACAGGGTGACCCCCAAAAACGAACCCAGAAAATTCTTAATAATTACATTTACGAAAATGTAGTGTATGACAGTGATGATTGACAATTTTGCGCAACAGATGCAAGTCTGTCTCCAATGACAAAGAGGTAACTTGGAACCTATTCTAGGAAAACTTTTGTGAAAGGCGTACTAGAGTTCTGAAACTTTTTGGGTATATTCATACACAAATAGAAATTCAATCGCGAAGAAAATTACCAAATTTTTTTCATTTGCGTAGAATTATAAAATTTATGGGTTCAGTTTCTTAGGTCTCATCGGTAATATTTGAAAAAAAAAAATATATGAATTAATATAAAGTAACAATACAAAATACAAATTTATCAGTCATTTATATTTATAAATTCAAAAATCATTGTTAATTAATATAAAGTAACAATACAAAATACAAATTTATCAGTCATTTATATTTATAAATTCAAAAATCATTGTAAAAATTTGTTATGAATTATATCAGTACAAATTCAAATATGAGGATAAATATAATGGCGATATTTCTACAAGTACTTACCATCACAAATTATTCCAGTTCCAAAATATCCGTCCTTACATTTACATGTGAAAGATCCCACGCTATCATCGCATATTCCCAATGTTGCGTGGCAGTTGTGAGGACTGGTTGTAGACTCACATTCGTTCGTATCTATAAACAAATTTGTAGAGATTATAAATATTTATATGTGCATTAGATTAGTTCATACAATCGTTTCTTGTTGTTATGTTCGTCAGAATTTCGTTCAGACGAAACGCTACAGAAAATTGTTTGCACTAGTGTGAAGCACGGCTCTTGAATCCGTTAAAATACTTACGTTATGTGATACATATTCACCAGCATAGAAGAAATATAAGTAGTTGAAACCACAGGAAGCCAAGGTATTGCAATTTATATTTTCCATTATCTTCATTCGAAAGTGGCTATTATTTATCCTAAAAGTCAGACTATATGTGGTTTTGTCAATATGTGGCTGCCAAAATCCTGATACTCCTGTTATGTGTACCAGGTTAGGGTTGGGCCACAATTTTATTTTGATTTTCCTCATTTTAGTTCTATTACAAGTTTAGGGTCTGTCTGGGTTAGCCAAGTGAATATCCCCCTGCCCATCAGTCCCTTCACACAACTAAAATAGGCGACCAAACTGGTTAACTCAATATTGGTACACATACTTCCGGAGCGCCAAAAACCTTCGCTATGGGTTATTACCGAAGCGGACTATCTGTATTGAAACACAATCACAATGGTCCCTGCCTCATTTCCGTCTCCATAGCCATTGAATACAGTTTCGCAAAAACGAGACTGAATATTATGATACAAGAGTTTCAAGTTACAGAATTAAACCTTGAATTAATTTTATAAATTAAATTTTAAAAATATTATGAGCTGTAAGAATAAATTTTTTCATTTGTTTGAAGTATTAAAAAATTATAGATGTAAAAAAATAATTAGATAATTGGAAGCTGCAGCTGCTTAAATTTCTTGTAGCTCCGATTCTAGCTCAATATAATAAGACAAGCTTTGCCTCGACTTTACCAAAAAAGTTACGGTTCCCTGACTCGACACTTCGTCTCTCCAGCCTTGTTTATTGCAATAGGAACAACAAAAAGGGATAACGAATTCCAATCAATCAGCTTTAAAATCTGTCATAAATATCTTACCCCATAAAGAAAATAAATAACATACTTATACAAGCCTTTGATCCATCGGTTGGTAGTTCAAAACCCTCGGAACACGAGCAGATGTAATCCCCTATTTCATTAGTACAAGTTCCAGTGGTACCACAAGAATGTACTCCCTCCGTACATTCATTGATGTCTTTTTTAAGAAAAAAAAAAGTTTTGTTTAATTTTTGTTTACAGATTGCGGGATGAAAAACAATACAGATGTATGATTTCAATATTAGTTAAGTCATAATAATATCACCTTTTGAAATATTATTAGGTTTTCATTTTTGTAACTTATAACAAACTTGAAAAAAAAAATAATAGATAAAAATTAGGAGGGAACATAAAGAGCTAGAACTGAAAGCAAAATTTTGTTTGCCACCCAATGCAATACTATGTTGAAAATTTTTTCTTCAATTGAAAACGGTTTTGAACAGAGACAATTTTTGAGACAGAGCTGGGCATAAGTACGGTAATATTTATAGTAACGGAGTGGATAAAAATGCTGTTTTCATTTAACACTTGAGTTGCATTCATGTGTAATTTTATTTACAAAATTGTATGAGATCATATTTTGTTATAATCTAATCTAATGGATGCTTGCTTGTATTTTTCACCTGGTTGGGAAAACTAGACAAATTTTACAGTTTGATTTGGATCAGATAGAGATGTTCGAGTCAGATTCAACATGAAATGAACTAATTATATTCAACTTTCAATTGTGGTTATTGTGTAATATAACTATCATTTATTCGGATTGAGATTTGGATAACTTATTGCATTCGTGTAAACTCACCATCGCATGGACCCCCTATTCCACCATTATATCCAGAATTACAATCACAAATGTAACTTCCTTGATTGTTTACGCAATCTCCTGTGTCCCCACATGCAGGATCTAATGTTACACATTCGTCGTTATCTTAAAATAAGGAAAATACAAAAGATCATAAACAAAGAGCAAAGACCAATATTGCATTATATAGCATTGTAAAGGGTCTTACTGACTTAGTCAATGAAACCTTTAATAACGGACCAAATTTGCGATTATTTATTATTGTCAAGAACATATTAAATAGCAAAAACATTGCATTGAGAATACATCTACTTATTGATTGTAATAATAATATATCAGTGAATAAATATTTAGGACAATTTACTCCAACAATATAAAAAACATATATAAACCATACGCCGATTATTTTGTTTTGCATTGATAACGAAAATCCTGGCTTACAAAACAAGTGATATATAAAAAAGCAGCTAAAAATAATTCCTTGGGAAAGCAAGAAAAGGAATTTACCCACAGTAATACTCATCAACGTAGAAAAATGATAGATTTCAGAATTTCATTATAGCCACATAAAGAATATTGTATTGTTTGTACATACCAACACATTGGACAGAACTTCCCGATACTGGGACATATCCTTCATGGCATGTACACTGATACGCTACATCCAAACCTCCTTCGGAAAGCGTTGTGGAACACTCCGAAAAATAATCGCATCTGAGCTCGCTTGCAACTGCCTGTTGCAAAACTGGTATAACGGCTGTACCAGGAAAATATTTTGCTTTGTAAGATGAAGATGAGCCCCCAAACGATAAGCCAGTTGCGTCACTATATTCTTGCAAGCGCTAAATACAAATATTTCGGATTAGCTGGAGAATTAACGTTTTCCACAAGTATTTAGGCTATTTGTTAATTGTTTTGGATTTATTGTTTTACAAGCAGTAGAATACAGTATTATTTATGTATGCAATTGTTAAGAAGCATCCGTCGTGAATCGGGTCAACTGAGGTTGTTGTTATGTTTATTTTGACTGATAAATACTACAATGAGTATGTAAGAGCAATTTTTAAAAAGTTGAATTAAAAAACGGAATTAGAATCAGAGCTTTCGCTAGAATGTGTGTCGACGAATATGCATCAGATGAAATAATATTATAAAAGAAATATGTGAATCTAAAAACAAAACATACCTTTTGAGCTTCTGAAATGTCACCATCGGCTATGCGAACTGTTTCTAGATCACTTCTTAATTGATTAAATACTTCGCAGGTAACAGCAGCTGAAATTTGCATAATTTTGTTCCAGTCATTGGTTCGGATAAAAACAAAGTTACTAACACTTAACTAATTTAAAGTTTAAAACTTTTTAAATGACTTTATTTTCTTTGGACTGTCAGACAATACAGACTGTTGAATAATGACGGTAATTTGGGCATAAAAAATTAATTTTTGAAGTGTTTGAAAGTCTAAATAGTAAAGTGATTTTTATTAACACAAACGTAAAATTGGTATTGATAATAATTGATTTAGACAGAACGTTTCTGTTTGGATGTGCATGTACTTGTAAAACCAGAACATTATATATAAAAGCATTTCAAGCAATTTATTTTCATCTTTTTGCTCAATTACTCGATAATTCATAGTAAACAACTTTTTTCAATGTAAATATTTCAAAACAATGTTCTTACATATGCAAGAATCAACGCCGTCACCCATGTACGTATTTTGGCAAGTGCATGTGAAAGATCCAGGAATATTTGCACAATTTGCAAATTCGTGACAGTTATGTAGATTATCAGCATCATTGCATTCATCAATATCTAAGAAAGAAAAAAAAAAATAGATTTCCAAACTCTACGATTCATAGTTGGGTACCACAAGCAAATAGAGAGACAGTGTCAATTTGGAATATGTTGATTGTATTATTAATTCTATAAATATTTCCCATAAACTTGGTCACAAATATTGTAGATTCCGAATGTATGAACAATAGTTTTTGGTAGCACCAAAATATTTGAACAAATTCTTCATATAACACATATTTGAACATAAGGTTCCAGATAAATAAATGTATTTTATAATACACCGACAATAGGCCGTAAATATCATTTTCCATAATAATAAGAACACAAAGGAAAGGTTGGACATGGAACACAGTGTGAAATCAGGCCTCGCATCTATACTATATCAGAAATCAGTCATGCATTTCGATGTTTGACTCGCTTTTCGGTGAGTTACGGCGTTCCGGCAAACAAGCCGTGCAGAACGACGTAAGTTATCGAGTGAAATTTGTTTTGGGAGGTTCAAACTAACATTTAGCCATTCCAGTCTTTTTGAACCCTTGTCTGGCTATTTTTAGCTTTAGTATTTGTTGGGGATATTGGACCGGGGTTCAGTGGGACATGTTCCACTGTGCAATTAGTCAGTGTTTCATCCATCCGGTGCTAGAGATCTAAAGTTTTATTATTTTTGTTGGATATTAGATTATCTTTTAGTCCGTGGCCCAATTTGACATATCTTCCAAATTCAAAAATATTTTTCCAGAGTTAATTCGAAAGATGAAATCATTTGCGTTTGCACGAAATTAGATATTTTATTCGTTAATATATCTGTTAGTGTTTGTGAACACATTGAACAGTTTGGTTATTGAAATAATTAGACTTTTCGTTTTTTTTATGAGCACTCGAAAACATTTTTTATAAAGCATTTTTATGGTGAAATGTATGTCAGTTGGGTATTTCTTAACCACTGAATAAAAACTACATTTACCCCTTTCTGCATTAGTTTTGTAATGTCATTTTTGTCTATTTGAGCAGCACACAAAAATGTCAGATAAAAACTCATGAGATAGAAAGCCAATTGGTGAGATATAACTTCTTTAAATACAAAGATACTCTGAAAGAAATACTGAATAATGGGATTTGTTATTTACTTAAACAAAGCAAACTAGCTGAATACAAATTTTCCAATTTTAAAAACTAAAATCTGCAATATTTGAGGCTATATAACAATGATATAGATTTTATTGCATTTGGGCTAGCAGTGTAACAGTAATTTTGAAAACACACAGAATCATGAGAAAATAACAAACAGGATAACAGGATAATAAGGATAAATTCAACATTTCATACGCCTTTGTTCGATCAATGAAAGTTAAAATGAATGAAATCTACCTGTACAGTCGCTAGCAATATCTGCAGCATCTGACAATTGATATCCCGCGGGACAAGTACAGGTGTAAGAGCCTTCGTTATTTCCACAAGTTGCCATGGCACCACAAGGTCCACCACCAGCACATTCATCGACATCTGAAATTTATACGAAGATTACTTTAAAACTAAAAATGCAATAAGTAGATTGATATACGCCCGGAAAAATTTGTGACTATGAGAATATAGCATTTATATAGATTCTTAATTTTGTAATGAAACATAGCGGCAATATTCGTCCTCACACTATATTATAATATGTAATAGAACGCATTTTTGTGCATGATTTAACTTTCAGAAAAAGACAACTATTTTTCGATTGAAATCGTCCTTATATTTGAAAGTGATCAATAGAATGTTTTCCAAAATGCTTTCTTAACCTGTTGTTTTGGATAGCCTATATAGTGCACTAATTGAATATTCATTTATCGTACCTTCGCATTGGGTTGTTGAGTCACCCACTGCGATATATCCTGTGATACAGGTGCAAGTATATATAATTGGTTCACCAGCTTCGCTACAATCAGAAAAATAGTCGCATCGAAGCTGATCGATAACGTTAATGACTGAAGTAGGTAGATCATCATATTTTGCTCTTACGCTATCTCCAGGTGATCCGGTTGCTTTACCAGATGCTGATACGAAATTGTTCAAAAACTGAAAATAAATTAGACCGAGTTTTCAAAATTTCACGCAAGATGGAAGAAGCCTTGCATGTATTCATTGATAAACACCAATGAAAATTACTATATAAGTTGAAAGCAGGAAGGGTTGCGTTTAGATATCGACATACAAAACTAATGAAGTGATCTTGGGGTAGGGGCCTAGGGCATTCTTAACACCTGAATTACCTGGAAAAAAATTTGAAGGTTTAGAATAATGATTTTCGAGTCGCATTTATATTTAATTTATAAATATATTATTGTGGAATTTGATTTTTTTCGTATTTCTTCGGCTGAGATCACAGCTGAAAAGATATCTCGATCATGTGGCCAACCATGGCCCTTCATCTAATTGTCAGTACAGGTTGAGCTCATCAATTATTTCGTGTATAATAAATTATTTTTCCTATGATCATATTGACTACACCAGAGGAGTGCAACTTACGGCCCACAGGCCATTGTCCAGTCCGCGGAACCTATTTACGTGTCCCGTAAAAGACTGTATAATATTATTTTTGCCTTTTATTTTGACTAATAACGTGATATTTTCATTGATGCTGTGTTGTGATTGAAGAAGTTAAAAGGTCTTCAAATTAAAAAAAAGTTTACATGAGTGGCAGAATTTCGTCATCGAGTGGTGTCTGAAATACTTTGTTTAACACAATTAAGATGTAGATAGTGTAATTGTGTCCGACCAAGCGACACCATCGTGCAAAAGCTAGTTCTGCTAGTTTCGATAGCATTGTGGATCAAATAAGGGTTAAAAATATTCATCGAAAAGTGTCCCTAAAGAAGAAATATTTCATGGAGCAGATATTTTTTGTCGTTCAACAGTGACTCACTGAATGAACGATCTCTCAAAAAATATCGGAGTAGAACAAAATTACAAGCAATTGTTGGTCACAAACTAATCTACCTTGTAAAGGATTTGCATATTTTTTCACAAATCTGGAAATCATGCATTTATAAGAATGATCTTTCGGCCCATTTCGATAAACAGTTGCGCGCCCGTGTTCTTAACTATATGTGTACGCTTATGCGTCAAATAAAGCAATTTCTATTACAACCCTTTGTCAACTTGGGCATTTTTTTCTTTACTCATGATTTCATTTCTAAGTTTTGTTTCACATTGGCTCGACGGTTGGCGTGATATCGTAATGAGCGTCGGATAAACGCCTGCCATTGCACGCTCATAACATTGCATGAGTCCTCAGCTCTCAGGTTGGTAGTTCCCTTTAGAAAATTACGCGAAACACGATTGGCTAATTGAATAAATGCTGGTTCGAGTTATCGGTTATTGGCTACGACTCCTCACTACGTGCATTAAAAAAAAAATTCAATGCACTGGCAGAATGCACTGACCTACACTGGTCCGACAATCTCATTCATGCTTCTTATCGTCTTTCCTCTACCCCTCAGTCAAAACAGTAAAACTTCTTCGGCGCGGCGGTGTGGATCATCGAAGCGTTAGGAATACCACCGCTTCTCTGACTACCCTGCGTGGGTTCGCAGGTTCGAATCCCACGCGGGGTAGTTATGTGCGAGAGTATTGCTGGACTCCTCGCCGTCGTAGGGTGGTTCACGTAACTACTGGTCGGTTACGGCTTCCTCCACCATCAAGTCCATGCTTCCGAACAACAAATAACTAAAACTAATCTCATGCCCGACATGGATTGGTAACCGGACGAGAGGCCGTGGTTCGCCATATGGTTAAGCTGTCTTATCGGCTTTCCTTTCCCCCCGGAATAAATATGTAAATCCTATCCTATTAAAAAAGATCACTGATAGACTGGTGGCAAACGACCACACTATGACAAATACATAAATTGCACAATAGTTTAGAATCAAGTAATTTGTGGATAAACTAGTAGCCTACTTGTTCTGCTGCACTGATATCATCTCCTGATATTGCTGTCAAGATAGTGTTAATATTTGCCTTCAACTTAGTATGGGTTGCACAAGAAACCACCTCTGAAATAAAAATGGCGATATGAATGGCGAATAAATATGGGTCTCGTGTAGTTTCGTACCTAACGTACTTCTAGTAGGCGTAGCCTAACAATTTTCCAACATGTCAATCCTAACGCCCACCGGACTACGCCATCCAAAAATTACGTCACTGCGACCTCACAATCACGTCACAGAACTTGCCAAAGTTTAACTACGATCGCACGAAATGGCAGACGATAAAGAACTCACTAACGACAGCGATCTCTCTCATATCGGGATCGATGCGACGTGAAAACAAGAGAAACAGCTTGCTAAATTTTGGGTGATCGTCAGCGCGTGTTAGATGACAGTTCGTATAGTTTGGGTGACGTAATTTTTAGATGACACGGTCAGGTGGGGGTTAGGATTAACATATGCAAAAACTGTTATGCTACTCCCACTAGAAGTACTTTAGGTACGAAACTACACTACTGCACTAGACCCATAAATATATACTGTTTTACATTTGAGCAGGTTCATGGAATACACCAATGCTTAGAAATGTGCTAATTAACACAATATGTATTTATACTCTATTTACAAGAGGTTTGGAAAAATAAAGTAGAATAATAGCCTATACAGCCTATACTTTTATTGTAAAAATGGGTACAGAATCGTGAACAGCACGCAATAGGTAATTTTCATATACTAGCAATCTGTATTCAAAATGTTATTCTTAAAAGTAGTATAAATGAGTTGGGGTTCAAACCAGAGATGTAGTATCTTACAAAAAAAATGAGAAAAAATCCTTTTTGAATGAAATTCACTTTACCAATCTAAATTCTCTATTTATGGACTGAATAAATTGACCAAAGCATGCAAGGTTGCATTGCTTTAATTCATTTTACCTGAGCAGTCGCCTGTCTCTCCTGACCCAAAAAATCCGGTTTCACAAAAACAATCATGACTTCCTATTTGGTTCCTGCAGTTTGCGTTGGCATCACATGGATCACTTGCACACTCGTCGAAATCTGATGAAAATTGATTATTTTAATCCTCGCAAAAACTAGGAACAACCCAGGGGAAACAACAAAATTTGTAATATTAATTATGTAATCTTACAACTGATGCAGTTTTGTGCACTAACATAGAAATTGTTCATTTAAGATTACAATTAGAGGATTGATTAAAAAAACTATTAATCTAAAGACTACAATACACCAATTACAGAGGATAAGGACCGAAAGATATGAGAATTTCATACTGCTGTACTGTAATCAAAAGTAAAAGTGATCGACATTTTTACTCCAGGGCAAGTTTTTTACAGTTAACTCTAAATCCATCGGCATCCATCATATACAAATATGGAGTCGAAATAAACTTAACTTACCGTATCTTACTGTTTTATGCCGTCATCAGTTTCTTGTATAGTTAATAACAATACCGAAAAAATCATTCTTAATTTTAAACTGGAATCGCAAATCGACTAACCTGTACACGAATCTGTGCTAGGATCGCCGGTGTATCCTGCGGCACATTTGCACAGAAACCCACCATCAGTATTTTCACAAACTTCATTTGCACTACAATTGTGCTGGATGTTAGTGACGTCACATTCATCAATGTCTAAAATGATTCAAAGTAATTATAAATCTACAATACGTTTGAGAAGTAAGATCACAAGTAGTGATTATCTTTTTATGGACTCCGCAGACCCCGGCTTGAGATGTTAGGAGGATGAGTTGGATGCTTTTTAGGTTCCACATTTTTTCATTGGGTGATTGGATTCTCTTGGATTGGATGAGAATTCCAGTGGACTCCCGATTTCAAATTGAAAGATTAAACTACGATTTCGTTATCCGTAGTAACAAACTTTTTTGGAATGACAGCTTCATTTTTTGTCCAAAGTATAAAAGGAGTCGCCAAGCGCCTATATGCAGGAAACCATTTGTGTAGTGTACTATGTGGTGTTACTTATCCCCGAACTTCAAACTACTCGGAAAACAATACTGTAGTTGCTGTACACTGTGATAGTCAATAAAAATATCAGTAAAACTTATTGGATTTGGTATTAACAGTCGAAAACCAATAAATTGTGTTTTAAATTGGAGCCTTTTAGCAAGAATTTTCTATTGGAGCCAACACCACGTTTGTTTCAAACCTTGACATGATTGTGTCTCGTCGTCAGCGGTCACAATAGAATATCCCGTTGTGGTGCATTCGCAATCATAACTGCCCGGGTTGTTAACACATTCAGATCCTGTGATTTCGACACAAACATTGCTTTCGCATTCGTCGACATCTAGAGAAACAAATAAAAATCAAATAAACATAAATAAGATACTTAAAAAATCTAAAAGTAAACATCCAATGAGAATTATTTTTTGTAGCTGTATATGAATGATGAGAAAGTTAAAAAAATATAGAATTGTTGAGCTTTGACCTTTGCATGCATTAGCTGAAAACAACTGGCGAAATTAACTGCTGTTGTGATCTATCTCGTGTAAGACGGGAGAGCAGGGCCAAGGCCAACATTATAAAACCAGGCTACGATTAATTAACACAAATCTTGCTGGTATAAACGAACATGTTTATTCATTGCAGTCTCACAGAAGATCATCCAAGTCGCAATTTGATTAAGTTATAGGGATATTTGCCACTAGTCGTAGTTTCGTACCTCACCTGTGCAAAAATCATTTAACACGATACAATTATGATTTAAATAAATTAGATGATTCTGAGTGCAGTGTGCGGACGAGAAGCATTGTCTTTTTATAGAGACCACTCGCGCAAAACAGCATTGGATGGTTTTATTTAGTTGCGCACTTTCAAATAAATAAATAAAAGCGTCCATAGCACTCGAAAGATTGGGAACCACTGATATATGCCATTCTTGTTGTCGTTGTTGTGAAAAAAACACGCTTTTCTTTTTAACTACTGGACCAATTGCTTTGAATTGCTTTAGTGGTTAAAGATTGTATTTGTCGCTAAAAGGCTATTACTATTTATTTATTCCAAAAATTTCTGTGGTCTCTATGAGCCCTGACTCCAGCTGCCAATCACTAGATCCCATTAACAGGTACCTCAATTCCTTTCTAGCATAAAGGTATGGTTTATTCGTTGCTGATCCTGTTGTCGCCCTCAGCAAACCATGGGTTCCACTGTAACCAACATTTATTGCCCATTGTTAGCTAATGGGCATCACAATAGCATTGTTGTGATACAATCCACTAACGCCATCTCCATGGCTACCGAATCAGTGGTGTTCGGAGTTGTCTTTTCTTTTGTTGAAGCCTAAGTGACTATTATAGTCACTTTGGTTGAAGCGAGCGATTGCTGGTTACAGCAGATCGTCTCGAGATATTTTATGAATTTTTTTCCTCAATTTATTCAAACTTAGTTCGTTTTTTTGTTTTTTAAATTATAGTGTTAGACTTATTTTATAGGTGCCGCTGCTCGATAACCAGTATTGGTTTCTCGCGTCTCCTTCACCCTGAAATATGGCCAATTTATAATTTAATTTATTGCAATTTGTATGTTTGTGCCTATTTTAAGTATGGTGAGAAATAAACTACTGATTACTGATTACTGAAATTTCTGTGGTCTCTATGAGATTCGTTTTTCACTACGAATTTTTGTGTGATGATGTCAGCGAAATTGAAAAATGCGCACCTTGTGGCGGTTCCGCGTCCGCGAGAGTTTCGTTCTGGTGGTCAGTCGAAGTCAATAAACTACGTTATCGGTACTGTAAAAGATATCATACCCGTACTACTTCGTTTTGTTTTTTTTGTCCTTGTAAATTAGCATTACTCTTTTGTTTTATCTATAAAACTACATACAGGTATACCTGTGCAAGTATCGGAATCCTCAATCTTATGAAATCCTGGTTTACAAGCACAAGTGAATGATCCAGGATTATCAGTGCAGTCCTCGTTTTCACCACATGCCGCAGAATCGGCACATTCATCAATATCTGTAAAAGTAGTCAAAAACTTTTTTCTGATACTAGAATTCAAAAAAATCTATCATTTGGTATTGTGTCAAACTTCTAAATACTTGTGTTACATTCATTGCTATATGATGTGCCAAAAATACACATAAAAAATGTTAGTGTTATCATATTAAATATTCCATTTTGTTTAACATGCAGACGTTTGGATAACACAACAGTCATCAAAGATGAAAAGAACTGGTTTATGCTCAAATTAGTATTTCAAATATATTTTTGGAATATAGTATAGCAAAACTATCTAGTTAGCTGGTACATTATTCGGGTAAACGTCAATTAATTATTTTGAGGACACATGTGCGAAATTATGGCATAACTCCGACACAACCCTAGAATGAGTTAACAAGTCCAGCAAAGAAGGAGTGTAATGCTGGCAGAATTACTACAAGGTAGATCGCAAAAAATCGTCCTTGAAAAAAATCTTGCGTGTTTCTTAAAACATCAATATAAAATGCTGATTAAAATGATGTTTAGATTTACCTACCGTATGTATGGACTACTAAATTCATATTTACCCTAGCGCACACTCGCTCAAACTACACTCAACCTGTGATCAAGGGGTTAAACATTTTTTTATTTACTGTAAATTCGATATTCTATAAAAATCGCTTGCCCTGATAATATGCTCAAAGCACTCAGTTACCTCAAGTATGGCCTAACAAACATGAGTGTGGGTCGGAGTTTTACCAATGTTGATGGTGAGTCGAGGCGTCCTAAACGTCAAATTGATTAACCCCTTGATCACACGATGGTTGTGGACTGGGATAACTGCGGTTACCACAACTATTAGACTATATACGGCGTCCGATTCCATCCGCAAATATGAAAAAAATGTGCAAGTTTCTGTTATATTACAGGGAGAAAACTTGAGTGGAACTTTCAGTGGGAGGAATTTTCTGGGTACATTTTCAAAGATGGACTTTACACGGAATGTTGTAGAGTTGTTAATATCTACCGCCCGTATTCTATACAGGAAATCTTTTTAATAAACTGTTGTTAGATGCAATAACAAAGAAGTGCCGATAGTGACTCTTGGATCTATTTTAAAATATAACCAAAAAATAGAAATATACTTACTTTCGCACGCTCCATCTGTGTTCTTTTGATAACCAGTTTTACAATTGCATTGGTAAGAACCTTCACTGTTCTCGCAATCAGATGAAGTAGAGTCACATGCGCTTGTATCAGAACATTCATTAATATCTGTTCAACAAAAGAAAAGTTATGTTAAAAGAAATGCTATAACACTATTACAAATTTTGCGCTCATTTTTATGGGGGCTATTGTATGAATATGGATTTTAATGAACGTTTTTAGGAGTATTGTATTTTTTTTGTAAAAATGCATATTGTGATAACTGAGCCACGAGATATTAATGAGCATTATAGGTAGATCACAGACTTTGCCTTTCCCTAACTTTGCCTGATTGCGATTGACGGCATATAACGTACAACAGCAGCAAAAGTTTGTATTTTACTACACATTGCCCAATTAACTATACCATTTTTATATTCCTGTGTCCATGCTTTTCTCGAAATATTTCTGTTGTATAGTATTGTCATTTTTGAAAGTTTAGGAAATTGATCAGAGAGATCAAAGTAATGAAGATACCCAACATTTATCTGGGTTTACAATCCGTCCGTAAATTTTTCAATTTATTATTACCACAATTTCAGCTTTTTATTATAGGTCACCTCCTACAGATCGGAGACTTGCTATAGGAACAAAAAGTGGGCTATTCTGGATACGGAACAGAATTTGTTAGATTTCCACACATGCCATGATGATGCAAAAACCCAAGACCAACTAAGTACAAGAGTAAATAAAATTCATAATAAATTTTAAGTTTGGATTTGTAAGAAAATTTTTTTATTGATTATTTGCATTTTTGGAATAACATTATAGTCACTTTGGCTGATTAAGATGCTACGCTGGAAATTTACAACAAAATGCAGTCAAGTTTTAGAGCATATTGAATGAAACAAATACCGTTTGGATGTAAATACAAGAGGTTTTCATAAAATTGAATTTTAATAAAAAAGTTAAATGTAAAGTTTATTATGTTAGCCTACGCTTCCGTCGTTCGCAAGATTAACATTGAATAGAATGCTAAAAGGTATATCCAGTTGGTATTTTTTTCTTTCTATCTATATTGAAAAAGAAAAACAGATTCAGCGAAGCATTTTATGAAGAATTTGCTAGTCTTGAATAAAGCGCTGACATTTACGCGCAAACGAGATCTAGTTTGCGTGCAAAGAACAAAAGCCATACAAAAATGTATTTGAAAAACAATCTTTTCATGATTTTGACGTGATTTTAGGTGCGACCAAATATAATCTAAAAATAAATTGTTCTATGCACGTCACTTTTTCGTCTGTTTATACGGTGACTCGGCAAGCATTTGCGAGGAGAACAACATATCTATTACCCCATGACGAAGAGAGGATATTTTGTAAAGACATTTTTTGGCTTCGGTGAAATTTATTTCCAAACTGCAGGTGCAACTTTAGATAATCGTATTTGGATTTGATAATTTTGACATCAGGTTTATTGTTGTCAGTAAATAATTGATACCAAAATAAAAGTTTTATGAAATCCATGTATAAATTTGAAATCGAATTTTCAAATTACGCGAAAATGCCCCTAAAAGCTGACCGATAGAAGGTAAATGAATTGAATATTTAAGTACAAACGATATTATTTACAAATGTTCGGATGGCACTGTCCAAGACATATTCAACTGTTATCTGCGGTCATTGTGTTGGTGAGGCCGTTATACTATAATGCTACCATTCGTTAATTTTTTCTCATTATTGATAAATGCGTTATTTTCAATCTTTGAGTGTCCCAGATTAGATATATCGTATTCAAAATCTAAGCATTCTACCTAACCCGTGTTGTAACGAAGTGAATAATAGGCTACGTCGATTATGCAAAATTTCGGTCTTGCCACAACGTATAAGTGTGTTATTGCCTTGCGTGTGCCATAAGATAAAGAGTTGGAAAATTACTCTTACTCATACCAATGAATGCTGTTTAGTTAGTGGATTCAAATGCGTGAAACACCTTGTCAATTCGTGAATACATCATTCGAAATAAGTCAGTGAACACTGTTGGGCTGGCAAAAAATCTCAGAGCTGTTACACAGACATTGACATATTAGTACGTATTTGTGTGTTTTTATAACTCCAATGTAGAATGTGGATGCTAGGCTTCTTGAACTGAAAGCGATATACTACTGATGAAACGTAGCTTGCTGTTATCCGCACAAAAGGGATGTGCAGTCGGAGAAAATTTACACCCGACACCGATACTGGTCTTTGCCCCTCGACTCCGGGTTGACATTTTCTTATGACTCAGACTTCGACAAATTGAAAAAAGTGTTGACTCCGGATCCATCTCCGCACTATGAAACTAAATTTTGTTAACGAAAGACGTGGCGCTTGCAATTCATGACTGTTAAGAACGCTTAGTCTCAAGAGTTTTTGTCAGAAAATCTGACGTATATGATCACCATGAAGAAATTTAAATTTTGACTCTCGCTTCAGGATGTTTCGAAATACGACTTTGCCGTCAAATCTATGGCACCATCGCTAAAATCCGACTTCAGACTCCGACAACTCCACTGGTTTACAATTTATCGTTTTTTCTTGCTTCCGGTAAATAAAATCACTACTTTTTTTTTACATAGCAGCAAGCTTCTCATAAATGCGCTCTTGCATCTATTTTACAGCTTGTTTTTATTGCCTGTATATTCATCAACTTTGTTTTTGGCATGCATAAATATAGCAAAGGTTACAAAAAAGTACCTGTAACAAAAATCATTGATCAATCAAAATTGAAAACCACCGGAATACCAAGGATTTTGAATGTCTATTAACTAAGTTTTATTGGACGCCTCCTAAAAGCCATTAATAAATAACGTTCTGTGGTGAGGTACTTTTACCGAAAAACGCTGCTTTCGACCTCTGTTATGCAACAGTAGATTTACGTAAATGTGATGGCGCAGGAGCCGCATTCCAACCATGAATAATCCATTGACGATAAACTAGTAATTGTTCGTCAAAAGCTACTTTCCTGAAATGAAACCTCGTCAACGGAGAACTTTTGAGCAATAACAATTTGATCATTTATTGCTACTCTAACTGAAAAATAACTACTTACCAACACATGCATCCATTTCTGTATTAATGTGATACCCAGTAGCACAATCGCACGAATAACTACCGTCTGTATTGCTGCAATTTGAATCAGTAATGCCGACACAAACGTTTTCCATGCATTCGTCAATATCTGAGGAAAAATAACTAATATTAAATATATAATATAAATAGCCGTCAGGGTGCCTTTAAAATTGATTTTATCAATAAAATGTATTAATTAAACTACGGGTGAAATAATTAAAAATCGAAAAAACTTATATTAGTGAGTCGTTTGTTTTATCTTCATTAGATTCATTCCTGGTGAATCCGCATTTCTGGATAATGCCATTACATCGATATATATCCGTGGAGAGCTGTATTGTTGGGGATAGAAAATATATTTTGTTGCTCTCGCACGTGTACAGTTTCAAGTTTCAATATAATTTTTCTAATTCGAGAAAATCAAATTCGTCTGAACTAAATTATGATTGTTATAATAGATTATAATGAATGTGATGCATTAACATATCAAGGAAATGTTATGATACAATCAAAAAATATGTTAGCAATGACCTAATGAACAAATTTTTCTCATATATATATATATTATATAAAATACAAAATTTCAAATCTTTATGACCTAATTTGTATCCATTAAAATATTTTATTCGTTGTTATCGGCGTGAAATTAGATCATTAGAAAGAGTCATCTTACATAGACATTCGATTCCATCGAACAATTTTATAAGTATATGAGATGTAGTAGATCCAATAATTTAATGTGTACTCAAAGGTTACCCTGTCAAAAGTTGTTACCTTATCAGAAAACCTGTAATAAACTGACTTTTTCTCTATACCCCAACGTGCTATTACTTAAATGTCAGATTGGGAGAGTCGGGAAAACAACATATTATTGTGTGCAGATAAATATCATTCAAATACGAGATTCCACCCCTTGTTAATTCGTTAAATTGCCCGCTTCTTATAATACACAATTCATTTCCAATATTCCTTTTTTCGGAATCGGGAAATTCCAAATACTGAAAAACAGCCAATTATGGGATATACAGTACACTAGTTACCACGATATTATATTTTTAAACATCAGTTAACCATATTTTGAGAGTGAGATTCGTCAGGTTAATGGAGTTTTTAGAAAAAATGTATGAAGGTTTATTTGAAATATACTGATATTAGGCAAAAAAGTGAACTTGGGAAAATGCGGCATTTGCGTGGGTGAGGATGAAGAAGCGAGTATGTCATTTTTTATGTATTCTCAAAGACCTAAAGATTGTAACTCAGTGGTTCACTGTTTACATAGAATATCACAAACAATTTAATTGAAGACTGAATTAGGAGGTAAAGTAAACGTAGGTATATATTTTTCAGAGAAGACTTCTGAAAACTATCGCATCGTTTCCATGACAACTCACACTACAATTTTATAAATACAACAAATTTTTAAGATGAAATTATTCGACCGCCAAGTATTTGAAATTCGTTTGTTGGTTGATACCGCCTGAAGCCATTACATGAATTTTTTCCGTTACCTACGATACGCCCATAATAAAAGAAAATTAAACCCACAACAAGGTGAAATTATTAATAATAATATATATATGTGCAATGGCATTTCATTTGCCTCTTACTTTGAAATCGTCGTCGCATCCATTTACAAATATCCAACCGATGAACGTTAAAAAGTTTTCTTGAATACTAGACATTATATCTTTTTAATGTGACTTTTCGTGACTTTGCTATTACCCCTAGTTTTGAATGTCGTGTAATACTAACTCTGCAGTTCTCGCGGATTTGAAGCATGAGTCCGAAGCATAATGGAATGTACTTTCTTAATTTATTTTTTAATATACTTTCTTCGCCAAGATGTATTCCTCGAGAACATTTTCATTTTCCAAAACAAAGCAAAATACGTCAATAAGGCAAATACGATCAAATCGCTAAAATCACTTTTTTCGGGCATTGTGGATGAAAACCTATAATAATTATTGCTGTACTAACTTCGATCCGTACACGCGTTACGAAACCATCATCAAAGACATGTTTTTCCATATAGCCAAATTGTGATAACATCTTGTATTAGCAAGGTACGGCCCTATCGAGACTATCTTTGAATAATTTTATTTTAATAATAAACCGTGTTTCAATCGTTTGGTAACAATTTTCAACAGACTTACCGTTACACATAGTTTCGTTTTCGTTAAATTTGTAACCATCAAGACAGGTGCAGAAGAATGAGCCTACTGTGTTGTTGCATTTACTGTTTTCCGGACATGATGTGGCTATCTCACATTCATCAGGATCTGTTGTGTAATAGATTAGATGTGTACCAAGTTACGATTAAGCTTTGTACCGTATTAACGTGGCACGTATACATGGTTCCTGATCGCCATTCGAATGGCGCTCAATGTACAGATGGGATTAGAGAGGAAATTATGAAAAGAATGTACAAATAAATAGACTGATTTAATGAACTGTCATGTAGGTAATAGCTTTGGTTTTCCGAGCAGCTATACCGGACTTGTACTGCTGATGAAATGCAATTTAAACTTTTTAGTTGTTCTTCAATATATAATAAATTTAGATGTATATATATTTTTATCTCAAGAAGAGTGTAATTGTTTCTCCTCTTTTTTAATTGGAGTTGGTAATTAAAATAACATATTTGGAACTTCGCCTTTCTTGCTGCTTTTACAGCATTAAATAATGTATTTTGAGGCTCACGAATATATGACTGGTTGCAAAAAAATCCTAATTTATTATATTACCAGCGACTTCCACAGTTCCATTACTTCCTGCGTTAATCAGAGCCAGCAATGTCGCGAGATCAAAGCCAGCCGGAATGTTAATCTCTAAGGTTGCTGTAAAAATAAATAAACATGATAATATTCTTTATAGATATGTATTCTGAATAGTTACTCAGAAGACAATATGCAAGAATAAGCGGTATTAAGGCTTCTTATTACAACGCAGATAGGATAGGATAGGATTTACATATTTATCCCGGGGGAGAGGAAAGCCGATAAGACGGCATATCCATATGGCGAACCACGGCCTCTCGTCCGGTTACCATTCCAAGTCGGGTATGAGATTAGTTTTTACTGTATTGTTTGTTTTCGGAAGCATGGACTTGGTGGTGGAGGAAGCCGTAACCGACCAGCAGTTACGTGAACCACCCAACGACGGCGAGGAGTCCAGCAATCCTCTCGCACATAACCATCCCTGCATGGGATTCGAACCTGCGAACCCACGCAGAGTAATTAGAGGTGTGGTGGCGAACGTATTCCTAACGCTTAGCCCGTTGAGCCACACCGCCGCGCCATACTGTGAAAAACAATGCAAACCCTTATTTGTATTGCATATTTAAAAATACAAGTTTGAAGAAAGCGTATAATGTCACTTGGATACCATAATTATTTAATTGCCTGTTTTGTATATTTAGATTGAAAAAATCAGAATCATTGAGTTTAGAATTTGAAGTTTTGATTACGTCAGAAGATTGATAGATTGGATAGACGTCAATAACATCTCGTATTTGTATACCTAATTTTTATTGTCTGATGACGTTAGTGCTAAAACTAAACTTACAGTCTTGAGCCACGGCACCTCCGTACATAGCAAAAAGAATCGCCAAAACAACCAGAGCACCCCGCATCTTGAATTGAATTACTTGATCGAAAGTTAGCGAATAATTTTAAAATATTTTCTGTAAAAACAAATAGGTAATTGCATTAGTATTGAAATTATGCTTTTGTTTAACAATACTATCGACTTGATCCTTGACTTGTGTTGTTAGGTGCCTCATACAAGGGGACTGAGAGCGGTCTGGTTCAATTTATCATCACAAATTTTTTACACTTAGGTATACCCTGCATCAAACTTACCTAATGTACAAACCTGGAAGCTATTCGAAAAAAATTACATACAAAAGGGGATGTTAAAATTGGAACAGAAAAGTTAAAATTTAACGATTTTTTATCAACACTCGTTCTAGTTTTGATAATTATTTTAACAAAGTTATGTCATATTTCAAAGCATTTATACCGGTACTCCCGTAGTGTGTGTACCAGGTTAGTGTTAGGCCATAATTTTATTCGAATTTTCTTTATTTTAGTTTTATTACAAGTTCGGGAACTGTCTATGTTAGCCAAGTGAATATACCCCTGCCCGTAGGTTTCAGTCCCTTTACACAACTTGATGTTGGATAGGCGAACAAAATTAGTTACCTCCATATTGGTACACACACTTCTGGAGCGCCCTTATATCATATTTCGCACGTAGCTGATGCTGTGGTAATTCTAACCTCCATTATTCTCATATTTTCTCATGCTATTTGCCTGATTTAAATCTTCGTATAATCCAGATTTTTTTACCATATGCTAAGTTTTTCGGAATGAATCTTATTCTCTACTCTTTAGAAATTTTCACCACTAGCTATATTCTGAAAATAAGCTTTGTTGAAAAACGTTGGTGCTTTTAAGCTGACATTTTTTCTGTTGCATGGGATCATGATTTCAACGTCTCTTCTATTTACACAAACAGCATAACGTCTTACACGACCTTTTCCTCGAAATTGATTTTTAGTCGTATGAGGGGGAAGGGGGTGGGGGGTGGGGTGGGGGGGGGGGGGGGGGGGGTTTGGGGGTGGAAGCGGAAGGACGTAGGACGCAGGAATGTTATGATTAGAGTATATATTCTCGTACGTCTTCTTTACCGAATATAAGCATGATAGAACTTATCCTTTCACGGCCCTTGCAGAGCTAAGTATAAGCAAACAAATAGTTCACGAATGAGCGTGGCTCATCTGTCAATCAATAAAAGAACTTCACGCCAAAAAGCCTACAATTATAGGGACGTTATTTTAGAGAAAGCTTTTCTTCGCACTCGATGATACGCACACTCACACAATGGAATATTATTTTTATAGTGATTTCAATAGGAAACAAGTATTTTTAGAAAAATAAGCAGTTCGAAGGTGACTGCTCTTGATCACCCACGATGTTTGAATTGGCGCAAAATAGACACTGTGATAAAATCATATCTCGATGTACGTTGTTCAAATATATATAGGCTTACAACAACAGAAAATATCGGGTACAAAATGTAGCTTGTATATATTGCATTTGAAAATTCATGGGGGAAAAATGTGGCATTTTCGAACGTATGAAGTTTTATACAGCTTCCTGTATTCATATTTAGCAAACCGAATAGTCTCTGGTTATTCGGAACTAGAATTACCGTATAAGAAAATGAAAATACTGGTTTTTCGTAGATTTTGTATTTTTAAGTGGAATAGTAAATCGTACGCATGAAAAATTTGTAATTGCTAAATAGGCAATTTAAACCACGCTTGAAAAATGATGAAAACCACCAACCAACTAGATCCGATGAAGCGTAAACAGATGATAGAAGTAGGTTAACTTCGTGTAATCAGTGCGTTTGAAGTTCGACAGAAAATGGCCAACTACAGTAAGAGGTTTATAGCATCCTAACCATCAAAAACTATATAAACGGGGTTCTGCGCATTGAAATATTGATATGAAATGGAAAAACAATAGAAAATAATTTGAGAGAAACATATTAAATATACTCAGTGACGGGATTAAAAACCTTAAGAACGGATTCTTTTTTGTGCGAACTCTTCAACAACAGGTTCCCTCATTTCAAAAAATTATGTATGTTCGTCACTAAGTAAGGTACTTAACGTGATATGCCTCACGTAACCTAATATACATAAATATCGAAACGCTAAATATAATGCTAGGTGTCAGCTGCGGGGCATGTTACCCATTACTGCAGTCTAATATCTCAAAGAAAAAGCAAGAATGCTGATTAACACGATCTCTCGAAAACGCACGCGTAGGCGCGAACCCCCTCACTCTCAATCCCACCATAAGAATAAACCCATTGTTGATAACATGTTAGAAGTCTTATAAGCCATGATAGGTATCACTGATATCATTAACTGTTAAAAAAAGAATTCATTTTTTTAATGTATCATTAAATCATATATATAATCATTCTATATTATCATTAACCATATATTATAAAGTCAATATCATTGTTTCATACCGGAGAAAATGGAAGGCGAACGCATAATCTCAATTTGACCAGAAGCATTTTTAAATATTCGATCCTATTTCTACATGGGCAGAAAGTGAATTTGATACGTGTAAGTTTTTGCAGACCACAATACAATAAGTATATATCATATTAATTAATATACTTCTTGCTCCAGTTGATTGATAATTTAGTAGTGAACGATGTAATTGTTTAATGTAACTTTAACAAATTGTCAGACGTATAGTTTTTTTATAAAAATTGTCAGTGTGCAACTTCGGTATTTGAAGTAGTAGAAAATTGATAAAAATGTTAGTTAACATGACAAAAAGGGATACCTGTGTTAAACTCATATAAAACGAAACGTGCTTTATAGTTTATTTTAAGTTCCCGTCATTATATTCATAAACGCGGTTTACACGTTTTGTAAACAATTTACAGTTGAATAATTCAAAAATAATAAAAATTGATTTTCTACTATTTTCACAAACCCTTCCAGTAGATTCCCTAATCCTCTGTCTATTTTTACCGATTTATAGCGGAATTATAGTTAATCCGAGCAATACTGTTCAAGTCTAGCAGTGGGGGTAACTTAAATCTTTTAAATCTACTAGAACATAGTGTTGATCCCGATTCCGTGTGCTGATTTACATTGCAAAAGGTTCCATTATAGCAAAATCATTCTTTCACACTTTAATTTTGAAAATACCAAAAACTGATCGAATTTATATGCTGTATAAACTGCATATTCAAAGTTAATTATAAAAAGTGAAAAATAAGCTTGATCGAGCCTCACGTTGTGTAATTCTATTGTGATTTTCTTCTTCTTGGAGTTTCATTTTGGAATTCTTCAGTTGGTTGTGGAAGTACTACAAATTTTGCGCTGTTAATACACCGTATATTTCGTAAAGGATTTTTGCTAATTTTTAGTCACTTCTTGAAATCTGACATTGATGAAAATTCTGCATATGATTGTAACGGCATCTCGACTACTTTTATTTACAAAATTCTCACATTTACATCTAAAACTAAAATTAAATTTTATATTCATCATTTCCTCACATTTAGAGGAAGAAACAAAAAATTATTAGTGTAAAACTTTTTAAAGTAACTTCTGAAAATATTTCTGCAAAAATACTCGTTCAGTTTCTCAAAGCGTGATAAATTACTCGAAAAATATTGCGCATTTCTACCTGAAGTAGTATATACACATTTCTCCAAAATATATCCTGTATTGCTACCTTCAAATAAGCTGGAATGTGTGTTCAGTAGTTTGTAACGACTTTCATTCAAATAATTGTCTTAAGCGTGTTGTTCGTTTTTTCCCAAATGCAGCAAAAGAATACCAAGCATATATGCATTATCTCATGCGTAAAAGCGAATTTGTGCATCATTACCAAACCGTGAAAACTGTTTGTGGCAGAGTTTTAATAACTGTTGAGGCAAAGTAAAATTTAATTTTATGTTGTTTTCCCCGAGAGAAAGATAGGTACGCGAGATTTAAATAGAAACAGGACTACGTGATCTACGTAATTGCATGCAAATCGTACGGAGCGATGTACGTAATTGACACTAGTCAATAAAATTTAAATTTTTAAATCAGTAATGTCAGCCATTCGAACCGTATAGGAACACACATATAACTTATATATAAATCTTCTACACTGAGAGGACAAACAAAACTGATCTACTTACGATCCTTCGCTACCGCTACTTTTCTTTGGCCTGCCTCATAAAAATTCTTTGATTTAAGCAGCTGTGGAGAAACAATAAGGAAAACAACTGCTGTCCAATCTAATATTATTTCGAATGCTTTATCTGATAATGTTTATTTTACACACTTATTAGTACTTAGTGGAGTACATAAAGTTGAGAGATGTTTGATGGCACTTTTTAGAATGCCCGTTGTTTCATAGAAAGTTTTATTTTCATTTTTAAGCACTGAAGACCTAGAAAAAATCTGGAGTTAGACTGAAACGCAACGTTTTAAATAATTTTTGGAAGAACTGGAATAATATTCCTAGTTCGACTTTTTTTATTATTATCTAATTTCATCATAACGGGCGTGAGTTGTTGATTATAGGGATGTGGAGCCGAAATCTTTAGGATGTGATGCTGAAATAGGCTAATAACTATAACCTTCGAAACTAAACACATAGTTTTATAATTCTGCTACCCACCACAATTTTTGATTGGTACCGCTATGACACATACTCGCAAACAGAACGCTCATACATTCCTGAAACATACAACCAACATAAAAGTCAAATGAAATTCTTACTGAACACGAAGATATTGGCTTGGGCATTACCGCAGATGACAAATCGATCTTTCGCAACGAGATGTATCTATTGTCTAATATAATCGCCAAATAATGAAGTTGATGAAACAAAATTATTGAGAATGGGCAACGGAATGTCACGACGGAAATCCTATCTAAACATCGTCCCAAACAGACAAATGATATCAAAATCCGTCAATCGATTCGTGATAACCAAAATAATAAAAACAGACCCTGGAATTCCTTTTGAATGTAAAAATAATGTTGACACTAATGGAGTCTCGGTCATGTAAGCAACGTGAATTATTGGGTTTCATCTATGTCAGTGATCTTCAACGATTTTAACAAAATCGCTCACTTAAGGTAGAGTGTATTAAAAT